TGTCACTCGTCGTCGCCTTCTGCAATCGCCGCGTCCGACGGCACGTGGTGTTCGAGCTTGAGGATGTCGGGCGAGAGCTTGTTGCCGCTGAGCGTGAGTCGTCGGAGGCCGGGCGCCTTCTCGTAAGGGTTGAACGGCAGCGTCTCAATGTTGTTGCTCGCGAGCAAGAGGTGCTTGAGCTTGGGCAGGTCGCCAATGCGCTTGGCGACTTTGGTGAGTTTGTTGTTTTCTATGTTGATGACCTCCATCTTGGTGCAGCGGCCGAGGGACGCGTGGAGCTTCGTGATCGCATTGTCCTGCAAGTAGATCTTGCGCAGCGAGACGAGACCGCCGAGTCCTTTCGGCAGCGTCTCGAGGCAGTTGCCTACAGCCGACGTCCTCGTTACCCACCTTGCTATATGGACAGAGACGACCTTCCATGTGCAAAATCTCGAGCTTTGTGAGCTGGACAAACGATTTCGGCAGGCTCGTAAGTCGATTGCCCGGCATATCGAGCTCGCGGAGATGCACGAGCTGGCCGATCTCGTCCGGGAGGCTCTCAATCTGGTTGTTGTCCAGGTAGAGCTCTTCCAAGGACGTGAGTGCGAGCAGCGAGAGCGGCACCGCCTACAATTTGGGCTCGTGACACCCCCATCATGCGAGGAGCGTGCGCACCGTCAGGCGATTGCGGTGCAAGCAGAGGCCCTTGAGCTGCGAGAGCGTGCGCATGGCGTCCGGAATGCCCTCCACCGTGAGCTGGTTGTCTTCGAGATACAGCGAGTCGAGTTCTTTGAGGTCGCCGATCGAGGACGGCAGCGACGTCAGTTGGTTCTCGCGGAGGTAGAGCTCCGTGACGGCGCGGAGGTTGCCGAGCGCGTCCGGCAGCGTGCGCAGCTGGTTGCGCTCGAGGCACAGCGTCTTGAGCGCGTCGCAGAACGCTTCAATCTCAAAGAGGTCGGGCGGCAGCTCCGAGAGCTCTTTCTCCGAGAGGTCGAGCTCCTCGACGTCGTCGTCGTCGTCTTCGACCTCGATGCCAAAGCGGCTGCAGAACGCCTGGAGGCGCGGTGCCCCTTCGTCGTCGCTCATGGTAGATTTGTATCTTGCGGTTTCGCACCTCCGCTCACTACGATGTTCCTATTTCAGGTTCAACCGTTCTGCAAGGATCGATCGATACCTAGATAGGTAGATACATAGTTGGATAGAACGTTGGATAGATAGATTTGGTATTATCGATATAAACTGGCCGTCAAGAACTGCCGTCCATGGACTATGGATGGCGTAAAGGTCCTCTCCAGCACTCATAGGCACCAGTACGACTCGTACATGCGAGACCTCGTCGAGTCCTCTCGGAGCGTGATCGCACGCATGTAGGGTTCGTACTAGAGCCGAGCAGTGTTGGACCTGCATGCCATGCATATATAGTCCATGGACGTGCAGATCCAACGGCAAGGTCGCTGGTGCTTGTAGGCCTAGTCTCATGCGGCACGCGTGAAGCAGTGTTATTGGCCAAGCAAGGCCATCTCCATCTCCATCTCCAGCAGTTGCCCGAACCACCGTTTTAGCAAGGCGGCAACTGTCAGCGTCGGTTCAAGCTCGTTTCCAAAGAAGTCGCCTCCAAGCAGCACGCTCACCTTAGCTACTCCTTTTAACCCGCCCACCAGTCCCTTCTTGGGCAGCCTCCCAACACGAAGCTCGCTCTTCTCCCCACGCACTTGCGTCAGGGCGACAGACGAGAGCTCTGACTTGTATCGTCCAAGTCAAGCATAGATCCCACATCGGTTTCCTTGGCGCGTCGGTCCTTCGCCAGCCGCGCCGCTTTGGCCGCTGCGTCGTTCGGTGGGTGTACGGTGCGTCGAGTCATTTCGGCTCAACTTCTCACCCTCACCTTGATGTGTTGTACAATCATGCATGCCTCTTCTGCTTGACCAAGACGAACGCATCAAGGATGTTGCGGGCCACGTAGCATTCCGGATGGAAAAAGGTGTCTTCCTCTATGTACTATGACGTAGTACCGCACCAGGGGATCTAGGACGTGCTGGCGTCGGCGAGGCTGCTGTTGGATGCGCGCCCAAACGAGCTAAAGCTCGATTCCATCGTCATGACGGCGCCTGCAACGTTGACCGACTTGTTGCGGCGAATCACCGACTTGGTACCGTTGGGGCTGGGGTCCTTGAGCTGGCCGCCACTCGGCTTGCGCGGCAGGAGCCCCGTGAGGTTCATCGAGCTCGACGACGTGTAAAAGGACGGGACGCGGCCGAGGCTGCTCACGCCCGTGCGCTTCTCGTCTTCGATCGCTTGTTCGCCGCGCAAGTAGCGCACGGCGCGCTCCAACGCATACTCGATGCGGCACATGGTCTGGATGCGCGAGAGATGGGGCCACGTCGCGCGCTCGCCCGAGAGCACGAGCGAGTCAAACTCGCGCCGAGACGGGTTCACGAGCACGCGCTTGCACATCTCGTGGAACGACACTTGCGACGCGAGCGGGATCGTCACGTCGCCTTCGTATGTCTAACCAAAAGCCGATGCGATAATCTAGCCTCGGAAATGCAAACATCGTACCTGCGTCAATAAGGGCACGAGACCGATGCCGAAAAATTTGAGCACCGACGTGTTGAGCCCAAACTCGGCAATGTTCTTGATGTACGCCTTCATCTGCTTCTTGAGAAAGCCGAGAATGTCGCCGCCACCGAGCGACGCATAGCCGGAAATGAACTTGTAGTGGATGTTGACTTGGCTCACGATAAAGTGGTTGACGTTGAAGAGCTCACTCAACCGCTCCATGGGCAAATCGCACTCGACACTATCCCAACCATTACGTCCATCCAGATACGAGAGAATATATATACCTGCCATCGCTCCACTTGAGGCCTTCTCGGTACACGGGCACGATATTGCCATGCTACGTCAAAAGATAGTGAGATAGGCAGTCGACCAGTACTAGGAAGCGTACTTGGTCTTTGCCGAGCAGCTCCACGGGAGCAAAGATGAGCGGAATCGCACAGGACGCAAGGGACGCCGACCACACGAGTACGTTGGGCGCCGTGAGGTAGTTGAGCAGCTGCGGGTAGTCCCTACACCGCGACACCATTAGACGATTTCCACACGCTAAGATATGGGTTTCGTACGTGGACTGGGACGGCGTGACCGTGATGTTGATGATGCGGCCGGTTCGGTCGTACGCCTCACGGAACGTAAAGTCCCCCATGTTGGTTTGGAGACACTCCTTCAAAATGGCATTGTCGAGGATGTAGCCCTTGTCGAGGAAGCGCGCCGCGACGACGTACCCTTCCTGCACATTGCGGAAGGCCTGCGTGGGCAGCACGTCTTCCAGCGCTGCGAGCCACGACGGCGTGTACTGCGCAACGTCCTTGGCCGTGACGTTGGTGCCAAAGAAGCGGAGGTTGAGGGCTTCGGTCGTAAAGAGCTACACATATCCATAAGTCCTTGGCCTCACGACACACATTATACATCTTGGAGCTCGTCGTCCGTGCGCACGCCGACGCAGCCCGCGACAATCGAGCCGGCGGACGCGCCCGAGATGACGGTCGGCAGAATGTCTTCGTCCACGAGCGTCTTGATGATGCCCGAGTGGTACAAGCCAAGGCCGCCGCCGCCACTGAGCATGAGCGCCGACCGCCCATACGCATGGCGAGTCTCGCTGAAGAACGCGAGCTTGTTGTCGATGCTGAGCTCTTGCTTGCTCACGTCGTCGGCAGACCCGATCGTCGACTCGGTGCCCTTGGCCCGCAAGACGAGATCCATCGACTCGAGGATCGTGTCCAAGTACTCGTCCACGAGGTGCTTGGTGCCAACTAGACACGGCGGCGTGAGATCGTCAAATTCAAACATGTAGGACGTACTGTAGCTCACGTCGTACAGCGCGGGGTTCCCGAGGCCCCAGTGCTTGCGCAAGAGCCCTGCGCGCAGCGAAAACATAATGCCAAGCACATCCTTCTCGGCGATGAGGCGGCGGTACATGGCGATCTTCTTCTGGACGCGTTCGTAGTGGAAGAGCCCGGCGGACGGGTCCTTGCGCCACTTGTCATGGCCCTCGATGACGTCGAGCTCCGACCCAATGGTCTGCCGCTCCGAGAGCGTCTTGGCCTTTGCGAGCGCCGTGCGCAGCTTGAGGCTCCGGCGGCCTTTGGCGGACGTTTGCAGCCAGAGCTTGACGAGCTGCTGCTTGACGAGCTGCCAGAGCTCAAAGAGCATTTGCAGCGAAAAGGTCGCGACAAAGTACCGGAAGAAGACATCCGGGACCATGAGAAGGCGCACCGAGCGCCACAGCAGATGCAATAGGTTGCGCGTAAGCACGTACAGGCCTTCCTTGGTCGAGCCGCGGAAGCGCCAGTCGAGAACCAAGTTGCGCCATAGGGTGGCTTGCGACTACGCGATTGTACCTCGTTAAGCAGCGGCTTCATGCGCATGCAGGTCTACCTGGAGGCCCGTGATGTAGAGCCAGAAGCGCATGTAGTAGACGGCGGACCGCTTCAAGAGCGTCTGCTCATGGGGCCGCGCCATGCCACTCCGCTTGCTGCCGACGGCCAAGATCCAATGATGACGAAACGGGCTGGCCACCTTCGCTGGCCGCTGATTGGCGCGTTCATGTTGAACTTATATCTTTAGCGCGGGTGGTCGTTCTTTATTATGTCGTGCGTTGAACTCCATATTTGTATGGCGATTTGATTGTTGCAATAATATATTGGGTGCAAAGCATTAAAAAAGTGGAGGGAAATGGCGCTTGAAGCCAACCGCACACGAGGCGGCGGAGGCAGGCGGAGGAAGTAAGGACATGTAGTTGTCCTTCAGACGATGTATACGTAGACAAGTCGTGCTTAATAGACATACGGCTACCACTGTACTTGCTACTTTCTCAAGCAGTGTCGTCATCCTAGTGTCCTTGTGGTGGCTTTGCAGAAGCGTCGTTGGTTCAATGCTAGTTAGATCACTGATTATTTGACTTTTGATGCAAATACCACCTGCTCAACGTGTACTTTGGCGGTCTCTTGCTGCGTTTTTTGCGCGTGAGATCCCGCCCGGTGGAGCGGTGAGCACGGTTGATGTTGAAGTTGGGAGTCGGATGCTGCCCATCAGCGTGGACTCACGAGCGCTCTCGCCATGTGAAGCTAACAGTTCAAAGCTCTTGTATACCCGGGATATCTTGGCATCGAAAATGCGCATGAACAAGTTTGCTGCAAAGCGTACAATGGCGCAGGTGCTGGCTGGGAAATGGGCTCATGCGAGCGGCTGTGGCAACGGACGATCAGTGCTGACGACGGTCACGAACGTTCCTGCTGCACACGCAAGCACGCATATACACGGTTATGTTGGTGTCGTTGGCATGAGCCCTCCACGCGTGATCGATTCGACAACGAGGTGGACTTGAACGAGCTACTACATCCAGCTCTGCAGCAGTCGGTTCTTTATTATGACCTTAAAAGAAGTACTGGGCAAGATACCCACTGCCAAGCGTCGTAAGTGCGACCGAGACGAGGTTCACCTGCTCGTTCGAGAGGACATCGTAGCCGCACACGTGCCGATAGGCGAAAGGCTCGTGCGTTGCTGGTGCTGACACGATCTTTTGCGCCGACTCGTCGTACCACGTGATCTGGACCGTCGCGCCAAGCACCGAGTCCAAGACAGATCCGAGCACGCCCATGCAAAGACCAAACGGAATCGCCGGCCATTGGGGCACGCTGGACGATGCCAAGAAGATAGCGCCGTAGACGTAGAAGAGGAGCCCGATAAACGCGCCACCGGCCGCTGACGCGAGAGTGCCTACGAACGAGACGCCGCCGTTCGTGCCCGGAGGCACACGCTTGCACCAGTTGGTGATGAGGATTGGCGCGCCTGGTGCAAGCACACCAAGCTCCGACGCCCACGTATCTGCGGCGCAGCACGCATAGTGCCCAATGTAGCAGCCCCAGAGGAACGTAGCAGTCGGTCGTGCCGACGCATTCAGCGGGGCGTCGTCGAGGTAGAGGATGGCGTAGACGATGCAGACGATGCACGCGAGGAGGCTGCAGGCAAGGACTTGGCGCGCGCTGCGCTGTCCCCCTTCCTTGACAGAGGCGTCCAAGGTGGCCTTCTGTGCCTCTTGGAACGTCGTGAGCTTGGAGCCCGAAAAGTAGAAACCAAGGAGGAGGATGCCAAAGCGGTAGCCGCAGGCCATGGAGATGGCGCCGACGAGGAAGGCAGCGATGGCGCCGGAGCGATCGAGCGACTTCTTCTTGAGACCGCGCCGGGCTGCGGCAAAGCCGACGAGAACGCCGACGACCACGCGCAGGCCAAGGGTGGAGTAGGCCGTCGCGTCTGGCATGCTGCTCCTGCTTCTGCTGCCGATTCGGATTGTGAAGAAGTCCTGGTATCCGTACAGATACCGGATAAGGACGTTTTATTCAACTGTTCTAAACACATGTTTAAAACGGAATGCAACACGAGCGGTTTGAAACATGGTCGCAGTTTGGGAAGTACCCCGAAGGATCGAACAGGATGCGCCGAGTGATGGCCGCCGCCAAGAACGGCGTCGCGATCCCATGCGAGAAGGACGGCTCGGCCTTCATTCTCGCCTGCCCCAAGGGTATGCAAGCATGGCCGTTCTGGGCGACACCTCACTGGCTACGGCTAGGCGTGTACAGCGGCGCCCGCACCGTCCAGTCCAAGTTTGTGTTTGCTCTCGAGAGCCATCTGAAGCGCCTCGGTCCGTTCGCCTATGGCTACGCCTTGTCATCGTTCTTGTATTTGTAGTGCAGCCTACGCCCGGCATTGTCAAGGACGCATCTGACGACGAGCTCGTCAAGCGTATATGCGATCCTGCCCAAGCGCTGCCAGCTCATATTCTGCGCTGTAGTGATCAAGCCGCGCGTGCTCTCAACGCTGCGTGCCGCCATGCAAGACTTGCAGCGCGACAATGCGTTCCCGCCGCACCAAGAGTACAAGCTGACGCTGGTCATGCAGCCAAGCCCCGATGCAACCTCGATGTCCCAAGTCATCCAGGAACCGGTATGCATCTCGATGCATACCCACACAACAATACTTATGTATGTACACGTAGGGCAAAGGCGATGTGTTGTGCCACATTGGGCTCATGGGCTCCAAGGACGGCAAGTACATCCAGGTCGAGGTCGCGGGGACGCCGCGTAAGAACCCCCTGGTACGCCCTCTTGCGGCGCCTGCAAGTCTCCTGTCGATGCAAGTAGGTCAAGGATCTGCAGTGGGCCAAAGATCGCCAAGCGCTCTACGATGCCATGCGCCCCGACACGGAAGAGCTCGTGCTCATGGAGCCGTCCACGCGTCTCTTGTACGAAGCGTCGCAATCGAACTTTTTTGTTGTCCAAGTACTGCCAACTCGTCCATGACCGAGACCATCCCATTGTGTAACTAGGACGAGACGCTTGTGACAGCCGACGACGGAATTCTCAAGGGCACGATGCGCGACCTCGTGCTCGAGGCCTGTGACGCGCTCTCGATTCCCGTGCGCTTGACACCGCCACACATGGATGACGCGCCGCGCTGGTCGGGTGCCTTCTTGACAAGCACGTCGCGCTTTGTGCTGCCGATCCAGCATCTCATCTACGACGCCGGCGACATCACCTTTCCGCCGTGTCCGATCGTGGCCAAGCTCCAAGCCCACGTCCTTGCGACGGTCAAGTCGCATGCGACCAAGGTCTTTGACTAAGCAGCAGCAATAAGAACTAGATTGGCTTGTCCCATGAGATCGCCAACGTCGTCGCGTGCACGTAAAACGTGCGGTGGGTGTTGGGGTCGGTCACCGCGCGCCACTCGCGCAACTCGGCGGTCGTCCGCTTGGCCTTCTTGGGCTGCTGGACCTTTTTGTGTCGCTGCCACAATTGCTTGAGCCGCTTCTCGTGCAGCGGCACTTTGGTGATGACGTTCTCAGATCGCGTCACGTCTGTGACGGCGTGCACGTGGCGGTAGTCGTCGCGCAGCGCGAGTCCAATGTGCGCCCAATGGGAGGCCGACCACGCTTGGCACTTGGTCAGGAGCTGGTCCATGTACGGGTGTTGCGTGAGCCAGTGCTTGACGGCGGTCGCGGCACTGGCCTTGTCGCAGAGCCCCGTGTGGCTCTGCGCGAGGTGGAACCAATCGAGCGACCACGCATCGACGTCACTGGTCGTACTCGCGTCTTCGTCGCCCTGTTGCGCTTCGCGCACACGGCGCTTGATGGTTTGCTGAAACAAGTCTTTTGCGAGCACATATTCGCGGTGGCGAAGCGCTTTCGAAGCGAGGTCGCGCCACACAGTAGCGTGCGTGAGCCACACTTTGGTCGATCCAAACTGCAGCTGGCGACCGGAGAAGGCCCACTGCACTTTCCAGCGGCGGTACGCATCGTCAAACGCCAACGCCGCTTGGCGCGGGTCGTTCTCGAGCGTGTAGAGGCGGCCAATGAGAAAGAGGAGCTCGGCGTCGGTCCACGGCGGCGGCGGCGCCTCGAGGAGGTACACGAGGTAGTCCTTGCTCTGGTCGTAGAGCTCGAGCGACCACAAGAGCATTGCCGCACGAAAGATGACACGGGGGAGCTGCTCGAAGGTCGGAAAGCCGGAAATGACCTGCACTCACCCCATATTGCACTTGATGGTAGAGGCAGAGGACTGTACCGTCGCGAGGACCTCGGCGGCATGTTGAAGGGCCCCAGCGAGATAGAGAGCCTAAATGTCCTGTGGCATATTCATTTTCTGCTAGAGTCTTTACTTGAGCATATTCGACGAGAAACGAAGGCGACATGGAAAGCTCAACGTGCTTGCTGGCCTGCGTGTACCACACGCGGCCCATGCGGATGTCATGGTCGCGGCAATGGCGCTCGTAGAGCTGCACGTAGCACTTGGCGATCGCACGCACTACCTGCGCGCCCTTGTAGCCAGCCTCGTACGCTGCCCGGAGTTTACTTTGCGCTACATATGTATCGTTCGCTGCGGTTGTCGTGCTCGTGACGATGATGCAAAAGCACCTTTGTCAAGGTCGCCGGCACTGAGGCACACGTAGCCTTGCGTGGCGAGGCGTGCGGCCTCGATTCGTGGCAGGTACGATTGTCTAATCGCATTACAGCTCCGTCGCCGACGGATAAGAAGAGAGGGGTGCTACCGAAGACGCTGCCAACGCTCTTGCGCGTGGGTTAAAGAAGCATGCACCGCTTCCGGCGCGACCACTACAAGGCGTTTTGTCAGACAGACTATAAGTGTTTTCAAGCTGCAGCGTACACGGCGTCCACGTCACTTTTTTCCACGGGGGGTCCCCGCGAACACCCGTCACCAAGTGGATAAACTGAATGTTCCAGCGCAGGAGCGTCGGGTACGCGATGACGTAGGCCTGCAGCGTCTTTTCTTCGAGTGGTCGCCAGAACGCAAGCCCGATTTGCAACCCCCACGCTTCGAGGTCGCGCACTTGGTGACTACGAATGTCTTCGACGCACATCTCGGCCCGCCGCGTCCATTCAAGCCGCTTGAGCCGGCGCTTCTCGACGTCGGCGACGTGCTGGCGCATATGTGCCTCTTCCGCCTGCATCTTGCGACGCTCTTTGCGCTCGTGGTACTCTTCTCGGATGCGCAGTTCACGGAGCAGGCGCCGAAGACGCATCTCCTCGTTGTGCATGAGCTTGCGCGACCGGGCTTCAAAGAGGCGGTCCGCGAGCTTCTTGTTGTACGCTGCACCGCCATGAAAGCAGAGGTTGAAGCGAGCATGGTACCTTCGTCGGCCGCTTGCATCGCCCGCAGCGTCGCTGCATATTCGTCGGCCTTGCGCACGGCAGCGAGCCGTCGCTGCTCGAGCGCTTCTTCGTCGGCCATGGCCATGAGCTCTTTCGCTTCGGCGCGCGCGTCCGCGTCCAGCTGTCGCTTGCGAAGCCGCGCGGCCGCTAGATACGCCGCCTTGGCGTCGGCGTGCATCACACGACGCATCGCAGCTTCTTCTGCGTCCATTCTACAGCTCATGATGACCATCGGATGCAGCGTTTATGCAGCGTACGCGAGCCGAGCGCGGCGCTCTCGCTCGATTGTCTGTCGCAGCGGCAAGACCGCGGGGTCGAGGGCGAGCGGATCTGGCTTGGCTCGCTGCGCAGCTGCGCGCTGGGCCGCCCAGAGCTGGGCTTCGAGCTGTTTTTTCTGCTCGGTGATCAGTCGACGCATGCACCTGAGTACATTGCATCGGTGGTTATAGACCATTAGCAACTTGGTTGTACATGTCTTCGGCAAGCATGCGGTCTCGCGCCGCCTCTTCGGCGGCCAGCTCCTGGTGCTTGATGGCCCTGGCCGCGGCCAACTCGCGGGCTCTAGACCGTGCAGACGTGACGCACTCAAATACAACGTTCTTGCCGCACCGCTGCTGCTGTGCTTGGATTGCTTGCAGCTTGCGCGCTTTGCGCTGTGCCTTTTCCGCAGCTCTGGCCGCCTCTCGCGCCGCCATCCGAGCCTGCTGGATCACCGCATCGTCCTAGTCCCCGGCTCACACAATCGTTGCACGAAGGGAGCTGTGGTGGCACCTTGGATTTGGCAAGCCATGCTTGGTCACGCTCGATGCGTTCGTGCGTAGCAGCCGCGTGCACCGTGGCTTGATGCGCCACGAGTTCGTTCGCGAGCACTTTGGTGCGCGCAGCGGCGGCATCGTCCTGCGCGCGCTGCCACGCCTCCACCTTGTCGAGTTCGCCGAGGCGACGACGTTTGTCGGCCGACCGCCAGCGCTACATACCCCATGAGTGCGCTGTGTCGATGATGCGCACGCACGTCTTCTGCAATGTAGTGGCGCGTTTCCATCTCCTGGATGTGCATGGCAAGGCAGCTCTCGTCTTCTTCGCGGCGCTCGAGCAAAATTTGGCGGTAGAGGGCGGTCCCCGCCGCATGCTGCTCGGCGCGCCGACGTTCCTTGGCGTCCATCTCCTCCTTGTACCTACACGCAGTTGCAACCACGGAGATGCGAGGAGTCTAGGTACATGAGGAGGCGCTCGTTCGCTCGAAAATGACGGGCCATGGCCTCGGCCAGCAGCGTCGACTTGTGCGCCGCGTCGTCCGCGCGCACGCGCGTGAGACGCAGTGCGCGCTGGAGAGCGTAGTGGCGCTGGGCTTGCGCAATCTCGGCTTGGCGGCTCACGACAAGGGCTTGGAGCTCGTACACGGCATCGTGCAAGCGGCGAATGGTTACTGGTGCCAGCGGCGTCGTCGCCAGCATCGGGTCCATATCAACGCGTGTGTCTTCAGCCAACGAGAGAAGCCGAGCGACGGCACCGCGCATGTTGCCGTGATAAATGTAGGCCAAGCGATGCAGCGTGCCCAGCGGCGACAAGTGCCTACCGCCTCCGTTTGCCACGTCATATGACGTGGCAGCCTACCGCAAGAGCGCGCGCAGTTTGTCGCGCAAAAGGTGCCGCACACGCCGTCGACCGTCGCGGCCGCGCCACCCCGCCTGCAACGCGACAGCAACCTGCGATTCGCGTCGACGCTGGACCTCAGTCCGCGCAATGTGTCGTCGCAGCCACGCCTGGATCGTCACCTACACAGAATGCGCCATGCATCATGAGCGACCGCGCAGGACGACGGCATTCTTACGGCGGCCCACCACTGGGCAGCGCGGAGCGCGCGGCGGTCGACGCGGCCTTGTAGTGCCTGCCGCCGCGCACGAAACGCGCGTTGGATCGGTACGGCAAAGTGCGTGAGCTGCTGTAGCTGCGCGGCCTCGGCCCGGCGCCACGCCGTGTACCTAGATTACAAGCTCATCTGGCCGTGCTCCAAACACGAAACATGGTCGTTGCCGTACGTGACCCAGCGCTCGAGCGCCGACTGTGTCTTGGTGCGCGTCCAAATGCGAAAGGTGGGTGTAAACATGTACATGCTCGAGATGTTGGCGCGGACGTCGTTGAGGACGCTTTGAATCTGCTGCGTATCGCTCTCGCACGCCGCAGTGAGCTGCGCACGCTCGACACGCAGAGCCGCGAGGGCCTTTGTGGCGCGGGCGACCTGGGCATCGCGCAAGGAGACGGTCGTCGGATCGTCGTCGGGGGCGTAGACGACAGGTGCCACGGCGTCTTGCATATGGAAAGATGCGGCGGCCAAGGCGGCAACGCGGTCGTGGATCGAGGGTGGAGCGACGATTGGCTTCTTCTCGGGCGAGGCCGGGGCGAGGATCTCGCGCACCAGCTCGCGGTTGCGCAAGAGCGCTTGTGTGCTCGAACTTGTTCGTCGCAGCGCGAGGTAGTCGATCGGCTCGTGTCGAATGACCGCTTGCGGTTTGGGCAGACGGCGCGCGGCCGGCTCGAGGCTCCGAAGCTGCCCTGGCACGAGGCCACGCGGCGCCTCTCGGCGCTGACGCTTCGCAGCGATCGGTCGCCGCCGGTCGTTGGCGTTAACGTCGTCGGCCTCGCTGCGGGCGTCGACAAAGTACATGCTGTGTCCTCTCGGACGTTTCGCTCGTTTCTCACATTGCACAAGCAATAAGATGCGTAGATATCCAATATGCAAGCAATAAGATTGTGCAACGTAGAAAAAGCACCGAGACCGTTCAGGCATTTCCTCGACGAGGCACATGCGACGGCGAGACTGGAGGCTTCAGAGCCGTCGACAACTGGTGCGTCAGCCGAATGACTTGTCAGAAGAAGCACCAACTCGGTCGGTACCTGCAGTGACCGCAGAACGCAGTGTGCTGGCCACGACACCTCATCAAGGGCTCGATCGCTTGGCTTGAAGTGGCAAAGCTTTAAATACTGAGGTCTTCACGAGGCGTATCAGAATCTACTGTGTTGGTCGCACAAAGGGCTCGACGCTTCAACCTCCTCGCGCTCCGTCACGAGTGCGCGGCTGAACAACGTGCGACCCTGGCAAGTCGAATCGCATGGGAGCAGGGCTCTCGCCGGCAAGAACGAATAGGAGCAAATATACAAATATATTCATAAACTCATAGACTCATATGCGTCGATTTGGTAGGACCCAGGGTACGACCCCTAAACATGCTTGTCCGTCGGACGAAGAAGGTGGGGACTGAACATGTCGCTGCGAAAACCAACGTCGATTCTATCACACATGCCGCCACCAAGGTTTGTACAGGTAGCCGTCATCGATGGCGATGGGCGAAGGGACATGGAGCGCACACGACAAGCTCTAAAGCCGTCCAAGATGCTTGGCCACCGGCGGTGATATCTTGCAGAAATGGAAGTTTGCGTGCGTCTAGCCAACGTATAGCTATCCACCGCCCCGATGCATTTAAATACGATGGCTTCGCTTACAAATCGCAAGCTATTTTAATCGAATGAACAAGATACGCTGGACATGACACGGGGAGATGACACAACTGGACAAGGCAAGGGCAAAGTCAAAGTCAACGATGGCCGACAGCGACAGCGACGACGAGCTCATGCGCGCGCTCCGCGGAGGCGGCATGAAGTCCGCCGAGTGCTCGTACTGCCAGACCGATGGGGCCAAGCTACCCTGCTCCAAGTGCCACCAGGCCATGTACTGCGACGACGTACGTCGAGCTCTGCCAGGAAGCAACCCTCATGTGGCGTCTAGACCTGCTTGCGCCGCCACTTCAAAGCGCACCGCGACCACTGCATCCAGGGTACGTCTCTCCTTGGCAACGACACGCGACTCATGGCGACGTAGTCTACCTCAAGGAAGACAGCGAGGACGAGGAAGAGAGCGAAGAGGAGGAAGACGACGACGAAGAAGAAAAGGCCAATGCAGCCTCGTCGTTTGTGAAGCGACAGAGCTCGCGCTCCATCGGTATAAAGTGCTTTCTTCTCATGCGTGTGCGACGCCGTCTTGCTGGCTTAGGTGGCCCCGTCATGATGGGCATTCCCGGCCTGACCGAGGAGCAAGTGGCGACGCTCATCAAGCTCTCGACCAAGTCCAATGACGTCGGCAAGCAGCAAAAGGAGATTTCGCATCTCAAGGCGCAGATCGAAGAGATGCTCAAGTCGCAAGAGTCGATCGCGCAGATCGCCAAGGCCAACCAGATCAAGCCCGAGCACGTGCTCTCCAAGTCATCGTCCATCAAGCAGAAGGAGCTCGACTTGCTCATGCACAAGCTCGAGGCGCTCGAGCAGCGCGCGAGTTTTGCGCCGTCGACGATGGGTGCGCCGCAAATGCTGCCACTGGCTATCGCACCGGTGATCTACCACCCGCTACTCGTCAAGGACGACGACAAATTCAAAAAGTACTTCAAACTCCAAGCCATGTCGATGCCGTCGGACCAGATCAAGGCCAAGATGGAAGTCGATGGCGTCGACCCGGGGCTCCTCGACACCCCCCACGCCGTCTCCCCCAACGACCCCGGCGTACGAATATCGGTAAGACCTGTGGTCAATGTCCGGCTGTAGGCACCGCCCGGGGCCTATGTACCATTGACGGTCGGGAACGACCCCAAGTATAAAAAGTTCTTCAAGCTGCTTGCGATGCACATGCCCGTCGACCAAATCAAGATGAAGATGGAAGCGGAGAAGCTCGATCCGTCGTTGCTCGACCACCCAGAAGCCGTCTCGCCCAACGATCCTGGCGTGCGTCGACATCTTCCTGCATGCATCGTCCAGTGAAATATGTTGTTGATTGCGTAGCCGCCGATGCTGGCGCCGCCGTCGCCGCCCATGACGCCGCCGATGCAGCCGATGGTCACATATGTCCCGCTGCTCGTCAAGGACGACCCTGCGTTCAAAAAGTTTTTCAAACTGCTGACGATGGGTATGCCCAAAGAACAAGCGCAGCTCAAAATGAAAGCCGGGGGCTTGGACGGCGCGCTCCTCGAGACGCCGGACGCTGTCTCGCCCAACGATCCCGGGGTACATCTTCCTTTTGTGTTTGTACATGAGTGCTTACAATGTGCGTAGCCGCCGCCCGCACCAACCCGTGGCAGCTTTAGCATGTCCGCCCCGGCGTCCGTCGGCGGCATCTCGATGGACCAGCTCTTCGCCATGGTGATGCAACACCAACAGATGATCCAGCAGGGCAACTTTGCAGCGTCGGGCTCACGGACGCCACCGCACGAAGGCGGTGGTGGCCCGCCCGCGCGGTCTGTCAAGGACCAAATGGCGGCCGAGCTCGCGGCGGCGTCGAGTGCAGTCGACGATATTTTCGGCGAAGACACGGTCAAAGCGACGGGCGGCGGCATGTCCATGGTCGAGCAGGTGCGCCAGAAACAGCGCAGAGAGACCGTGGAGAGAAGATGTATTGTGTGTAGCTCGAGAAGAAGGCGCGGAAGGAGTCGAACAAGAAGCTGGTCGACAACATTGCAGCCATCAACGCGACGATCCACGAGCTCGTGACGATCAAGTTCAAGGACGAAGCCGTACGCTCCTCTACGTTCCACAGCACCAACGTCCTCTCTCTTGACTAGCATGCCATTGCCTACTCGACCGACGTCTCGAACAAGGTTCCTCGTCCCTCCTGGATATGCTCTCTCACGCCCATGTAGCTCGAAGGCTATGGGCTGGCGCTGGGCGTCGACGCCAACCAAACGTGGTCGGCGCGGTACGACCGTTCTCGAGTCATCAATTGCTCAGGAGAGGTCGTAGGCTGCTCATCAAGAACAAGGACACGCGCGACTGGTACTTTTCTGAAGCCGAGCGGCTCGCGGCGGGCCACGCGTACCTCCGGCTCTGGTATCTCCAAGCGCTATCGACCGACATTGTGCAGTTGCGCTCCAAGACGGACCAGATCAAGAACGCACCGGGCGTCATCCAGTCGAAGAACAAGGTTGACATCATTGACAAGTTTACGACGCTCCTCAAAGAAGCGGTACAAACCATGGTTTCCACCACGACCAAATGTACAATATTGTCCAAATTAGGTGAAACTCAAACACAAGATTTTCAAAAACAGCGCATTCAACGACCAGTTGACCCAAATGGCGACGCAAAAGATCCCGCAATCGTACGACGCGCACGGCCAAGCGCTCACGGACGCCGCGGCGATTCTGGCGAATGCGGCGTTGGACATGGCGGACGACGAGCTCCGTGTGCTCGAGCGGACGCTGCGCGCCAAGAAGATTCGAGCGTCGACGGCCGTCCATGTCGGTGAAAAGGCCGTGCAGTTTGTGGGCATTGTCAAGAAGCTCGGGGTGTCGCCAGGCTTGTTGGCACCTGCAATTGACCGCGTCGCAGGCCTCGAGACGGTCGTCGCAGCCGTCAAGGCCGAGTACTTTGCCGAGAAGGAAGAAGAAGAGGAAGACGACGTGTTGTAGTGTAGTATGGCTTAGGCCTTTGCCGTCGAGCTAAATAACGATCGGAAGAGCTCGTCAATGTCCATGTTGGTCTTGTATCGGAGCGTCGGGTCCGGGAACATGAAATGCTGGAGCTTGGGCATCACCGTGTACTTGACGACACGGCCCTTGCTCGCCTTGCGGTTCACAATCTTCTTCTTGCGCTTGAGCTTCAAGCTCGCGCCGAGGTTGGCGTCGAGCCCGTTTGCGCCGTTTTCAATGTACTCTTTCAGGAGCTGCTGGTAAAACTCGCGGTCGTCGTACTGGAGGTCCTCGATCGCCTCCGAGTCGGTCGCGTCGTCAGCCGACGAGACGTCGCGGGCCGGGTGCGCCTTGCGCCGAATGCGCTGCGGGTCCGCGAGGACTGCGTCCACCTGCACGAGCACGTCCTGGTTGACGGCCTTGAACTTCTTGGCCGCGACACCGTCCGCCTGCCGCGCGTACTTGTTGAGAATCGACTGGTACTGCGGCAGCGCGGCCGCCGACTCGTCGACACAGCCTTGCCACATGTCATCAGCCGCGTCCATCGAGCGCTTGCTGCTGCTAGAAAACTCAGGCAGCGTGTACATCTCCTGCTGCATCGCATGCATCGTGGTCATGCAGCCCCGGAGCTGCGCCGCGAGCGCCGATCGCTTCGCCGACTCGTCGTCTGAGCCCGAGACGCCGACGCCATTGATGGTCGCAATAAGCTGCTTGATCGCGATCTGGAGCTCCAAGCAGCGCTCCCAAATCATCTTTTGGTGGTGCACGTGCTTGGCTTTGTGCTGCTGCGTCTCGATGTCCTTGGCGCGCATGAGCACGGCCGCGTCTTCTTCTTCGAGGGCGCGAATGACATCGTCGACGTCGCCGCCGCCACCGACGGCCGAGGAGTCTTCGTCGTCCTCTTCGCTTTCGTCTTCCTCTTCCTCTTCTTCAAGGTCGCTGCCGCTTTGGTCGTCGCCGTCCGAGCCCGCGAACGGCTCGCCTTCGGACCACTCGTCCTGCATCTCGCGCTCAAGGTCTTCTTCGTCATCTTCATCGTCGCTCTTGAGGTCGGTGCGGCGAACAACCTTGCCCTCGTACGCCGGGTCGGCGTCGTCAAAGTTGGAGTTGCGCACGCGCAGCGACGACGCGGGGCGCATGGCGACGTCGTCGTTGTCGTCGTCGTCATGGCCATTGGCCTCGCTCTCCGAGCCTGAGTGGGTCGCGGCTGCGGTACCGTCGTCGTACTCGTCGTCGTCGACCGTGAAGACGCGCTTGCTCTTGGCGAGCCCCTTCATGCGCCCGACCATCGGATAGAAATGCTTCAACCTCCAATACGAGTGGAAACCGGTCGGCGTCAATTCATTGGTCGGAAGCGGCGCCACTGCTTTTTTACATTCTTATTTTTATAAATTTTAATGTTTCATACAACAAGCAAGCTTTATGCGTCAAGTTGCATTTTATTTTCACACCAATAAGATCCATAGCATTTAAATATTTCGGCGGCGAGCCGAGCCGACCCCGAGCTGGCAGCAGCAGCTGTAGCCCATGGCCGCCGCAGCAGCAGCAGAGGCCGAGGGCAGGCGCCACATGGGTCCTACGCTGCACGTGGGGCGCAAGGAGACATCCTCGGAAGCCGCGGGCCCAGCGACAGGCGCCAAGACGATAAAGTTGCATTTCGTGCTTGGACGGTCCAACCCTCGGGCCATGGGCTCCACAAGCCGCAAGCGATCGCACGAAGACATGCCAGACTCGATATAGTCGCTAGGGTTACTCGAGAGCTAATGGCAGCGCGATCGCGAAAGAACAAAGAGGACCGGATGTAGGGTACGACGTCGAACAAAGGGTTGGCTTTGCTCTCAATTATGTGTTCCAATTGATCAAGACAAGTTCCGACCGGCAAATTTACTTGTCGGCGTTGGCCTTCTCGGCGGCCTTCTTCTTGCGGAGACCGACGAGGCGAGCGTCGGCCTTGGCAAGGCGGAGGGTCTTGACGACCGACTCGTTCTTCATGGCGTCGGTGATCTTGGCCGTGGCGACTTCCGTCGAGGCACGGGCAATCGGGAAGAGGGCACCCGTGTGCTGGACGGCAGCCTTGATGTCCTCGACCGAGGCATCGCCCTGCTTGGGCTTCGAGGCGCGCTTGCGCGGGAAGACAACAAGCTTCGACTTGTAGGCCTTAAGGCGCTGGACGTTGGCCTGGAGCGACTCGACCGACTTGTTGGTGCGGCGGTAGTCGACGGCAATGCCGATCGAGAGGGCCTGCTTGCGCGAGATGCCAGCTTCCTTCAACTCATCCAAGGTGAAGCCACGGCCGGCACGGACCTTCGAGCCGTACTTGACCGTGGGGCAGTGGACAGCCGGGCGGAGGAGACCAGCAGCCGGGCGCGGGGCAATGGCCGCAGCCTTGGCCTTACGAGTCAGGCGGCGCGACTTCTTCTTCGCGGCCTGGTCGAACCACGTCTTGATGCGGTTCTGCCAGTCCTTGTGGAAGTGGCCATTCGGGATCACGTTGTTGTGCTTGACCATGGTTGACTACACAGATCATGAGCCTCCTGCGTCGTCGGCCAGGCGGCCATCATGCCCGGCAACTTGCGTTTCTTACCTTATTACAAGTTAAATTGGAACTTAAAACCCGGTCGTATACGTTGATACAAGTCGGCGCCCAAAAGAGAGCCGCAGCCAACCACACCAAGGACCAGTCATCCCTCGCGGCCAGTAAAATCCAACGGCCAATCACATTGCGCAGCAATCCTCTCAGAATGCATATTTAGCACGGGCGCATCCGGATACCACGATGCACCTTTGGAACCTTATACACAAGCGCCATTTTGCACGCGGCCAGCGCTGCGGCGGCAGAAGGCGCGCTGCAGCCCGTCGATCGCGACGCATTCCGTGCAATGCTTGCACATGTAGGCTGCCTGCTACGCCCGACGCAGTACGCTGGTGCAGCGGACAGGTACAGTATCTCGCAAGAGCTACGGCCCGCGATGGCAAGAGCACGGGCAAGCAGCGAGCCAAGAGTCGAATGAGCGATGGCGAGTGCATGCGACGTCTCTTGTAGTGGCAGCGACAACCTTATGATGCTGCGATCGAGTTAATGGAATGGTCGCGGACGAGGTTGGCGGAGACCTGCTGCAGAGACTGCAGACGCCTCGTCTTGGTTGCACAAGGCCGCCTCTTCGTCCTCCATCTCCTGTTCTCGGACTGAACCTGACTTACGAACGCACGGCACATGGTATGGTTCCAGGACATCAGAAAAGACAAGCGACACTTTCTCTTGCAGCTCGTATCGCCGGAGCGTTGCGAGCTTCAGCGAAGGTCCAAAGGGCTTGCGTCTCGCCTGCAGAGGACCCGAGATGGGCTGGAACGTGCGTGGACGCCCCAGTGGTGTTATTGCTGCCACCGCTGTCACTATCAATAACACTCGAAGGCAGAATGCATTGAGAGGCGTCGACGCATCTCGCCGAACGCGAATCTCGCTCACAGGCAGCTGAAGACTCGTTGGACGTCCAGCGTTGATGCATGCAAGGTAGTCTGTCCAGGGAACCCTAATGAACGGGCGCCAAAAGATATTCCGTGCTTTGATTTCGCATCCGACTGGCGTAGAAAGCGCCAGGATTTCATTCTTCCTTGCAGCTGCTGCCGTACAATCTTGAGAGGTCCCTGGACTCGTATCAAAGCAAGTAGTCTACATCGCTTGATGGCCACGTCCACGCGACGTCAATGCGATGGTGGAATCGTCCAGGATAATATACCTACACGCACGAGTACCTTGGCGCGTCCAACTGCTCAAACGCATTGCCTCCATAAAAAGCGCGCGCGCAAATTTTGACCGGATTTGCCGTGTCCATGCTCCGATATATGCCCGTCGAGAACAGCGTCGGTGGCACCAAGCCACTACGCTTGCAGTGCGCACACGAACAGCAAGCGACGACGCAAGCTTGCGGGAGGTCGCCCGTGCGTTGGAATCGCGATCGACGGATGCGATCGCGTGGCTTCTCCGCCCATCAAGCCGGGCGAGATGTGCGTTATGCGCAGGCAATCACCGAAGGCACCGAAGCAGCCTCTGTCGCATGCTGGGATCGATTTCTGAAGCGCACGTTCTATAATTTGAGCTATAATTTGTCCAACACCCCATCGTCAACAACGAGGGATCCGTATCCACCGAACGCGCACCTGCCATGCTGCGTATCTCTGGCAAGGGTCCTGGTTCGATCCATGGGGCGCGACAATAGCGGACATCTCGCTATTCCCAGATTCCCACATTCCCACGTATCAGTCTTTGGCTTGTGGCAAGGCTCCGACCTCGCGGACGGCCTCGGGACCAGGTGTGGACTCGAAATTTCAACAAACCTGCACCTGACATGCTGCAAATACATACGTGCACTGGTCGTCGACCAATGAAAACACCGCCTGCTAAATCCCTCGCATGGGATTGGACAAATCCGTGGACGCACGCGACGTGGATATCCTGATGCCATTCCAACGCTTGGCAACCCAGATGCGATGGCTGCTCAAAGTGCAATTTGACGCGATGAGCGTACTCGCCTTCCTCCTCATGCCCCAGGAGCCTACCCCCACGACGTTGACGGCCAAGCCAACTAAGTCAAAGGGCTGGCCATGGCGCCGACTCCGCCGCCGCGTCTCCAACGTAAGCGAGCCATCCCAGGTGCCGTGCGCGGCCGGGCACAAGCCAGCGCCGGTCACAGCCTCCCGACACATTACGATTGCCTACAAGAAGCACGACCTGTCCAAGCGACGAGAACGCTCGAGTCTTATTGGGGGTCACTACGTGCCGTGGACATCCGCCGAGCGCGCGTACTGGAAGTTTGAACGACAATGGTTCATGGTGTGCTCGCCCATCGACGAAGAGAACCCGGCCGTGTGCGACGCGTGCCAGTCGCGTGCGTTCGAGCTCTCGACAAACAAAATATGGATCTCCAAGACCTTGCCGTCGCTGCGACGACCTCTGGTGAACGCGCGTCGCCACTAATTTATAGGTAATCAATCGTTTAGTACAAAAGTACCTTTGTATAAAAATTTATGCAAACACAAAGCTGTCTGCGTTAAGAGGTATCTTTGTCCGACGTCATCAAAGAAATCAACGAATACTGGTCGTCCGGACGAGATTCGTGGATGCGGGCGCAAAATTTGGACGAGACTGACGACTGTGTCGAGAAGCTTCCACCTCGCACCTGCCCGACGACGCGCGGCCTATAAACCATCGCGGTAGTGCAAGATAAAGGGCAAGAGCAAAACGACTTCAGGCGCCTTGTCTTGACGCAAACAACACGCGCGTGGCTGCCTCCTCGTGGATCGGCAACCTTCGAGCAAATCACAAGAATATGATCGCAACCATACAACCTGACTTCCAGTATCCTGCACGACAAAAGATAGAAGAAGATGCCCAACTGCTCGTATATTACTTGTACACATATGAGAGGAACCGTGCAACCGCCCGATAGCGAGCTCCGCCCGACCTCTCGTGTTTGCGAGCCTGTGGCGCATCAGCGCAATTTAGGATGATGTTGGATCCGAGCACGTCCACTTCAACAAAATCAAGGTCCGAGCGCTGATCGCTCGCGGGCTCACGATATGATCCTGCTTGGGATCACGGCGTACAGGAAAGCTCTACCAATCGCACCGTCTTGGGTTCATCCATGACTTGTCGAGCTTAATAACCTGGCACTGCGACATGTGCCAGCCGTGATGTCGAAGAATACTAGAAAAAATACAGCGCGCCATTTGGTCAACAGCTTGCATAAAATGACTTCAACGTTGAGTGAAAATGCAATAAAATACCAAGTGATCGGCGACCGGCTATCAGAACTGAACCGTTTGGCGCGCGAGTAAAAATCCGTGTGGAAATCCGAAAGCGTGGGATCCAGCAAGCAATCCAGGTTCAAACATAAAGGAATTTGTATGCTGCACGCGAAAAGGCGGCGAAAAGCGCAATAAAATACCATGCCAACTGGAGATTGCTCACCCGATGACGCTGAATTCGACTGCGACGTGGTGGTGGTCATGGCTCATCACTTTGCCTTTGGATCTCTTCCAACCACATCCATTCTACCATGGCCATTGTCCTCGCCAAGATGTTCCAGAAGAAGCCCAAGATAGGTTTGAAGGACGTCGAGACCAATAAGCCGCGCGGCGGTCTGCGCTGGACGACCAAAAAGTGCCACCCGTACAAGCCGATCGACGACACGCCGAGCTGCTGCAAGGCGCGCCTCGCGTCGGAGCAGGTGCTGCCGCAGTACGAGCTCGGCGCGCCGGATGTGACGATTTCGCACCGCTTTATTGACCGGCCGCGCGTCCGCATGCACAAACTCGCAACGATCGTCGGCGGCCACAAGGTGCCGTTCTCAGAGCTTGAGCTCGACTACTGGAAGGCCGATTTTGAGCACAAGAACACGCTCACCGCGATCGCTGAAGAAGACAAGTCGACGTGCGAGTGCTGCATGGCGGTCGCCTTCTCGTCCAACGCGCGCAACGTGTGCATTGCGCTCACCAAAGTCTCGCGCCGCCGCCGCGCCTAGACACCTCATTTCTTATTTCCACTTACTTGCCCAATACAAGTGCTATTTATTGTCGACGTCGCGTTGTGTATATTTAGACAGGCGCCATCATCTCGAGCATCCGCGTCGACAGGATGCATTCCAAGAATGGAAACGCTGCTGCACTCGATGATCTCTCTGTCGCTGTCGCCGGACGCGCTGCTCCAGGACCATGCGTTCGAGGACGTCGAGCGGTGCGAGGACTACCCAGCCGAGACAAACGCGGGCCCGCCCCCTTTCTCGATCGACACGGACGACCAGCAGAGTCGGGAAGAGAAGCTCTTTTTGGTCTTTACGTCGTTTGCGCTCCAGACGTCGTCGGACGACCCGACGTGCATTCGCCTCGGCAACGTCATCAAGCTCCTCCAAGAGTGTCGCATTGTGCTCGACACGGTCGCCACCTCGTCGTCGCCGCTGGTGCTCAAAGACGCCAAGGTATTCCACTCGACTTTATATGAACGAGGGTGGAAAGCTCGACAAGTAGCCGCTCGTGGCGCTTACAATCCGCGATGTCGAGATGCTCGCGAGCAAGCTCATGCACACGCGCACGACCAGCGTCAAGCTCAGCTACGACAAGTTCCTTCACTTTTTGTGGGCCCTGGCGCAGCAGGTAGAATGGACAACGTGTATCCGAACCTTCCTCGACGCATCTTGGCCGTACTAGGCGCATCCGGGCGTATCACCGCCCATGGCCTTCAAGTACATTGTGGACCAGTGTGTCCAGACACCCCGCAGCGCCAAGATGCGACCGTACGAAGGAGTAGCTTGGTGAAGCTGCGCAGACCACGCGATGTGATAGGCCTCGGATCAGCACGACGCGTCCGCGCGCAGTTGCACAAAAGCTCTTGGGTGCGTTTGAGGCCAGTCTGCTCGAGGTGCGTCACGGCAACATGACACATCTCACATGGGTCTAGATTTTTAGCTACTATGCGATCCCGCCGGATTCGAGGAACCCGATGGACAAGAAGCCCCACTTGGGTGACCGCCGACGCGGCTTCTATTGGAGCTACAGCCATGCGCTCACGTTTGCGCGCAAGTATGGGCTCAGCGCATACCTCTCTGTGACCAGCTTTGCCTATGCGTACGTCGACAGCCTTGTCAAGATTGACGATCTCTCGCGCCGACTCACGTACGACGGGTTTTGCGACCTTCTCATGCGCATCGCGCTGCAGCTGGCCGCGCACCCGGACACGGACGCCGTCCTCCGGCTCAAGTGCGTCTTGTCGCACGCATATTCTGCTAAATACGTGGCATGCCTAGAGCGCTCTTCCAGCTCATGTGGATGCGCTGCGCGTCGGCGAAATCGGGAGACCCGGCGAGCGCCCAAATCTGTGGTGCTCGCGACCACGTTGGGACGGGCCAGTCGCTCGTCAAGAACGCGGTGCGCGCGCGATTTTCTCTTGCCCCTCTTACGGACAATGACACTGGGGTGTAGGAGTCGCAGACATTTGCGGCGACGTATCTGAAAATGTGGCGAAAAGACCGCTTCATGTACGAGACGCAGCAATTTCATCGTACAGATGCACATGTCTGTGAGTAGGGACTACATGACCCTCGTGACCCCGGCGCCACCACCGCCGATTGCGACGACAAAGCTCGCCATGACCCAGGTCTGTTCGGCGACTCGGACCGCGCAAAAGTCGTTTATGCACGTTCGAATAGGTCTTGGGCGCAGCGCCAGGGCACTCGATTTATCACGCCGCCCACCGTAGTGTGTCTACCATGTAAATGGAGTCAAAATATAATATGCATGGAACACAAGAAGACCAATGCATCGTCAGTCGGTCGCAAGTCCACGACGACGGCGATAGAGTCCGAGGTCCAATAATGCAGCACGCAGTGTGGACAGGGATCTTGGCACTTGACCGCATCGCGTCTTGGCCTCCAAGGACCTACTCCAAGGACCTACCGGTACTATAGTAGCATAGCTGTACGTCGACCTGTGGACCGTCGAACACATATGTCGCTCCAAAGACCATCATTTTGAGCCCGGCGTATCCGGATACAAAAACTATCATGCAAAAGCGCGTAATGGGCTCGATTGCTCAAAGTTCAGGACATCATTTCCGAATCCCATGTACACTGCCATCTCCCCATCGCCATTTCTCAACACAAAGCATGCACCGTACGTTTGGGTTGCTGGCGCCAAGAAGCGTCGCGCGAAAGCGACGGCAGCGGTCACCCAAGCAACTTTACCGCCACTCGCTCAAGAAACGCCCCTGCCGACGCCGCTCGTCCCAGCAACGACGGTACCGACACTACCACAAACGTCTTGGAAGCGCGTGCCACTCAGCACCGCATCGAAGCGCAAGGTCCTTGCGATCGGGGCCATCTCGACAGTTCGGGCCGACCTTCGGAAAAAGTTCAAGGCTGACGAAGCCACGTTTCAGGAGCAATAAACACGAGTCCTTTGTGATCAATGAAATCTTTAGTCTACACACTTTTGGGCAGTTGTTTTAATCCATTTTGATGTAGACAATCATATAGAAAGAGAACTCGAAGTATTATAATTTGGACCTTGAAGATGGATCAAACCGCACAAGCAAAGACGTACCTTTGTGTAGCAATTACATTGTTTCGTCGTCTTTTGAGGCGAGAGCAATGTCAAAGACGATCGGTGCGTTGGTGCACTGCCGGAGCAGCGTGGAGGAAGCAGCGTTGATAAAGGTCGTGGGACCAATTGTCTCGGAGCCATAGCACTCGTGGATGTGGCCAAAGACGTGGTACTTGGGCAGAATGCGCGTCTGGACGTCGTGCAAAAGGTCTTCGTCGCCGCAGCGGTGGCCGCGCACGCTCAGGTCGCGGATTCCAAGCGGCGGTCCGTGTGTCACAAGAATGTCGACGTTCGCAGGAGCTTGGCCCCAAATGCCCTGCGCGTGCGAGCCGGGAAACGCCTGGAAGGCCCTACGCGCGTGACTGATAAGCGACGACGCAGCTGCGAGGAAGTACACACATGACGGCGCCGGGGTTGAGCGTGCTGTACGGCGACCCAAAGATGCGGAGGCCTTCGACTTCCAGCACTTGGTTCTCCAAATATGTGCAGTGGCGCAAAAGCTGCTTCGAGACGCTCGGGTCCTGGAAGGTTTTGTGCCACTTTTTCCAGTCAGTGGGGTACCATGCCGCATCGAGCGACAGCTCGTGGTTGCCCGCAACCACAACCTTGTGGCGGTGGGGCAGCGCGGCCAGCCAGTCGTCAAAGGCCTTGATCTCGGCGTGGCCTCCGCGCTTTGTAAAGTCGCCAGCGTGGATCAAGATGTCGCCGTCCGGCACGACCAAGTCGTTGTGCCTGCTATGCGTGTCCGAGATGCACACAACCCGGAGCACTCGACTTGGTGCCATCGTTGTCATATTGCTCTTTGATGCTCTTCGAGAAAAAGGCAATCTGGGCCCGGCCCATCCGGTTATAAGTGTGGCATTGGTGTTTAACCGGATGCGTGAGAAGGTCAAGCACGGTGCCTGGGTACTTGAGCAGCCTGATGGGGTTGTGAGGCGACGCAGCTCGGCAACCGGTCTGCTAGCTCCTCAGCCGTGTGACCATCACAGGCCGACGCGCGAAGCGCCAAGCTCACGAGTGCTGGAAGCTCATGTGCGTCTCATCACGGTCCAAACACGCCGCATCGAGGTGCTGTAGGCGTGGCAGGTGCATACTGTGGTGATGCAGGCGCGACTTCAGTTGCGCCAAGGTATCCACAAGTGTAAGTGCCAGTACCAGCAATTCGGAGCGTTCGATCATCAAGGCAAAGACCCACACATCTCGGGGTCGTCGTAACTCAAGCGCAAATGCGTTAGATTGGAGGCGGCAACGCCACGCAACAATTTGGTTTGCGACTGCGCGCACCGAGCAAGACCGCAAACGACCCGCAGGCGCTTCAGCACCGGCTGGCGCGACAGTGACGTCGCGACGCAAGGTCGTCGTCATCCATGTGCAGGCGCAGCGACCCGGCTTGTTGAGACCAGTTGCGAACAGCCCGCGCCATGTGCGTGTCTGAGCAGACGTAGCCCACATCCACCTTGGCCAAGCGTGGAGTGTGATACCAGGGTGATTCGTGCCCGACGGCGTCGACGGACGACAGCATTGGCGAGATGGCCTCCACGGCCGCGACAAGCTGCGGGTCGGTGACGCGAGGGCGCCACGAAAGCTGCGGCTACAGCTCGATGCGCTGCGGCAGCCTAGCGTTGGTATTGCGAAGAGGCGCGGCGAGCGCTGTCATGGACACCGCGAGCCGCGTGGGCAAAATGCTGCAAGGAAGGTTTGCTTCGCCTTGGCGTCCGCCAAGTACTCGGCAATGCACTGCAACATCTCGTTGGGCAGCCCACCAGGCGACACGCGCTGGCGCTTCGTATCTGGACGATCGACGGTCGCCATGGCGATTCCACCATCGTGGTCACGTAGACATGCGTGCAACAAGGTTATAGTAGAAAAACGCGTTTTTCGTGCAGTTACGCAAGGTTTTAATAGAAAAACGCGCTTCTGGTGCAGTTTCACGCCTTTAGCCGTGCGTTGATGTCGCCACTTGATAAGTTGATCTTTCTGCACACTGCAGGACGCCAAATAACATGCAAAATAGAATTATGAGAGCATCATGTAGCCTAGGCCTCTAAACCTTGTCGTTTACAGAGCGATGGGCGCCATCAGCGAGAAGGAGCCCGTGCCGAGCTTGACGGGCTGGCCGAGCACGATACGGGCCGAGGGACCCGCCATGTCGTCGCCAAAGTTGCCGGTCGCGGCTTCCGTCAAAAACTTCATGGACGTTTCGAACGTGATCTGCTGGAACGACGAGCCCTTGCGCGCCATGCCCGACCGGTTGAGCGGCATGTAGTCACCGTAGTGCGTCATGTAGTCGGCGAGCAAGCTCAAGTGGCGCGGGTCCACCGAGATACCGTAGACGCCAAACACATCTTGAATCTGCTTGGAGATCGACGCGCGCGCGGCCTCGACACCATAGTTGAGCAGCACTTGGTAAACATCGTTGGTCACGAGCCGGTTCACGTCGAGCTTGTCGTTGAGCTCCCAGATCGCCTGGAAGTTGAGGCCCGCGGTTTGGATGCACTGCTCTTCGTCGCCCGACTTGTCGAGGCGCTGCTTGACCGCGTAGCAGCGCGAGATACCCGGGCACGACCGCACGAGCACCTGCGCCGCGATCTTCTCGATGAGCGGCACGAGGAGCAGCGTCTTGAAGTTGGCGGGAAACCGCAGCTTGAGCTCGCCATAGTGCTCGGTCGTGTTGACGCCCGCGCCGGCAAAGTACGGGTTCTTGGACACCGTCGCGGAGACCGGGACGTCCTTGAGCTCGCCCTTGAGGACCTTGATCGGCGCCGCGTCTTCGTCGTCCGAGCTGTTTTCCGTGTCGGACGACGCCGCGTTCTTCTTCTTCTTGGGCGCCTCGTCGTCGTCGTCATCGTCCGAGTCTGCCGCACGCTGGACAGCAATGTCTTCGTCGTCCATGTCGCCGTAGCCGGACGCCTCCTTCTTGGCGCCAAACTTGAGCGTGCCTTGGTCTTCGTCGTCATCATCATCGTCGTCGTCCTTGGTCTTCTTGGCACGGCCACGCGGTGCGTCGTCATCGTCGTCGCCAAAGTTGTCGGACGCCCGCGCGCTCATCGTGTTGCCCGACTCGACCGAGATCGTCACGCCGCTCTTGCGCATCTCGTGCTTGAGGAGCGTGAGGAGCTTCGAGACAAAGTGACGGCCAAACGCGCGCTGGATCTCCTTGGTCGTGATGCCAAACGCGTCACGGATGAGCTTGGGCTTGAAAAAGTAGAGACGAATCGTGTACTCGCGGCACCAGAGCACGCGGTTCTCGGCTTCCAAGAACTGGTCCTGGACGCGAATGCCCTTGGTGTTGCGAATGAGCTCGGCAAGCGGCACTTGGTTGAGCTGCTGCTCGACCGCCATGCCGTCGGCCGGCGACGCCGTCGGGAGCAACGGAATCGTCATCATCGGCGTCGACATCTTCTTACTGGCCGTCATGATGATTTCACGCAGACGCGGGATACCGAGCGTGACGTTGGCGGCACCGTGGCCGGCCAAGTGGAACGTGTTGAGCGTCATCTGCGTCGAGGGCTCGCCAATCGACTGCGCGCAGATCGTACCGACGTTCTCGCCGGGCTGGCACAAGCTGCGCATGTACTTGACCCACACCATGAGGCGGAAGCCGGACGCCGAGACGACGCCGCCGAGCTTGTTCTTCTTCGACTCGAGCAAATTGCTCGGGTTGGCCTTCGAGTACGACTCAATGTGGTTCTGCGTCTTCTCCGAGACCGTGCCAATGTGATGGTTGAGCGGCAGTGCGTGCATGACCGGGTCGGGCAGCTGCGGGCGAATGAGCTCGACCGAGCCAGCCATGTACTCGTTCTCGGGCATCGTCGCCGTGCTCGCCTTGAGCTGCTTGAACTGCGGCACGCCACGCACCGTCTCGCCGTCTTCGTACGTAAGGTCGTACACGGCAAAGTCGCCGCTGTCGTCGACCTTGGCGATCGTCGCCGCATGCCACCCCAACGCAAAATGGCCCTTCTTCCACTTGTGGTGGCCGGGCTGGAGGCGGCGCGCAAGGACGCTCAGGCCTTCCTTCATCGAGTGCATCTCAAAGAGACCGCCTTCGTAGCCGTGGCGCTTGGCCGACTTGATCTCGTGGTGGAGCTGCGCAGGCGCGACCACGTCGAGACCCGACGTCTCCAAAAAGTCGGCCGTGATGCCAAACTTGTGCGAGAGCGACGCGTGGTTCATCGCGAGGAAGCTCATCTGGTCGGCCTTGCCCGAGAGGAACGCCGAGTTGAGCGTATCGACACCGTCTTCGCCGTACAAAAACTGCACAACGTTGCCGTCGCAGTTGCGCACCGTGTGGTCGTAGCCCACATGCAGGTCCTCGAGGTGCTTGACCAAGCAACGCTGGAGGTACCCGGAGCGTGACGTCTTGACAGCCGTATCGACAAGACCTTCACGGCCCGCCATGCAATGGTGGTAGTACTCTTGCGGGCGCAACCCCGTCAAGAATCGATCCGTAATGTAGCCACCGGCGCGCGGGCTCGGGTCAAACGGCTCGAAGGACGGGAGCGACTTGCCGCTCACGAGCACGGGCACGCGGCGACCTTCGAGCGCCTGCTGGCCGAGACCGCACGAGATCTGCGAGTGGTTGACCATCGAGCCCTTCGCACCGGTGAGCACCATGAGCGAGAAGCAGTTGGCAGGGAAGCTCTTGTTCTGGCCGTGCGGCAGACACGACTTGATGATCTCCGAGTTGGAGCCATGGACAAAGCCCATCATGTGCGAGTCGAGCGCCGACGACGTGTTCTCGAGGTCCTCGGCCATTTTGCGGCGCATGGTCTCGCGAAGCGTGGCGCGCTCGTCGTCGTTCATCCGGCGGGTCTCGTCGCTCTTGAGGCCCGGAAGGCCCGCAAACTCCGAGTACGCAACCTCACCGTGCAAGACACTCTGCTCAACGAGGCGGCGACGTTCCACTTCCGCCGGGCCCGTCAGCGTCAAATCTTCGAGCGCGCACGTGTGGCCCGCATACTGGAGGTAGCAAGTCAACACGCGGCCGAGCGCCGTGAGGAGCTTCGCGGCCGTGCCCGCGCCGTAGAGCTCGTAGACGGCATGGACCCAACCGTACTCGGAGGCACCAAACTGCGCCTTATCAAGCACACCCTGGAGCAGCTCGCCGTCACGGAACACGATAATGTGTTCGGCGTTCTTCGGGCCGTAGAGGTCGGCCTTGATCTTGGCCTTCGAGTCGAGGTTGAGCGGCGGCTTGCCGGCCGTGAGCATGAGCAAGATCGTCGACATGACTTGCTTGCCCGTCCACATGGGCTGCGGCTTGAGGAGCGTCGGCGGCAGCGTCTTGATGACGCCCTTCTCGCCGTCGAGGCACGTCCACGCCGAGTAAACGAGCTGGAGGTACATGTCCTTGGTCAAGAACGTGTCACGCTGCGTGAGCTTGACGCCCGAGTCGACGTGATCCTGGATGAGACCGCGGAGCGGCGACCCGTCCGTCGGCACGAGGTACTGGTTGTCGTTGTTGGCAATGTGGTACGCCTCGGCGCGCGCGAGCTCGTTTTGCGGAAAGTGCATGTTCATCTCATCGCCGTCAAAGTCGGCGTTGAACGTGTTGCAGTTGGCGTAGTGCATGCGAATGGTTTGCATCGCGGGATTCGTCAGCACACGCGTCACATGCGCCATCATACTGGGCTTGTGGAGCGTCGGCTGGCGGTTCATGAGCACGACGTCGCCGCTCTTGAGGTGGCGCCACACGCGCTTGACCTTGTGCTTTTGGTGCGCGCCCTGCGCACTCGCCGAGCGCGTCAACAGCGTTTTGCCAATCGCGCGGCGCTGGTCGGGCGTGCGCTTGCTCAGATCGATGAGCTGGCCGCGCTCGTTCTCGACAAAGTTGGCGCCCGGGTGGATCTGCGGGCCGTTCTCGACCAGCTGGCGCATCTCGACGACGTTCCACGGCGTGACGGCCTGCGGCAGCGTCAGCGTCTTGGCAAAGCGAAGGGGCACACCGATCTCGGACGTCGCAATGTACGGATCCGGCGAAATGACCGAGCGCGCCGCGTAGTTGACGCGCTTGCCCATCATGTGCTTGCGGAAAAGACCTTCCTTCTTCTCGATGAGCTGCTTGATGCCTTGGGGCATGTCGTCCGGGCGCTTGGCCTTGGAGTTGTCGATGAGGCAGTTGACCTGCGTCTGGAGCTCGGTCCAGAGGTAAATCTTGTCCGAGAGGTTGACCGACTTGGCCGTCTCCGTGTCCGTCGTCTCACGGCGCGCGTTGTTCATCTGCATCATTTGCTCCGAGAGCGAGATGATCTTGGAGAGGTAATTGTTTTGCGCGTGCTCGAACTGCGTGTCGCCCATGATCACGGGCGGGCGGAAGCGCGACGGCGCGACCGGAATCACGTTGAGGAAGAACTTTTGCCAGCCGATGAGCGCGAGGTTGTCGCCGCGGCGGCTCGCAGCAACGCGGTTGCCCCACATGAGCTCGGTCAAGCCATCTTCGTTTTGCCAGAGCAGCTGGAGCTGCGACATGACCTCCAGCGGCGCGAGGTACTGGTGGCCGGCCGTCGACGCCTCTTCGCGGTCCGAGTCCATCTAGTGGACAGAGCATAATGAGCATCAAATCGTAAGGAACGTCGCTAGATAGCATCGTACGTCTTCGTCCGAGTCGACGTCCGAGTCGTCGGCAGCCGGCGCCTTGCCGTCGGTCGTCTTGTGCACCATGTCAAAGGCCGAGTTGAGGTTGATCGCGCGCGACTTGTTGTGGCGCAGCGAGCGCTGCGAGAGCGGCTTGAGGAAGATCTTGGCCGCCGAGTCTTGGCGAATGGCCGGCGAGTGCGCTTCGCAGTTTTCGCACTTGTACGTCATGCCTTTCAGGAACGCGCTGATGATGCTATCGCGCTCGACCTCGACGGCGCGCGGGTTCTTGGGCAAAAACGTGGCCGCGCCCGAGAGCGCGAGGCGCTCGTACTCGTCGAGAATCGCCTGTTGGCGCTGGATGGTCTGCGCATGGCCTTCCTCAAAGTTGCCGTCCTTCTGCTCCAGGAGGTCGAGCATCTGCGAGGCCTCTTCAATGTAGCCATTGTCCAAGAGCAAGAGGCGCACGCGGAAGATGCGCGACGACGACGACGCGCGGCGAAACTTGTGGCAGCTCATGCACTTGCGCTTGAGGATGTTGAGGAGCGTCGCAAAGAGGACGGGCGAGTAGACCGGCACCGGCAGCTCAATGTGGCCCAAGTGGCCCGGGCACTCCTTCTGCGTCATGTGGCACGTCGGGCAGATCATGTTGAAATCGATCGGGCCCATCGCAGGGTCGTACAAGCCGCCGAGGACCGGGTTCTTGAGCCCGTCAAACGAGATGCGCGACGTGATCTGCTTGACCGAGAGCGCGCGGATCTCATCGTCCGAGTAGAAGCCGAAGTTGATCTCCGACACCTCATGCCGCAGGATCGTCTGGTCCATCGACGCGTCCATGGCGGCAACCCGACGATCTTGAAGTGAAAATGCGACCACTCGTAAATTACGCTTCGATCTCCACCAGTGATCGATTTTCAGCCAATCCCGTGCAAGGTCCCGCACAAGTGCGCTTTTAGACGCACTTTGCGAATTTCAGTTTCACCCGACGCTGCCACGTATGAGCGGACAGCGCTCAGAACGTAGAGGGCATGAGCACCAAAGCAAGAGCAGGCAAGGGTCTGTTAAATAAGCGAATGGGGGCTGCTCTCGGTAAGCTCTCGCTGCGCCAAGCGCTCGGCCCGTCGACGCGCGCGCCGTGCGCGCTTGGCATCGCGCTTGCGCAGCTCCACTTGAAACTCTTCGATGCGGTCAAGGACTTCGCCATTATCTTCGATGCGCGCGTAGAGCGCGGGGGAGAAGCCTTGGGCGTCTTGGACGTCCAAATCAGCGTGGGCTACTCAGGCCATGACATCGCCGCGCAATCAACGAGATGAAATCGCACCGGTGTGGAGAAGGTAGTCGACAAGGTCGATGTACCCTTTAAAGCATGCAATGTGCAACGGCGTCATGCCCAGGTTGTCTTGCGCGTTCACGTCCGCGCCATGCTCGAGCAGCATCGCAATGACCTCAAGGAAGCCTCGGATCGTCGCCCAATGCAGCGGCTGCATGCCATCGACATCCGCCACGTCGACGCGGGCGCCGTCTTCGATAAAGCGTCGCCTACATGTAGGACCACATTTAACATCAACCCGTCATGAACGATGCGCTCTGTCGGCGTGTTACGCGATGCTCTTGTTGCCCATGCTAGGCATACGACAAGGTGAGCGCTACCCCATCAATGGATCCATGGCCTACACGAGCGTCATGTGGAGGGGCGTGAAGAGCGTGCCTTCGTCTTGAAGGTTGACGTTGGCGCGTTTGTCCAGGAGAAACTTGGCGATCGCGCCCTGCTTGAGCTGAATCGCGATCGACATGGCGAGCCGACCGTCCTTGTCGCGGCTGTCGGGCGGCACGCGCCGGAAGAGAAGCCGCGACACGTTCACAAGGTCGGCGTCCCAGACGGCGTCCGTGAGCGACACTTTGACAAAGGGCAAAAAGTGCAAGTTGCTGCGCGCGTATTTCGCGGCCAGCGTCTTGAGCGTGCGCGGGCGCTTGGGGAAAAACTCGACGCCGGGCTGGCTCTACACAAAAACCTGTTACGCGCGACGAGGCGAATGTGAGGGACCTTGAGTCGCATGCGGTCGCGCAGCTCGAGAACGTATGCTTTTCGCCGTGCAAAGTCCAAGCGCACGAACGCCAAATGCGTTTCGTCGAGCCGCGGGCCGTCTTCCCATGCCTGCCCGAGCACAATGCGGTGCGACTTGATCGAGACCGCGTCGGCAGCCGGCTTGGGCACGAGGTCTTCCTCGTCGTCGTCGTCCATGTCAGACATGTTGTCGGTTTCGAAAACGGACACCTCGGCGCCCCCAAGGGCTTAAAGTACCCTTGGTCGACCCCCACTATCTGCGTCTTGCTACTTGGAGCAACCGGTGTCTACCCTACAACTGGCAGCGACAGCAACACATTCTGGATCGAAAGAGGGTAGTATTAAATACGTTGAAACGAGCGAGAAGAAGGTGCAAATGCGCAAGCCAAAGCAGCGAAAAAAGATGCAAACAAATCGAAAGGGCTAAAACTCGGCCACGTGGCAGAAGCGCGCGCACGACGGGTCGTAGGACCCATCCAGAAGCATGTCGTCGTGCTTGATGGTGACCAGATGCGCCGGCAATTCGTGCACGATGGGGGCGCTTTGTGTCATGTACGACGCCGACGCCGCGGTCCCGTCGTCGTCCCACAGATCAAAGTACGACGACCCCACGGGCTCGACGGTGGGGGGTCCGTACAAGAAGACATCGCCCCATTCGGTGCTGAACGACGAGGTCGTACTCGACGCCTCGGGCGCATACGGCGTCGCGGGTACATGGACATTGTGCTTGCGCATGTTTGTTTGCGCATGGAGGAGATCGCCGTGCATGTAGAGGTCGTATGTGGCGCGCGGGGCCCACGATTGGCGACGCACTTCTTTTGGAAAAGGCAGTGGGCGCTCGTCGACCAGCCCAGGACAGTTGGTGGCGTTGGTGGTCGTGGTCATCTCGGCGAGCCCGCGCTCCTTGCGCTTGATGAGCTTGATCCCGTCGGGTCGATGCTGCACAAAGTTGGGGTGGCTGAACGTGCACACGACTGTCTGCGTCTTGGTCCACTTTTTGAAGCCAAAGTAGTTGAGCTGGCGCTGGAAGCTCGATACTTTGTTGTGCTTGAAGTAGCGCGGTAGAATGGTGTGGGCGAGCGCATCCGGCTTGCGGATCTGGAACGCCGTGCCTTTGTGCGACCAGCAAATGACGCTCTTGTCTTCCTTCTCGAGGATTTCGTAGAGAAACCGAAGAAACTTGGGTACGCCCACGTTGCGCTTCTTGATCGGCGACTCGGGACTCGACGCCTTGGCCTTGGCTTTCGGCGTCGGCATCGGCGCTGGCAAGCCACCTTGGAGGGCAAACTGCAGCGGCGGCATCGTATACGTGGGCTCGTTCATTCAAACGATGTAGCCGAGATGGACCAAATCGACTTGTGCGCTGGCGTTTGTGATCGAAGCGCGATGACGAATCTTCCCGTCCCGGCGTTTTCAGCGGCCACCAAGCCTTCGAACTTGGAATGTTTGGTCCCACGCGGCGTGTGTGATTGGTTCGAAACAAAACCCCCGCTGGTGCGGGACGCCTCTGGTCACAGGTGGTGGCGCGTCTTGCCTCGACGTCCCATGAAACTTTGGCCTAGGAGAGATTGATGGTCCCCCTCGAAGTATTTCACTCGTATTTTGTCTAGTGGTAGACACATTAATATGCTTGTAGAAGCTGTTGTTTGCTCGTCGTATCGTGCTAAAACTGCACGTGGGCGATCTGCACGATATGGCAAGTGCTGTATGCAGTGGGCCCCAGCTTGTCGACCCCGAACGAGCGATCCACAGCGTTGCAAAAGATCGCGGGGCGACGATCTTAATGAGCGCGCCACGTGATTGGTTGCTCAAAGGGCGCGCCAATTGTTCGAACTTTCTCGCCAAGTGGTGACGCCGCACGTGTCGACAACGAGGGTTGTTGGCGGTGTCCCGCACGCTTGCAGTGCGCACCGACCAACCGTGCGGCGACCAACAGTCACGTACAAGGCAACGTGATGCAACTGACACTGCGTGTCTTGGCGTCTCGAATTGCCTCGTGGCACCCAGGACCCCAATTATGGCCAGCACCGAAAACGCTCGGCACATAAATGTTCGCGCCAGCAGGTGATGATGACTCAAAGGCCAATGACTCAGCGAGTATCTTCCCAAAGCAACCAACATCACCAACATCATGTGTGCTGTTTCTGCGGAGTATTGGTATGCAAAGAGCCTGCCTTGTCCAAGCGAACATGGACCTCGAATGCTCGTAGTCGTACTGTAGAGGTTGCAGCGAGGGCTGCTACAAGACCAAACAAAACGTGCACTTCGGCACGTTGTCGAGCCAATCCTGTGGACGGCGCGGGCTTGGGTACTTGATTCGCTATTTCCGTCCATCCAAAAGAAGCTTCGTCTTTTCTACGAGATTGTTGGCGTTCGTCTACGTGGTGTAGTGATTTCTATGGCCACAACTCCACTCACGGAGTATCGTTATAACAGCCGCTGTCAGCTCGTTCTTCAACCACACGCAAACGACACCTTCGATGGGGCCGGCGACACGGGATTACACGATCCAAACACTGGTTCTCGGCGCCTGGTCGTGCAATCGCGTCCGCATACTTGTTGAACAAAAAGGGCATTCGAAGCCGCATACAGTGTACTCGCTTCGTCGTCGCTTGGCACTGCTGGGGCGTCGCTGCCGACGTTGAAGTCGGTTGCCGACGCGGCCAAAGATACTCTTTTGATTGTTTCGTTTGGAGAAAAACGCGCGGGTTTTTGTTGCCATTGCGTGTTCATGTTCATCGGTTGCAAAGGGCGCGCTTCGCGACATGCTTCTCTTCGGGCGTACAAGACGTTGGCCAAACCGTTTGACGAGCAGCTGCCTTTCATAGCGTAGGACGCTTGCGTAAGGCTCAACAAAAGTGCTTGCTATGACGTGGCGACATGCCCATCGCTTTTCGCAATTGAAACCTCGATGTGTACTGGACGAGAAGACAGGCGCCAAATGTGTCGTGTGCGGCACCGTGGTAGGATATTGCCCCGCACCTGCACATCTAATCCTGCGCCAAGCAGATGGCCGATCCAGGATTAGATTCACGCATTGGGTTGCTTCAACGTCCAGGCTTCGAATCCAACCGACGCGCACGCGAAATGCGTGTTTCGTCGCACGTTGCCGGTTTTTGCGCCCGACTGGCCTCCTCCTTGTGCCAACGCGTTCCGCGCACGCACTCGACGTCTCGCGCTGCAAGTTGTCGCCATTTGTGCAGAGCGTCAGGACCATTTTGGTGGTCTCGCCTGCATGGAACCCAAAGGGCATGGACCTGCGATAACACTGCGATAACCCGATTCTTGTCGCGCCTGCAAACCGGCGCGCCGAATCTGGTGTCCACAGCATCTGATTGGTGCGTTCCAAAAGATACAGCCAATCCCGACGCAGCATCAAAACGCAAGCGCCAATCAGAATGCATTAAATGCAAGTATCTCGAACGAGTGGCATACAAAATCAGCATGGTCCCAGCATGTGACAGTGGGCGCCGCTGCGACACCGCGGCGAGCAAACCAAAGACACTCGCAGTTTCCAAAATGCGTCCACTGACCAAGCCATTGACCCTCGTGAGCATCCGGTCGAGCGCCAAGCAAACGCTCTCCCAGGCCTACGGCCACCTCGTCACGTACTACTCGCTCACCGTCATGTGCCCGAATTCGCACGTCTGGTGGTCCATGAAGCGCCGATACTCGGACCTCTATTACGTCCGGACGCAGCTCCAGCGCATGTACAAGCACGCGCTCAAGCTCAAGGGCGCACGCCAGACCGACCGCGTTGTGGCGCTCTTGGCGCCAGTCGTTTCTGCCAAGTTTCCGCCCAAGCGGCTCGGGCTCGACACGACCAATATCGTGCAGGAGCGCCTCATCGGCCTCAAGGAGTTTGTCGCGCACCTCATGCAGCTTCGAAGCTCCTGCCTCGAGCTCCGCGACCCATCGAACGACTCGTACTTTGAGACGGAGCAACTCAATGAGATCTACCGCCTCCTCGGCCACGCGCTCGCCGTGCCGACGCGAATGAACTGCCGCCCGACGACGACAACTGTTGCGACAACCGAACCGTGCGCGATCTGCCTCGAAGACCATCGAGATGGCGCGAAAGACAGCGTGTTCCAACTCCCGTGCGGCCACGAGTTCCACCAAGAGTGCATCTTGGAGTGGTTCGAGACGCAGCACACGTGCCCCATGTGCCGCACCGAGGCTTTCGCCGGCTACATCGTCTAGACAGCAGCCTCTATTTATTATTGTATGCCCGAAATATACACACGGCGCTCCGTAGTGCACGGAGCGCGGCTCTTTTTCATTTCAAAATCAAAATATTTGGAATCGCGGCTTATGCCGTCGTCGTCGTCGCACACGGAGGCTGTCGGCGGCCACGTCGGCGGCGTACGAAGCAGCTGCCCACTCTCTCTACGCGATACCACAGTGTCCTCGTTTTACTATAACCCGTGGGGGGGCCTGGTCCAACCTGGTCGTGGCCGCGGCCTTTGCGACGATGTATAAAACGGCGCGCCATCAACGAGTACCCTGGAATTACTGACGGCCACGCCGTACGGCTACGGCCGCGGGGAATCCTGAGCCTCGATGCACTTCTTCGGTCATTGGCATCCGCACTAATGCGTGAGCACCTCCGTTCATGCGTCGTTTCCGCGTACATCCCGTTGTCTTTGCATAATACTACGTGGTGCGCTAAGGGGTCGGTCTTGGTGCGTCTCGTCGTCCACCCCACGTACCTTGGTGGCTGTTCTTGGTTGCCCTTCTTGGTTGCCCTGATTTCTGCCGGCTTCTCTTGCCATTTTGCCACGTGGTGGAGGATCGCAATCTGATCTCCCCGTGGATACACGACGTCTGATTGGTGGAAAGCATGGAATTCCGTGGCTATCAGTTCTTGGATTGGTTCCGATGAAAGATACGCGCGTGGGATTGGCCGAAAAGCATCGAAGCTTGCCCAACTTCAAGAAGGCAAGAAATCTCGTCGTCAGTCGGAAAAACAGAGGTCGACAAGCATGCCCGAGAGTCCGTCCAAGAAGCTCAAGACGTCGTATACGTGCGACAACTACGTCCACGGCCGCTTTGCGGCGCCCACTAGCGGCGCGTACCTCGACATTGAGAGCCCAGTCACGGGCGCGATCATCGGCAAGGTCGCCGTGTCGACCGCCGCCGACGTTGCAGTCGCCGTTGAGCATGCCAAGAAGGCGCTGCCTGGCTGGAGCGGCCTCACCGTCAAGGCGCGGGCGGCCATCATGCTCAAGTTCCACGAGCTCATGCGCAAGCACGCCGACGAGCTCGCCGATCTTGTGGTGCTGGAGAACGGCAAGAACAAGTCGGAGGCGCTCGCCAGCGTCATCAAGGTACGCGTGTGGCTGTCTGTCGACGCCACATAACATAACTGCGTGAGCATAGGGCAACGAGACCGTCGAGTATGCGTGTTCGCTGCCGCAGCTTCTGCAAGGCAAGACGCTCGAGGTGTCCCGCGGCATTACCTGCCAGGAGACGCGCGCCCCGCTTGGGGTCATTGCCTCGATCGTGCCCTTCAACTTTCCGATCATGGTGCCCATGTGGACAGTCCCGATTGCGCTCACGACAGGCAACTGCGTCATCTTGAAGCCGTCGGAGAAGGTAGCACCTGCGATCCACATCGCTGGACGAGCCAACTCGATGTAGGTGCCGATCACAATGACACGCGTCGCGAGCTTTCTGTCCGAGGCTGGCGTACCCCCGGGAGTCTTCCAGGTATCCATTCCGGATTCTATCGATAGAGACGGGAGGCTCAGACCTCTGGCAGATTGTGCACGGCCAAGCCGAAGCGGTGACGAGCCTGTGCGACCACCCCGACGTGGCAGCCGTACGACGACTCTCCACCTCCAACAATGCCCCACAATGTCGAACGTCGTAGGTGACCTTTGTCGGATCGTCGCCGGTCGCGCAAAAGATCGCCCGCCGCTGCCGGGCCTTGGACAAGCGTGTGCTGGCGCTCGGTGGCGCCAAGAACCACCTCGTTGCGCTTCCCGACGCCGACCTGGACCTTGCGTCCAAAGACATTGTGGCTTCGTTTGCGGGCTGCGCTGGCCAGCGCTGCATGGCGGCGTCCGTCTTGCTCCTCGTCGGCAACTGCCACGAGCTCCTCGAGTCGGTCGTGCAGCGTGCGCGCAACCTCATGCGCGGGACGGGCGCGGGCCAGGTCGGCGCCATCATTGACGCCGTGTCCCAGAAACGGTCCGTCTATGCGCTGAAATACCGTTGCTGACGTTGTGGGCGTAGCATTCTCAAGTACATCAACGACGCCGAAGCCAGCGGCGCGACCGTACTCGTCGATGGCCGAGCGTGGGCCACCGAGACCGCGGGGCACGGTAGGCGACACTTCATTTTAGTGCCTATTTACCGAAGCGGGTTAGGGTACTGGGTCGGGCCGACGGTGCTGCTGCACACCAACCCGGCCGACGCAGCCATGCACGACGAGATCTTTGGCCCCGTGCTCTCTGTGTACAAGGTAGTGTGCTGCGTGAATGTACAGAGAACGTCATTCCTGTAGGTGCACTCGGCGGACGAGGCACTCGCGATCGAGAATGCGTCGCCCTTTGGGAACGCTGCGTGCATTTACACGAGCCATGGCGGCCACGCCGAGCACTTTGCGTCCCGCTTCCAAGCCGCAATGATTGGCGTCAACATTGGCGTGCCCGTGCCCCGGTACGCGACCGCATTTTGTCGACAAACTCAAAGTTGCGTGTAGCGAGCCCTTCTCGTTTGGCGGTCTCTACGGCACGAAGAGCAAGTACGGGGACATGGACATTACTGGCGACGGCTGCGTCGAGTTTTGCACGCACCGCCGCAAGATCACGTCCAAGTGGAGTCTCCACGAAGCGACGCTCGATCGCGCCAACTTTGCCGGTCAAATGTAGCTACCTCACTGGATCGAATAACAATTGCGCACCTTTAATCCCGCCACCAACGTCATATGTCTTCCTGTGCCAGCTAAACTCACGCACCTTTCTATCGTATGGCATCTGGACTGTTGTTGTGCTTGACACTGAGACCATCAACAGTGGTCGCTGGGCCTTATGGCCTTGCCCCACACGACACGTGTGGCTGCTCGTGGTAGCGCCACGTCATGAGTTATGACGTGGCGCTACCATGAGCAGCCCGCGACGAGGTATGACTCATAGCTCATCGCGAGCTGCGGACAGTGCATCGTTGCCACGTAGAGACAAGAACAGAGTCGGTGTATGGAGTTTTCTATTTTTCAATCAAACGATGCAAGGCAGTGCGACGGAATCGCCCTGGTTTCGGGTTAGGGTTTATGGTTTTAGGGGTAGGGTTCCGAGACTCAGCTGGTGGCAGTCGGGACGGCCCGCGACGTCGAGATGGCCCGCTCGGTGCGGACGCGGCTCGTGACGCGCGCGTGCGCCATCGTCGGGTGCCCGGCATTGATGCGCGAGTCAAAGGCCGTCGACGTGTACGCGCGCGTTTGGAGGACGTAGTTGACGGCAAACTTGATCAAGTCGAGCGGAAACTGCCACACGATCGACCAGAGCCACGCGATCAAGAGGTAGCCGCCGCCGCAGCCGATAATCGCGATGCGGTCGCTCGGGTACCCGTGAAACCCAAAGTACCCAATGAGCGAAGCGACGACTTGGGCGCCGACAAACGCGAGCAGCAAGAGGGTGCACGGCTTCTCAGCAAAGAACCACGTGTTGATGCCGGCCGTGCGCGTCACAAAGATGAGGGCTTGGCCCGAGATCGACACTTGCGTGTACATGAGCGCGCGCAAGATGCCATCTTTCTTTTGCCGGCCGGGGCCAATGACGCGGAAGTCTTTTGTCCATGTACTGTTGAAGTTGGCGTAGCTCCACATAAAATCGCAAAAGCTGGCGCCGTTCGTGAGCGGTACAAAGTCGTGGCCGACGAGCCCGACGCCGTTGCCATCGAGCGCGTCGTCGACCGATGTCGCTGTATACTGCGTGACAAACTGGTTATAGACGTCGTTGGCGCTCGGCGTGTACGGCAGGTCGTTGATATGGCTGCCCGAGAGGTCGGTGAAGAGATCGTCGCGGGTCTCACCGGCCGTGTAGACGGTGTAGGCCTCCCAGTAGCCGGCAATGTAGCGCGCGCGGTTGGCCGACAAGGCGTCGCGCTGTACGTTGAGGGGCACGGACCCGTCGAGCTCGCCACAGACCATCGATTTCCCAAACTGGCGCGTGCAGAGCTGGATTTGCTTGGTGAAGTACGCGTCGCAGTGGCTCTTGAGGCAGCTCACACAGAGATTCTCGGCGCCGAGAAACCCCGCAAACGCTGTTGTGCGGTACACGATGGCAAAGAGCACGACGGACGAGAGCGTGAGCCAGAGCCCAAAGCAGATGGATGCGATAAAGACGTGCTTGAGCTTCCACGAGTCGGGCGTTCGGGACGCGGTCACATTGTCTTTTGCGATCGTCAGAATCGTACCGTCGTTGAGAATCGCTAGGATTACGACGAGGATCGTTGGAAAGTACCAGTTGAAGCCGATCGTGAGCAAGCCAAACGTGCACACGATCCGGACCGTCATGGCCACCGAGTACATGGCGTAGTTCTTCATGCGCAAAAAGATCTCGCGCGAGAGGCGAATGGCCGTGATGATGACCGAGAGGCCTGGCGACACGAGCACAATGTCGGCGGCGGCGCGCGCGGCGTCGGTCGCGTCATCGACTGCAATGCCAATGTCGGCTTGGGCTAATGCCGGCGCATCGTTGACGCCGTCGCCGGTCATCCCCACGACTTTGTTGAGCGATTGCAGCAGCCGCACAATCTCAAACTTGTGCTCGGGAAACACCTGCGCAAAGCCGTCTGTCTCGTACACCATTTGCGCGAGGTTGACGCCGGCGGGCGGCGTACTGTTGAAGAACGACGTGTCCAAAATGTTGGTGGGCATGCCGAGCTGGCGGCACGTTTCGATCGCAATCACGCGGTGGTCGCCCGTGACCATCTTGACCGACACGCCGAGCTCGAGCGCCTTCCGGATAGTCTCGGCCGTATCGTGCCTGGGCGGATCAAAGAGCGGCAGAAGCCCCACGAGGCGCCACGACGCGTCTTCGAGTGGTACATCGTCCGGGGCAAACGCAACGCCGAGCCCGCGGTAGCCGCGGCCGGCGAATTCATTAATGCGCCTCTCGACTTCGCTCCGGAGACTATCGGCGTTGGCATCCATGTCCAAGCAAACTTGCGGCGCGCCTTTGCACGTGCGGAAGATCCGACCGGTCGCATTCTCCTTGATCTTGGCGATCGTTCGCTTCGTGATCGGGTCGAACGGCGTGTAGTGCAGGAGCGTATACTGTTGCCAGAGCGTGTTGTGGCCCGGGTATGTGTTGAAGCAGACGACGTCAATGGCTTCGTTGTTCTCGATGCGGGCCGCCAGCGCCCCGTACTTGAGAATGTCGTCGGCTGCATAGTCGTTGTACGGGATCAAGTTGTCCATATCGACGGAGAGCTTGTTGAGCGTGAGCGTTCCCGTCTTGTCCGAGCAGAGGATCTCCATCGACGCCATCTCTTCAATCGACGTGAGGCGCGTCACGATTGCATTTTCCCTCGCGAGCGCCGACGACCCAATTGCCAATGTCACCGAGAGCACGGTGGGCATCGCGACTGGGATGCCGCCGACGATGAGCACGAGGATGTTGGCGACGCCGAGGCAGCCGTCGTTCTTGAGAAGGCACGGGTTCTCGTTCGCGCGGCCGCCGAGCTGCACGATGAGCTCGATGATGCACCAGACGATGATCGACACCATGCAAAAGTTGCCGACCGTCGTCAACACCTCTTGGAGCCGCCCGTGACTGTCGGCGCCGGCAATCTGCTCGGCCGCCCGACCGAGAAACGTGTGCACGCCCGTGCACGTCACGACGGCCTCGATCTCGCCTTGCTTGCAGATCGAGCCCGAGTAGCCTTCATCGCCTTCCCGCTTTGTCACGGGGAGCGACTCGCCAGTCAGCGACGACTGGTCGATCTTGACAGCGTCACCTTCGAGAAACTTGACGTCGGCCGGGAGCACATCGCCGAGCCGGATGCGAATCACATCGCCGGGCACGAGGTGCGCAGCGGGGGTGTTGATCATGACGCCGTCGCGCAGCACCTTGGCTTCCGGCGCGAGCTGGCCCATGAGCGCAGCGACCGCGTCGCCCGCTTGGATCTCTTCGAAAAAGCCAATGCCGGCATTGAGCAAAAGCAGCGCGAGGATCAATCCAAAATCGGGGTAATCCAGCAGGATGATCGAGAGGATGGCGGCCACTTCCATCGCCCACGAGAGCGGGTTCCAGAGAAAACCGAGAAAGACGAGGAGCTTGTTGACTTTGTGTGTTGGCAGCGCGTTGGCGCCCCATTCGCCGAGCCGCTTCTGCGCTTCTTCCGAGCTCAAGCCACCCCGGGTCGTAACGAGCTTCTCGAGCGCGCCATTGAGCGGCAAGACACCCCATTCGACGTGGGCGTCGTTGCTCTTGGAGGCCATGAGCAAGGCAGAAACAAACTGGCTTGGCGAGGCTGCAAATAGAGACGCCACATCTCTTCTTCAGCACCAAATAGAGAGACGCCGCATCCCTTTCATAGTCCTCGAAATAGCCACGACCAAATTAACCACCAGCGTGGCCGGACAAGTCGCCATTAGTGCAAAACCGACGATCCTTCAGTTTTGCATCCTCCACCAGTATTTGGATAGGCTGCATCATCTTCCCCAACGCAAAGTTCTGGAACTTTTGTTGGGCTACTAAATCCCTGTCTCTTTGTACTAGGTAGCGTGGCAAGAGAGTAATACGCTTTGAATGCTTTGCCAATGAAAGCAGTATCAACGTTGCCGCAGATCTCTACGTATTCCACAGTGGCTCTTGAAGATCGAAGTCTGACCAATCAGAAGGCGCCAAGAAGCCAATCCGGATCCAAGTCCACGCACGATGGGACGGACCAAAGAGCGAAACAAGGCTATTTCAAGGCGCTAAGAATGCATCTACCTTTCCGCTTAATGAACAAAATACAGGCTCGAGCAGATAACTCCAACACCTTTTTTGGCTTCTGCAAGATCCTTGAGGACGGTCGGGTCCGCCCTGGCCAACTCTGGGACAGCTCGCAGTGGTTCCTTCTAGTCGTACGAGCCGCCTCGTAGCCACCCTGCTCTTTGCAAAGCCAACATATATGTTGGCCAAGTGTCGTCGGCTACAAGTGCGCCAGTTGCGCAGAGCAGAGGAGTGCATAAAAGAGGACGGTGCTAAACCTCTAAGAATGCATGTTTGAATACATGCGTTGTGCTGAAATATAAAAAGAAACAGTATTTGCTGAAACGGTTGTTGCCGTGGGTTTCGATACCATACAAACGCCAAGTGTAATCACCCTGCGCCCACGTACTCGACGTCGCTGACGACGATGGACACCTTAGTCGAGCGCTCGTTGACCAAGATACGCAAGCTCACGGGCCGCAGCCAGCGCGACCTGCGCGAAGCCTGCGACGCGATCCTGACCAAGATCGCGTCCGCCAAGAGCGCGGGCCCGAGCCACCTCGAGGAGGCCGAGGTCTTCTGGCCGCTCCTCCTCGCGATCCAGGGGCGCCAGCCCAAGCAGGCGTCGCAGGCGCTCGACTGCATCGAGAAGCTCATCTCGTACGGGTACCTCCGCGGCAGCGGAAGCGTGACCCCGGCGATCGCCGAGAAGCTGCCCATGGGACCCGCCAAAGACAAGGACACGGACGAGGCGACCGCCAAAGTCACGCTCATGGACGCAGTCGTGACTGCGATTTGCAGCTGCAACGACCACCACGACGAAGAGGTCCAGCTTCAAGTGCTCAAGGCCGTGCTGCAAGCCGTCACGAGCCAAAAGTGCGAGGTCCACGAACACTCGCTCCTCAAGTCGGTCCGCGCGTGCTACCACATCCACCTCGTGAGCAAGAACACGATGAACCAAACGGTCGCCAAGGCGACACTGCAGCAAATGGTCAGCGTCGTCTTCCAGCGCATGGAGTTGGTCGAAGAGGAAGCCGCGCGGTCCGCCAAGCCCAACGAGGCCAAGCCGCCGCGTGAGATCCACGAAGCTGCGATTGCGACGCAGCGCAGCGAGTCGTCGTCCAGCATGGACAAGCTCTTTGTTGCATCGGCCAACCAGCCCATGTACCCTGGTATCACATTATCTCTCTACGCGTGGCCCTTATACCCATGTACAGATGTCATGCGCTGCCTGCAGATCGAGTACCATGAAACTCTTACGAAGGCGCCATCGCTCGGCCTCGAAGCCCTTGCCACCGATGACGATGCGCCGTCCTCGACGCCTGCGCCCTCGAACGCCTTTACGTCCCCGTTCCAGAAGGACGCCTTCTTGCTCTTCCGGTCGCTCTGCCGCATTTCGATGCGGTCGCTGGCCGAAGACGCCGCGGCAACGACCAGCATGGCGAGCGCGGGCCCGAACCAAGGTGCGGACGACCCGTTTGCGTTCCAGAGCAAGCTCGTGTCGCTCGACTTGCTCCTCTCAATTCTCAACCACAGCGGTCCGGCGTTCCGGAGCAGCGACAAGTTTCTCCAGCTCGTGCGGCAGTACCTCTGCGTGTCGCTGCTGCAAAACTGCACGTCCAACTACACGCAGATCGTCGAGCTGAGTCTCCGCGTCTTTGTCGAGCTCATTGCGCACTTCAAAGCGCACCTCAAGGCCGAGATTGAAGTGTTTATCACCAACATCTTTCTCGGTATTCTCGAAAGCGAAAACTCGAGCTTGGACCACAAACTGCTCGTGCTCGAAGTGCTCAAGCAAATCTGCGCCGACGGGTCGATTCTCGGCGAGATTTTTCTCAACTACGACTGCGATTGGAACTCAATGGACCTCTTCAAGCGCATTGTGAATGCAATTTCCAAGATCGCCAAGGGCAAGAAGGACGCGCCGGGCGCCAACGCCAACGGCGCCAACCAAAAGGTCCGTGGCGCGATCTTGCCCGAGACGATGCTCGTCATCAAGGGCCTCGACTGCTTGACGGCGACGGTCGCGTCGCTCAAGAACTCGGCCAATTTCACAGCCCAAGACAAGAAGGAAAAGGAAGAGCTCGAAGCCCGTACGTCATTTCTTCTCATCGGCTTTGCATGTTGTTTATATATCGCATGTAGGCGACGACTCGGACGATGACGAAGGCACGGGTGCTGAAAAGGCAGCACCGGTCGCGCCAACGACGCCGCACCACTTGTCGCCTGTCGAGGCGTTTGACCGCAAGAAGAAGCTCCAAGAAGAGCTTGCGGAAGGGATTCTCAAGTTTAACCTCAAGCCGACGGACGGCATCAAGTTCCTCGTCGCGCGTGGCCACATGGAGAACGCACCCAAGGACGTGGCCCGATTCATCCACGAGCACAACGCACGCTTGGACAAGACAATGGTCGGCGACTACCTCGGAAAAGAAGTGCAGTACCAGAACGGGTTTTGCCTCAAGGTGCTGCACGAATTCGTCGACGTGATGGATTTCGGGTACGTTGTATCGATCTACGGATACTTGTGGATAGTATGGATACTGATGGATATTACTGTTTTGTGTAGCGGCATGGAGATTGACGTGGCGATCCGCCATTTCCTCGCCGGTTTCCGCCTGCCCGGCGAGTCCCAAAAGATTGACCGCATGATGGAAAAGTTTGCCGAGCGGTTTTGCTACCATAATCCGGGTGTCTTTACGTCGGCCGACACGGCGTTCATTCTGAGTTTCTCGATCATTATGCTCCAAACGGTACGGTTTGGCTTGATTTTTTATGGTTTGGGGCAATTTTTATAAGGGATTGCCTGTAGGATCTGCACAACCCGAGTGTCGTGGAAGAAAAGAAGATGAAGAAGCACCAATTCATCGGCAACAACCGCGGTATCAACAACGGCGAAGACCTCCCGCCCGAGTTTCTCAGTGGTATCTACGACCGCATCAAGGAGACGCCGATTTCGCTCAAGGAGGACCTCGATCTGCAAAAGAAGTTTACGCCTCAAAACGGCAACGTCCAGTCGACCGACAAGCAGCGCCGCGAAGCCTACGGCAAAGAGCGCGAGGCGATGGTCAAGCAGTCGGAAGCCATCTTCAAGCGGCGCATTCCGGCCTCGACTCCGCGCCACGGCAGCGGCAGCAACAAGATGCAACCCGCCGGCGGCGCAGTGGCTTTTCAACTCATCACCGAGCAAACCGAAGTGTCGTACGTGCGCCCGATGTTTGAGATTGTCTGGGCGCCGCTCTTGGCATGCTGCAGCGTCATTTTCGAGACGTGCGACCAAGCGAGCGCCGTCGCCTTGTGCCTCGACAGCTTCAAGCACGCGATCCACCTCAGCTCTCGGTAGACTACCTGACCATGTCCATACCGACCAATGGTCGCGTAGGCTCAACATGCCGTCGGAGCGCGATGCGTTCGTGTCGATCCTCGCCAAGTTTACGGGTCTCTCGACGTCCAACTCGCGCGAAATCAAGGCCAAGCACGTCGAAGCGATCAAGGCGGTGGTCGCTGTCGCCGTCAAGGAAGGCAACCACCTCGGGGATGCGTGGGTACGTGCTGTCTCTCAATACTATGCCCGCGAGTGCGAATCGTGTGTAGCGCGAGATTTTGCAATGCCTTTCGCACCTCTCGCGGCTCCAAGCGGTGGCCGAAGGGGCGGGCACCGACCCGCATTTTTTCAAGCAGACGACGACGCCGGCGCCAAGCCTCGCGACGCCCGGACGTACGCAATACCAACTATCGGTGTGCATGTCGAATCTCTGACTGTTCCATGTGTCTAGTCGGTGGCTCGTTCAAGCTTTTTGCACGGAGCAGCGTGGCCAACGGTGTGCTTGGGGTTGCGGGCACGCCGTCGCCATCACCGTCGACGCTTGAAGACATGCTTATCTCGCACGCGGCGCTCGAAGAGGAGAACGCGGCGCGCGTCACGGCCGAGATCGACCCGCTCCAGGTCGACCGCGTCTTTAGCTCGAGCGTGCACTTGAGCAACGCCGCGATCCAAGAATTTCTTTTGCAGCTGTGCGTCGTCTCGCTCACCGAGTGTGCCGGCGTCTCTGGTCGCGTACGTTGTCAGTCTTTCTTGTATGGCATTCAGAGATGGATGCCATAGGTCTTGAGCTCGCGCGACATGAACCAGAGCGCCGCGCCCCGCGTCTTTTCGCTCCAGAAGCTCGTCGAAGTCGCCGACATGAACATGCACGCCCGGTCTCGCGTCGTGTGGGCTGCTATGTGGAAGGGTAATCCTTACCGCTCTCTTATCCGCCGCGTGCTCACGTGGTGTCTGTAGTGCTCTCGCGCCACTTTACAGCGATTGGCTGCGACGACAATCTGAGCATCGCCATGTACGCGATCGACTCGCTCAAGCAGCTCAGCATGAAGTTTCTCGAGAAGGACGAGCTCCGCGACTTCAACTTTCAGCGTCTCTTTTTGACGCCGTTTGAGATTATCATGGCCAACGCCATGTCGATGGAGATCCGCGAGCTCGTGTTGAGGTACGCATGCGATTCCATCGCCTGCTCACTTTCCGTGGTGTAGCTGTGTTCAAAACATGATTCTGGGCCGCGTGCGCAACATCAAGTCGGGCTGGAAGACGATCTGGGGCGTCCTCCGCGTCGCGGCCGAGACGTACGACCACTTGGACGGCGACGACCACATTGTACAGATGGGGTTTGCGATTTCCAAAATGATTCTCGAGACGCACTTTGACCGCGTGGTACCGCTTCTATCCGATATATCTATCCAATATGTGGGGGTAGGTCTCGGTCTTTGTCGACGCGATCGAGTGTTTACTGGCGTTTGCTGTCTGCGGCGTGGAAGAAGCGTCCGACGTGGCGGCCACTAGCAACTTGACCAAGATGGCGAAGGAAGCCATTCACGTGCTCGAGGTCTGTCTCTCGCAGCTCGCGACGGGCCACGTCATCGAACAAGTGCAAACCGACTCGCCGGCCAAGCGCACGACGTTCCGCTCGCAGCTCGCACTGCGCACGCACGTGCTCAATAGCGCCAACGAGGACGCGATCCGGTACCAAAAGGAAGAATCGGCCGACGACCTCGTGAGTGACGCGCCCATGTCACCGCGCGTGACGCCTGTCACGGCCATTTACACGGATTCGCAGCTGCACACGCGCCTTTGGTATACAGCCACATATTAAATGCAATCTGCGACCGTTGATGCCTTGTAGGTGGCCGATCTTGACGGCGCTCTCAACCCTCAGCTGCGACAAGCGCGTCAACGTGCGCGTGATGGCGCTCGACACGCTCTTTAGCTCCCTGCACCGACATGGCCCCAAGCTCTCGCCGGGGCTCTGGAGCATTGTCTTCAAAGGCGTTTTGATTCCGCTGGTACGAATATCTCAGATGTGGTGGAGAAAGCTTATATTTGATGTGACTAGATTGGCGACATTCGCGTGCTCGAGTCGACGTGGCCGGACGCCAAAGGCAGCGCGGCGACAAGCACGAGCAAGATGGCGCTGCTCAAGGTCGCCCACCTCTTTGGTGTCTACTACGACGCGATCGGGTTCCTGCCCGAGCTCCTCTTTGCGCTCTCTGCCTGCATGGTCGACGAGTCGGAAGCAGGTATTCATACCTCCTGGTTCGATCCTGCGACTGATTGATCAACTGTGCAGATCTGGCGTGCGCGGCTGCTTCGACGCTCGAGACGCTGCTCGTCACGCACGGCAGCAAGTTTCCCGAGAATGTATGGGGCCTCATTGCCGACGAGCTTCGCCATGTGATGCAACTCACCCAGCCCACGTGGTATGCCTGCGACTGGACGATCTCTGGTGTAAGCTTTTGGTACGTAGGGTGCTGGCCGATGCGCCGGCCATTGCATCGCCCCGGGCGACCGCGCCCATCTTGTTTTCGCCGCGGTCGCGCAAAGAGACGTACCCGCCGACGTTCATTTCCATGTATCCAAGCGTCCTGTCAGCGCTCAACTTTCGATTTCACTCGCTCCCGCGCACGGACGAAGAGCGGCCGGCGACGGGGTACCCGAGCAAGAACCACCTGCTCGTGCACCTCTCGCTGCAAGTTGCGATCGGCCACGTGCTCTCGAGCAAGCTCCCGGCATCCCTCGCCGTCTCGGACGGCCACTTTGACGCGCTCATGCAGACTCTGCGTGAGAGCTACGTCTTTGCGCGCAAGGTGAACGACCGCATGGACGTGCGCACGACGCTGACGCGCGCGGGCTGGGTCTACCCGATGGCCAAGTCCGAGGCGGACCTCAAGTCCAATCTGCTGCCCCAAGAGATGAACGGGAAGCGCGAGTACCTCAAGGTGCTCTTCAGCCTCCTCTTGCACACGACTGACGAGGCCAAGAAGGCCGACGCGCGCCGCCAAATGACAGAGTACGTATCTGATGCGGGATGGCATGTCTTATATTGCGCATAGCTTGGTCAAGCGCGTGCTCTGCGAATACTTGCAATGGAGCCGCCACAACAGCAGCAGCGCCGAAACGGAATCGGAGACCGACGTGACGCTCGACGAACAGTGGCGGTCCATCAGCTACGTGCCGGCGGTCGTCGATATCCTAATTGCGCTCGAGGCATTGCCGACGGACGAGTGGAAGCGCCACGTCCAGTGGCTGTACCCGCTGCTCATCGACCTCATCAAGACCAACGACAAGGACGTGCGCAACGCGCTGCACACGGTCCTCGCCCACAAGGTCGGTTCGCTGCTTGGCTAGTTAGCACCGACCTCATACAAGATAATGGAATCTTGCCGTTTGCATAACTCAAGCACCGAGGTGACGCAACACTGAGGCAGAACTTTAGACGCGCCGTCCGATATTGTGACGCACGACCGTCGGGCCAGGTAGAGACAGTCGGGCGCGGGGCCGTCATGGAACCGGCAACTGGCATCCTCCGCGCGCACGGTGGGTGGTTCGAACCCACATTGCCGCAGCCATTCTTTGTCGTCAAGATGGAGGAATTTATTTATGTAAAATGGAGGAATTTATTAATGTAAAATACACTGTAGAAGTAAATGCGGGGAGTGGAGCACGACGACGTGCAATCGGGCCGAGTCATCGAGCCAAGCTGAGTTGCGCTTGCATAATCCAGGTGGTCGTGCTGGGCTTAGGGCGACCTGTCTACGCACGTGATTCGAAATATTAATATTCGACTCAACACACAGCAGAGTCCAAATCTATGGTCGGCAAGAAGCATGAAATAAAATGAGGTATTTTATTAACGGCAAAGGAACTCGCCTTGGTTCGTAGGGACATATCGCGCGCCCTTCTTCTCTACCCAGCGTTCTGATGTCAATTGTGACCCATTGCGCGAACCAAGTACATTCTCAGATGAAAACAGCAAATGGTGGGCTATCATCCCACGGTGACTGTACTTGGCTAAGCGAATGTCCGCCACACCGTCCGCTGCTACGTAAACAGGAGCATACTGAGACGTGCGATGATGACCCAGTTTGCGGGGACCGGCGATCATTTCGCATTTTGCCGTAGAGAGCATTCGTCAAGTGATGACGCTGGCCGCGCCACCGGCCTTTGGCCGACCGATGCTACTGCCGCCGCTCACGTCGACTTTGTCGCCGTCGATCGCGGAGCAGATGAAGCAGTCGCGACCACTGACGCCGCTCGCCCCTTTTCCGTACCGTGGCGAACCGGAGCGGTCGCCCGTGTTCACGACGCCTCGCCACGAGTCGACGACCGTCTATGCGCTTCCGCCGCCCTTCCCACACTACGAGCCGAGCTACGCGTCGCCCGCAGCCACGCCGCTCGCCCACCGTCCGCGCCTGCCACCGGCCTCGTGGCTACTTCAGAAACCAGAGCTGCGTTACGAGTACGCGGCGCCAAGCCCCGTACATCATGCCCCACCACCACCCATGTTCGTGGCACCCCCGGTGACGTCGCCGACGCACGCGACGATCGATGAGGTGCGCGGCGAGTGCCTCGACGCCCAGTGCCACCAGCCGGTCAAGCATCGTGGCTACTGCAAGGTGCACGGCGGCGCTCGGCGGTGCGACGTGCCAGGCTGCCCCAAGGGCGTGCAAGGCGGCAACCTCTGTATTGGGCACGGCGGTGGCAAGCGGTGCCGGTTCCCGGGCTGCTCGAAAGCCACGCAGTCGCAAGGTCTCTGCAAAGCACACGGCGGCGGCGTCCGCTGCAAGTTTGACGGGTGCAACAAGAGCAGTCAAGGCGGGGGCTTTTGCCGGCGCCACGGCGGCGGGAAGCGCTGCAGTGTCGACGGGTGTCCGCGCGGCGCCCAGCGAGGCAGCACCTGCGCCCAACACGGCGGCAAAGCCAAGTGCATGGTCGACGGCTGCGTGCGCGCCGACCGCGGTGGCGGCTACTGCGAAGTGCACCGAAAGGACAAGGTGTGCCGCCAAGGCTATTGCAACCGCCTCGCGCGTATCAAGTGTGAGGGCTACTGCACGCAGCACCACCGCGAACTCTGCATCTCCAACAACGAAAGCCCCGCCGTCTGCTGAGCTTACATAACATGCTATTTAACATCTATCCCCTGCCTTTGATCGAATCCCGCTGGTTTGGACACGAACGTTTGCATGTCGCGCTGCACGATCCACCTCCGAGTGACTCATCCGGCGCGTCGGTGACACACGCTCGCCCCATCAGGTCGGCAACCAATCACAAACACCAGACCACTTTGAAAATGCCAGACTCACTCACTTGCCCCGGTGGTGGGCTCGGCCATTACTGTACGCGGTCCTGTCTAGCTTTTCACACGCGACCAGCTCTGGTCCGCGTCCTTGTCCAATGTGATCAGCTGCTGAGGCGGTGGCCGTAGGGACGAGCGACTAAAGTCCGTCCTCTGTATAGACGTTGCCGCGATGCTGGCTACTCCCGCCCCCACTACAACCTTCCTCGTCGCGTTCTCCATCCTTCCTGTTGCAAACGACGAGACGCCATGACGCGCCGCGTTCTCAGATACGCGATGACTCGTGGGTCGACGTGTGAGCCGTGCGAGACCAGCTCCGCGGCGGCGCCGAAGCATTATTCTCTCGAAGAGACACCCGTATGGACGAAGACAGTCCACCCTCGTCATGATTCGTACGTGTCTGGCTCTGCACCCTGCGTCGACGCATCCTGCGTGGGTCTGCGGGGTAGCTCTGCGGGGTCGTCTGCAAGTGCCGAGGTTGCACGTTCCGGACAAAACGTCAAATTAGGAGGACAAATCGGTCGATTTGGGACAAAATAAAGGACAAAAAACAAAATCAGGACAAAGTACAAAAGCCGAAAAAGGTCCCCGCGTGGCGCCAAAATCAGGCACGCGCCTTGTTTCAGGCCGGGCGGGAACACGTATCCGGTATTGCATCCGGATAACTTTTGCGTGGGAAGGCAGGCGAGTTCATAGCGGTATCAAGATGGCGGCGCGAGAGAGCTTGCGCAGTCAGCGGGCGCGCGGGACGGACCCGAAGAAGGTGGATGCTTCCTGCGCAGGTTGCAAGATGATGACGATGGCCTTGGTAGATGGCCCAAGAAATGATGCTGCATGTGCTACGGGAACTCGTAAAGAAGGACGCGTACGACTTCTTCGGCCAGCCCGTCGACACGTCCGCGGTACATGTATGGCGCGGCTCTCCACACCTCATCGCCCATATTACGTAGGTGCCTGATTACCTCGAGAAGATTGCGACGCCCATGGACTTTGCTACGATCCAGACGGTACGCCTGCCACTTGATCGACGACGATCAGAGGGCTCACGCATCGGCGTAGAAGATCACACGCCACGAGTACGATAGCTTTGACGCTTTCAAGCTGGACGTCGTCATCGTCTTCAACAACGCGCAAAACTACAACGTCGAGACTACAGCGTACTTTCGGGAGGCTCTCCGGCTCGAGGCGGCGGCGATTGCGCTCTTCGTCGAGGCCGAAGCCCGAATGGATGAGAACCGCGCACTGTACAACCGGAGTGGCGCTTTTCCTTCCTCACAGACGCCGCCAAAGCGCCGGCGTGTAGCGAGTCCAACCAACGCGGCGACTCCGATCCGGCGGCCGCCGCTGCCCGAGCCGCGGTCGCCCGACGACGCCAACACGCCCATGTTTGACTTGGGTGTGCTGTTACCTGCGTTCGCGCCAACTGTTGCGGCTACAAACACCGTGGTCCAACCTATCGAGAACGTGGCGATGCCCGACGTCGAGACCGAGATGCCCCATGACTTCTTTCACGATTTGGTTCTGCAAATGGCTGGCTTCACGAGGTTGCTCACGATTATGTAGACGCTCTCGGACCTCGACCACAGCGACGACGAAGCCAGCTTTGTCTTTGACGGTAGTAGGCGCTTCCGACACTACATCACTAAGATCTTGATGTAGATGTGGTGCACGCGCCGCCCACGCGCGCCAACGACGGCGATTTTATGTACGATGAAGAAAGCATCCATGAAATCCAAGCGCCGTCCCAAGAAAGCCTCTATGCTGACGGCCTCAAGCCGTCGCAAGACGGCCCCAGTAATCCTCTGCCACCCACGTATGACAACGACGAAGTCTCGGACGCCGAGTCGGGTGCGGCACTCGAGTACAATCGATCGTGCGCATCTTTGTCTCTAGAGGACATGGCGTACTGTGCGCCGGTGCCGCACGTCGAGCAGCCAAACGTTCCGCGAAGAAAGAGCCCGCTCCAAAAAGAAAACCAATTTCCAAGTGCCACGTTTTCGTCCAAGCCGCCGCCGGTCGACGCATTGTGTGCTGCCTTTTTGCTGACCAAGTGCATTGTGTAGACAAGTACTAGTAGTAGCGGTGGGAGCAACGGCTGGTTGCAGTCCAAACGAGCGGCCACGCAAGCGCCCAAGTCCCAGGCGCTCTGGCCGTCCACGGCCAAGAAGACGACCGACGATGTTCGCGACCCCAACGACCTCTTTGGAGTCAAGGCGCGCCAGAAACGCCAGCCACGCCAAGTGCTCCTCGACAAATTCATTCAGTCGACGCCTAATTATTGACAACCTCTACTCTCGGCCAAACGACTCTCGATTTTTCTTTGTCCCATAACGTTACCAGTACCAAGCTGCAAGCGAGGCCAATACACCAAGCGTTCATTCAAGGCAAGTCTGTGGCGGATCGGTGCCGTGCCACCTTAGGGTAATAGCTACAACGTCCAATGCTGGTCCTCAACGATAAGTCCTCCGTTAGACGATACGCGCCGAAACGAAGCGGTCGACAAAAATTGCGATTAGTTTGTGCTCCACTACTTAGGCCCCGTGACGAGGGTGCAAACACTTGTTTGTCACGAACAACCTAGTCCCTTCTTGCGGACGCAGTGTATGTACCACATCATTGCATCGTCAGTGGCATGGCGCTCACCACGATGTGAAAACGCGTCCACAAAAGATCACAGTTCTTCTATCCGACCAACCGTATCGCAGATCTGGCTGGAGAATACCAGTCCTGTCCACGCGATACCCCCTCTTCGTCGGGTCTTATTAACCCTCCCAGACCTAAAGGCCCATGTCGCCTCTGCCGCGCGATATCTTTGCAAAGCGCGAAGCATTGTGATTGGCGCCTTTTTCGCCGTTGAGGCGCGAAACGCTTGCGGTATCCGGATACCTCGCGCTATCCGGAGTCGCCGCCGCCTTGCTTCTGTTCATTTTCCAACTCGACCATAAAATGGCCTACGTGACGCTCACCAACATCACGGTGCTCGACAACCCGACGGCGTTTACGAATCCGTTCCAGTTTGAGGTGACCTTTGAGTGCGCCCACCCGCTCGAGGACGACCTCGAGTGGAAGATCACGTACGTCGGGTCGGCCGAGGACGAGAGCCGCGACCAAGTGCTCGAGGAAGTCCTCGTCGGGCCCGTCCCGGTCGGCACCAACAAGTTTGTGTTCCAGTCCGAGCCGCCGAACCCGTCGCTGATTCCGGACGAAGACAAGATTGGCGTCACGGTCGTGCTCGTCACGTGCGCGTACAAGGGCCGCGAGTTTGTGCGCGTCGGGTACTATGTCAACAACGACTACAGCGACCCAGCGCTCATTGAAAACCCGCCGGCGAGCGTCGACATTACCAAGCTCGCGCGCAACATCCTCGCCGACAAGCCGCGCGTGACGCGGTTCCCGATCGATTGGGCGCCGGCGTCGCAAATGGCCGACATGGCCATGCTGGACGGCAACGACCTCCTGAACGAAGAAGACTTAATAAACGCGGCCAAGCAGCTCGACAATTTGCACCCGGACATTGTCATTGGCGACGACCACGCCGCCGGCGACGACGAGAACGACGACGTCGAGATGGGCGACGACGACGTCGACATGGACGACGACGACGACGTCGACTCGGGCATTGAGTTTGAAGACGACATTTAGAGCGCACGATAGCCACCCGATCTATTTTATAAGCAAGCCCGTTGATTCCTTGTCGTGCAATGTCTCCCAAGCCCTCGATCTCCGAGGCCCGCCCATCGTGGCATGACCAAGGCCGTCCAACATGGTCGGACGTGGTCGAAGCGAGCGCCAACCTCTCTTCATGGACGGCCGAGCAACCACAGCCGCACACTCAGCCTCCCGACTGTACATACGGCAGTGTCGTAGGGGCGGTGTCGACATGAATACATTTGTCATGCGACGAGCGGTCAGCGACAGCCGCCTCCTGCTGTCTGCCTGCAGTGAAGGCGATGCAGCTTTGCATTCGCGACCGAGAATAATGCTGCCGGTACCCGTTCCCGTCCGTACCCTTTCCAGCGCTTGCATGTCTCCTGAGGCAAACTACGAGCTTAGCGGAAGTCGTAGGAAGAGAACTCGGTTGGTAAGAAGATGCAGGTCATTCGTTGGTTTATCGCAGGTAGTACAAATGCTTTTCGTGGAAGCTGCGGACGCCGTCAAAGTGCACGTCAACCTCAATGTCGAGGTCGCGCGGGTTGGCGGCGTTGGGCGCGCAGCTCAGCGTGCCTTCGATGACGTCGCCGGCGCGGACTGTGAGCGGCTGCGAGAGGTAGAACACGGTTTGCTTCCAGTGCGTGTACTTGGCGCGCGGGCCCGTCGAGAACGCGATCGGCTTGTGGCAGTGCGTGAACGCGCAGTCAAAGTAGGCGACGAGCGCGTGGCAAAAGTCCTTGCGCGCGCAGACGACCGAGAACGGCGACTTGAACGCGAGGTCTTCCTTCTTGACCGTCGCCAAGTCAATGTCCTACGCACCCATCGATGTCGAGTGAGCACCGATGCATGCATGTAGTCGCATGCACGTACGAGGATCGGGCAGACGTTCGAGACGATCGCGTCGCCTTCGACCGTGTCGACGAGCGGCTCGGTCATCGCAATCTTCTTGATGCAGCTCATGTCAAAGCCATAGACATTGTCCCAGACTACGCAGAAGGTGCATGAGATGCTACATTCCAGCCGAGACGAAGCAGCGTACACTCGATCTTCTCCGACTTGTACTGGCCGTCTTCGATGGCGGCGACGTACAAGACCGCCTTGTCCGGGAAGAGGAGGCCGCCGGGCACGAGCCACTTGTCGCGCGCGTAGAGCACCGTATCGAGCATCGACTCGTAGAGGAGGAAGTAACCCATCCACTCGGAAATGATAATGTCGACATGCGCCACGGGCAGCTCGACTTCCTCGACCTTGCCCTTGATGAGCGTGATGCGGTCCGAGAAGCCGTTGTCGTGGACGATCTGCTTGGCCTGCGTGATGATGCCGGAGCAGTCGATGCCGTAGACGTGCGCGGCGCCGGCTTTCGCCGCAAACATGGAGAGAATGCCCGTGCCGCAGCCCACGTCGAGCACGATCTTGTCCTTGAAGAGGTGGCCGTTCTGCAAGATCGCGTTCATGTACGTCTTGGTGCGCACCGTGTCCTTGAGCATCTCTTCATGGATGCCAAAGTGCGAGTACGAGTCAAAGTAGTAGTCCTTGGACGTCTGGCTGCTATCGGCGGGCGGGGCGCTCATGCTGCGATTGGATATCGAAAATGGAGCTCTTGCTGCCAGAAGCTTGGCACTGCACACGACGTTGCCAACCAATTGTTCCACGTGTTGGCTTTCAACGCGTTTAAACACGCGAAGCTGTCCGGATACGCGGGGAAGAGACGCGCCAAAGGCATTTTACCGACCCGACCAAGAGGTTCGCAAGCATCGTCGCAGCGCGCAGCTGCCACGGAAGGCACGTTCCTGCCACTTTTACCGCCAGCTAAATGTGGCACACATGTCCATGTCCCTTGCATTCACTCTCGATTCCATTCCCCAGTGGAGACGCATCTCGGAGAGATTAAGATCTCATGGACGCATCATCGACCAAGGTCCATCTATACCTGCGTCCGCCGACCACGCACTGCAAACGCAGGAGCTCTCACCACCTGTGCAGGAGCTAATGACAGAGAAGTCTCCGGGCGTAGGTGGTATAACGACGCCGGGACAACTGATCAAGGCAATGGCGAGCCACAAAGGTCAGGAGGAGGACAAAGGATGTGGGGAGAGACTTGTCTATCCGTTGCGTGCGCATTGGATTATGTTATTAAGTCCACAGCCAGGCCAGCCCTAAAACCACGAGCTCACGAAACAACTAGTGTTTCGATCGCTTAGATGGCACCACGGTTGCCGCCCTTCTTGGCGCCGCCGCGGGCGACGTTCTTGTTGATGGCCTTGTTGATCGGGGCCTTGTCAGCCTTCTTGGCCTTGGTGCGGTCCTTAGCCTCCCTAAATTCGTTCGTGAGCCTCGGTCACACTTCAAGACGAAAATGGTCGTACTTCAAGGCGGCGTCGCGGGCAGCGGCGCGGACAGCGGGCTTCTGGTTGCGCTTCTTCTTGAGGTCCTCAACCGAGACGCCGACGATGGCACGCTGGATCTTCGTGGTCTTGCGAGCACGGCGACGCGAGACTTCCTCGACCTATTCGCGTGCTTAGCTTCTCTATGGCGTTTTCGCATTTGCTACGTACGCGAAGCTTCTTGTTCATGCGGCGCCAGCCAAGCGTCCACACGATCTTAGCGGGCTTCTTGCGCTGCAAGAAGAGCGACTTGCACTTCGAGTTGAGGAGCATGAAGGCGTTGCCATCCTTGCGGATGAGGCGCGTGCCGTGGCCGGGGTAGATGCGGCTTTCGCTGAACGCGCAAGTGTCGGTCCTATTCGGATGATGCGCATGAGCCTCTGTGCATGCTGCTGCTGCTGCTCGGCGCGGGCACGTACTTGATCACCATTTTGGTCTTGAGGTAGCTGTGGAATTAAAGCCAATTGCTCAATATGGAGGCGAAATTTACCCCCGGCCGCCAAAACCAGTCTTTTCAAGCACCCTTTTGGTTGGCTCTCCAACGCTCTTCTTTTCGACCAATCCGCATCCATGCTTCCCCGAGTTTCGACCAATCCCCAGCCACATCATTCCAATTGTTGAAATAGTGTGTGTTAGCAGACTAATTTCGCGTCAAACGCAAATAGTGTCATATCGATGCCACACGCAAGAGGATGCGGCGCCGACCGAGTCGCGGAGAGGTGCATGCATGCATGAAGGCGGAAGAGGAGAGTACGACGACTAGCATTAGCCATGCGTACTGGCGATGTACTACGTTTACTTCCAGCTCTCGCCAAGGTAGGCGAAGAAGGCGAGGTAGAGGAAGACGAGGAGGAAGATCGCAAGCTGCACCCATCGCGTCGGCTGGAATCCCGAGACGAGGTAGAGCGAGTAGTCGGCCGAGCCAGAGAGGACCGTCAAGTCGTCTTCGTACTCGCGGATCCGGTCGTCGTCATGGTCGCTCGGGTCGCTACAATGAGGTGCATGAGACGACAACGCTACCTCGCTACCTACAGGAGCATGGGCGGGATGAACGCGAGGCCCGTCGACGGAAGGTAGTGCGCCGAAATTGTCTTGAGGAGACGCAGCGCGTCGTACGTGAAGAGAAGCAGCTGCCCGTCGCTGGAGCCGCAAGCTATGTAGCGCAGGCTACACATCATGAGTGCCTGCAACATGGTAATCGTCGGTCAGCAGCGTACTTGATCGCCATCGAGCACACAATGACGTCCTTGATCGGAACGCTCGCGACTTCCGAGAAGAGCTTGCCGCCGTCGCCGATCGCCCACTTGGTCAAATACGAGGAGCCCCGCGCCGGCGTCTGCAGCGTCACGATCTCGTCGAGGTGAAAGTGACACGCCCGGTAGATGAACTTGCCGCGGTTGGCCTTGGCGTCGAGCTTCTGGAGAGCAAGCTCCCCGGCGAGACCCAGCTTGCCAGTCTTGGTCCACGTCTTCTTCTTCTTGTTGTCGGTGAGCGCCCATAGAAAGCACTGTCCGTCCTTGGCACATGTCAAGAGCTACATACATACGGCGATGAGATGGGAATGTATCGTCCATGAGGGCGCGCACCTTGGTGTTGGTCGCATGCCACGAGAGCCCACTAATGCACCCACTGTGACCGTCGAGCTTGGCGACTTCGGTGGCCTTGAACCCCTTCGCAAAGGTCTCGTCGTCGTCGTGGTCGGGGATGGTAAGCTCCCACACGCGGACGGTGCCATCTTCGCCGCCGGTGGCGAGCTTCGTTCCATCAGGGCTGAACCGCAGAACGCTCTACGTGCTCAGTCATTCGACACGTGGTATCACCTCTCGACGTACTTGGTAGCTATCGTCCTTGGCGAAGTCCGTTTGGAATTCAGTGACGTGGGCCGAAGTCCTATTCTATGACTGAGTGGGGTACAGCCTTTACGCGGTCGTACGTCTTGCTGCCAATGCGCACGCGGTAGATCACCGTCTTGTTGCCCATTGTGAGCGCCACGAGGCCGCCCTACACAGCGCGTCGCATCCCCTTCGTAGTTTGAATACTTCGATAACCTTGGTGCCAATCGAGACGCCAGAGACAAGGTCGTCGCCCGTGTCAATCTCATGGAACGGTACGAGCGTCGGCTTGATCGCCGTGTCGAGCGCATGCGGAAGGCGGGCCAAGGTCTACAGAGGGATGCAGGTTGCCGCGCCGAGGCCATCGTCGTCGTACCACGCAGTTCTTGATGCCACTCTTGGCCGAGCCGCCGCCGCCCGCGATGGCCACGAACGAGATGTCGTCCGGGTCGCGCTGCCAGTCGAGGCCAAAGACCGGGTACTTGAGGCTCACGATCTTCCCCTCGGTCATCTTGCTTCCAAAGAATGCGACGACGTAGGTCCGCCCCCAAATCGCACTTAGTCCGTACTCGAACCCGCCCCGGCGCGACGCACGGGAGCGTGCCACGTCATATCCACGCCCCCTTCCGCTTCCTCGGACGCTTCCTGCGACAGAACGCATGTTCTATGACCCAGCACCATGGGACCGTCTACCGGAATACCCTCTTGGCGCTTGCCACATGCCTCAGGACTCAGAGCTGCGACCGTCTCGGATCATGGTGCCCTGAATCTGAACCCCAGATGCCGAGATTCCCAGCGTCAAATCGCACCCATGGGCATCGCAAATCCATGAAGTGCAGGACCAACGAAGCCGTCTCGACTGCGTTGCGGCAGGGTCGAGGACGGAATTTGGTCGTAGCATTACGACTAAGAACTTAGAACGCGGGGAGGAACCACGTGCGCACGGCCGCGTCGTTGCCGATCGAGATGATTTGGTCGTCGGCCATGAACTTGGCGCCCATAACGCCGTCTTCGTGCGCATAGTCAAACTGGTGGCGCGCGCTCGGCTTCTCGACGTTCCATACGAAAATGTGCCCATCGAGGGCGCCGCTGACCACATACTGGCCGCTCGGCGACCACGCGACCGTCGTCACGCGCGTCGAGTGAAAGACCCACTGGCCCGCGACCTTGGCTTCGCGCGAGGCAATGTCCCACACACGCACATCGCGGTACGCATCGCCGGCCGCCAAGAGCGACCCGTCCGGCGAGTACGCAATGCTAGTCAAGGCACCCAGATGGCCGGTAAGCGGAGCCGTTTCCGTGAGCTGGAAGGACCCGTCGGCGCCGTACACGACGTCAAACAGATGGATCGTGTTGTCTTCTTGGCCACCGACCGCGAGTTGCGTCTATAGGTAGAGTTAGCGTCTCCAGGATCTCCACGAGCATCGAACGTACGCCCGAGGGGTGCACGGCGATGCACGTGCCCGTCCACGCAAAGTTGGCCGTCTCGTGCACAAGCGTCCCGTTCACGATGAGCTTGACGCCCTTGTTGGAGCTCACGGCGCACATAAAGCTGTCCGACGGACCGTGCGTCGCAAGTGCGAGGCCCGTCGGCTGCGCGCCGTTGAGCTCGACACTCGACGCATACGCTTCGTCAGCGACCGCACCGAACCGGACCTTGTCGTCCCAGCCACCGCTCGCGAGGAGACCGCCCATGGCGTCAATGCACGTGATCTTGGCCGTGTGCACGTCGCCGCCAAAGCGGTGCGCACACGCACCGGTCCACGCGCACACGACGCCGTCGTAGCTGCCCGTGAAAAACTTGTTCTCGTCGCGGTCGATAGCGAGCGCTTGCAAGCTCACTTGGTGGCCATACACAACCCTAATGTACATACGATAGTAAGAAGAAAATGACCAAGTCATGGGTAAGCGTACCGGGACGGCGTGTCGGGCGTCGCGAGGCTGAGGTAGTTGAGGTTGCCCGAGAGCGAGAGCGACACCATGTAGTCGCCGTGCCACACAACAGCCTGCTGCATGTCTTGGATCGTGTTGCCAAAGGTGAACGTCGTCGCGACGGAGAGCGTCTCGACGTCCCAGAGCTTGACCGTCTTGTCGCCCGACGCCGTGAGGAGCTGCTTGCTGTCCGGGCTCCAAGCGACCGAGTAGATCGAGACCGCGTGGGCCTATATGAAAATGATCACTCACGAGCTTGCTAAGTGCTAGGGGTACGTACGACAGGGAACGTCGAGAGCTTCTCGCTCGTCTTGGCGTCGTAGAGCACCATGCCCTTGTCCGAGCCGACACTCACGGCGTAGTTGCCGTCCGGCGAGTACCGGACGCAGTTGGCAAAGTTGGTGTGGCTCTGCATCGAGTGCTTGAACTTGAACGGCGGGCCCTCGAACGCGCATACGTTGAAGTCCTCGGACGCCGTAAGAATGCGGAACGGCCGCGTCGGCTTGTAGTCGACACTCAAGATGCGCTTCTGGTGGCCCGCGATTTCACCAATGCTGTTGCCCGTGTCCCACATAAAGACCTATTGGCAACACGTAAGTTGACGCATTTGGCTCGAAAGTGGAGGCGTACGCGAGCGAGGAGCGTACGGCCATCACCGACAGCGACAATGCGCTTGCTGTCCGGGTCCCAGCTCAAGTCCTTGACTTCACCAGCAAACACCGGCACTTCGACCTTGAGCGTGTGTTCCGGGTTGTCGTACGACCTAATGATCGTCATCGTTGTCAAGGCTTGTCATGCTGACCAAGATGTACCAGACGCGGACCTTGCCCGACGTGTCGGCCGAGGCGACCCAGTAGCCATTGGGCGAGATCTTGGCAGCCGTCGTCGGGCTGTTGTGGCCTTGGTAGATAAGGCAGTTGGCAGGGTTTTCGAGGTCGCGGATCACGACAAGCTTCCCGGAGCAGTAGATGATCTTGGGCTCCTTCGGGTGCACGCCGAGGACGGTGGGGGCGCCACGCGTCGTCGTCGGTTGCGGGCAGTAGGTAGCCTAGAGTAACACTATATCAGATCGCATAGCTCCGACGGTGGCGACCTTGAGGTTGGCGTTCGGGAGACGCTCGGTCAGGTTCACGGTCGACGCCATTATACGGAGCTGACTGCAAGTTTGGATCTGCGGTTCCTCGAGTCTAATGGCGATCACGGATATAGTGTCATATGACACTATTTGGTATCGAACGTGTCGCACGCAGCGCAGCAGCAGGCCATCGAAGATTGTGCATTGTATACTGGTGCGAGTCTACGCTGTGCACCGTGCATGCAGTCACAGGCTTTGCGTAGATGTTGCAACCGTTCGCGCCCTGCGCTGCTACAGTAACTCACGGGTTCACACAGTATATCCAGTGATACCGTTGCTTGAACACACTATATACGTCATCCGGATACGAACGATCTTGCCCACAGTTGCCCGATTGCGTTTAACCGACACTTAAACGCGCGCCACACGTTAAACGCGCACTACATGCGGTAAAGTCGGTGGACCTGCCAACGACGCCGCTAACTCGATGCTGGCAGGACGCGTTGCAAAGATATACCTCTCAAAGATGGACAATTATGCACACAGAAGCTACATTTGCCGTAAAAGCTGTTGCCAGGAGTGCCACGGTGGCGGGATCTTGGTCAAGTAGAGGCTTGGTACGTTGGACCACAGCAGCTGCCTTCCGGGAGTTGCGTACGTTGAGCAAGTGCAAACGCAGCAGAGTGCATGCAGCTCCTACCTGCATTCAGGAACGAACGAATACGGTCCAACGCGGACTCTGATGTGTGTCGACATCGTGTTTTACCCATGTTTAAACGTCGCTGGGACCTTGGCCGTGGGTACCAATCAAGATGAGCGACGGGACGACGGGCGAGCGCGAGCGGCTGCCGAGAGGCGTCAAGCGCGATAGCGACTACGCCGTCCTCAACACGGGCCAATTGATCCCGGACGTCGAGAGTCCCAAGCAAGCAATGGCAACCAAGAAGCGGCCGCCTGTCTGCGTGTGGTGCCACGAGCCCGGTGACGTCGTACCCTGCGTCAACTGCGACAGCCCGTGCGTCGCCGCGCTAAGATGCTCGATGCTGACGTGCCGAATTAGGTTTCACCGCGTGTGCGCCATGAAGCGTGACCCGAGCGCAACAGCGCTCTGCGCCAAGGTACTACGCGCCTGCCATCCTCGCCGAGGACCAATTGTGCGACCTAGTGCTTGCCCCGCGGCCCGCGCTACCGGCTGCCGAATGCCACGTCGCTCGACGACGCGGTGCGACTGCTGCGCGAAGCCACGAACATTGTCGTGCTCGTTGGCGCCGGCATCAGCGTGTCGTGTGGCATCCCCGACTTTCGCTCCGAGAATGGCATTTACACCATCATCCAAAAGATGGGTCTCAACGTACATCGTCATTCTCGCTTCCATCGACTTGGTTGCTCATGGCGCCTGGGAATCCCGTAGCTGCCCGAACCGGAAGCGCTCTTTGACATTGATTTCTTCCGCTCCGACCCGTCCCCATTCTTCCATTTTGCCATGGACTTTTTCAATGGCACGTATACACCGTCGCGCACGCACCGCTTTCTGCGCGAGCTCCATGACGCCAAGAAGCTCCTCCGCGTCTACTCTCAGAACATTGACGGGCTCGAGGCGGATGCCGGTGTCCCGAACGTCGTCGCCTGCCACGGGTCCCTCGCCACCGCGTCCTGCATGCTGTGCGGGTACTACCATTCCTATGTCCTTGTCGTCGTTACTGATGACATTGTGCTGTGCCTAGGAAGAACGCGCCGACGTCTACGCTGCGCTTGTCCGAGGTCGTAGCGGCGAATGCGATTCCGCGCTGCGACTGCGGCGGTGTCATGAAGCCCGACATTACCTTTTTTGGGCAAGCGCTTGCGCCTTCGATTCGTGAGTCACTGGCCATGGACGCACCCAAGGTATGCCATTGACCACACAGCCAGCACTGAGCTGCAACCACAACTCGTAGGTCGACCTTCTCATTGTGATTGGCACGTCCTTGCAAGTGTCGCCGGTCTCGGACATCCCCGCCTACTTGCCGCGCGACGTGCCGCAGCTGCTCATCAACATGGAGTCGGTCATTGCGCGGGGCACGGATGGCTTTGACGTGGAGCTTCTCGGCGCCTGTGACACAGTCGTCGAATATTTGCACCACGCCATGGCGACGACGAACGACGAGGCAGCGACGGTGGCGGGGTCGCCCCACCACCACGAACCCAATGTCTATTGCTTTGGTACGGATGCGTGCTACTGGAGCGACGACGAGGACGACGACGAGAAGGGGCCGCTCGTCGACGACTATTTCCAGTGGTAGAGACACAGTGGACGTCGTGTTGTCGCCTCATGCATCTGTCGTAGCGACGGTTGCGCCGAGGAAGTCGACTGCGAAGAAGCCCCGCGCTACTCGTGCACGTAGGACGCCATGCTGCATGGCACGTTTAACGCTGGTGTCTCTAGGACGTGCTTTGACTACGACCTTTGCGAAGCCTGCCACGCGTCGGACGCCGTCAAGGCGAGCCACTACGATGGCCAGCATGAGTTTGCTCTGCATTAGACGAGCCTGTAACGCGTCTGCAAAGAACAGTATACAGTGGACGGGATTGGGAAGGTTATTACACGAACGCTTCGTCGCGCAGTCGCGCCAAGATGGCACGCTCCACGAACGCAGCGAGTTCGGGGTCGTCCGGGAGATTGCAGCTCACAAAGACTTGCTTCTTCGTCTTGAGCACGAGGCGCTGTGCAATCTGCGCTTCGGCCTCGTCGCCGGGGCCGCCGAGGAGACTCGCGGCGAGCGGGAACGGGTCGTACGGAGTCTTGATGGCGGTCGAGAGCGAGCTAATCCGGTCCTGTGAGTCCAACGAGCCAAGTAGAAGCAAGCGTCGCACCCAAGCGCGGCTGCGTCGCTGGTCAACCCGATCCACACAAAGCACGCGTGCTCCAGAAGCCAGAGCTGCCACAATGCCAGGGTCAACGCGCTGTACTAGCATCACGACAGAGTGCCTACCTGCACGTTGAAGGCTTGGTCGACAAACTTGCTGCTAAAGTTGATGATCCGCGCGCCGTCCGCCGCCGCCGGGTCTTGGGCCACATGGAGCCCGTCCATCATCGTTGTCACTTGGTCCGCCATCGCACCTTGGCACCTTTGGATTTGCCGTCGTAACAATCCGCTCTGCGGTGTTCGACACTGTTAGAAACAAGTTATATTGTCATTTTTCTATTATACGCACCGGTTAAAGCCGTCAATCTGAAAAACGTAACATATACTGATGCAAGCGCCGCCCCACACCGTGTAGAGCCTGGCTATTAGCGTGGCATTCCGTTTTACTCGTTTAACCTAAAACGCGTCGCGTTGAATGTGGGATTTCGAATTTCCCACGTGGCGTGGGAAGGGCCGAAATAGCGCACACATCCGGATACCGCGACAATTCAGTTCGCGATGGTCGAGGTCTCTGCAGCAAGCGTGCGAGCGCAGTGGGGCGCCGGGCCAGCCGCGTCGTCGCCCGCAGCCGCCGCCCTCTCCAAGTCCTTCTCGTCGCTCTCATCTTGGGGGCAGAACATCATGACGAACCTCCAAGCGCCAGCGACGCCAACGGCGTCCGAGGCCAGCACCGTCGGCTCGGAGCCCGACCTCGAGGGCGGCGAGGGCAGCGACGTGTCGCCGCTCTTGACGCCACAAGCCGCGCTGCAGTCGCTCTGGGGCAACATCAAGAGCAAGAGCTCGTCGACCATGTCGCCAGCGCAAATGGAGGCCATGAAGAGCTATCCGCAGCGCTTCAAAACGTTCGTCATGCTCATCTTGCTCTCGGGCCTCTTCTTTGGCATGGCCTCGCTCTTCTTGCCGCTCCTGCTTATCCGTCCGTCCAAGTTTGCGCTGAGCTTCTCGCTTGGTAGTGTGCTTGCGCTCTCGGCGATCGCAGCGCTGCGAGGCTGGAGGAGCTACTGTCTCTCGCTCGTGCAGCCCACGCACTTGCTACTGACGACGTTGTATTTGAGCTCGCTCGTTACGACCCTCTACGCATGCCTTATCATGGGCAGCTACGTCTACGTGATTCTCAGCGCATCGCTCCAGCTCATTACGCTTGGGTACTTTCTCCTCTCGGCGTTTCCCGGTGGCGTCGCTGCGCTCAACAGTACACTTCTCTTGACGATGCATCCATCTAATGGGATATTATCCTATCGTAGCAACAGGTCGAATTGTCGTCAAGAGCGCCAAGGGCATTCTCAACGGCTGCATCAAGCTCCTTCAGTGAGGCCTCAACTATATATCTAATATACGCTTGATTCATTTTACAGCGACCACCGCGGCGCTCGAGGCGGTGGCATGTACGCAGTGGATAAACCTCTATAGTAGCTCGTCGAGCTCGGGCGGCAAGTCGTGTGGGGTCGGACCCGACTCTATACGATCGTTGTTGATCTCGTTTTCGTTGGGCATGGCGGGTCTGTCGTCCGCCGGCTCGTCCACAACGTCGCCCAAATCTTCCTTCGTCGTCGGCTCGCCGCTCTCGGGGGCTGCTGCCTCTTCACTCGGTACTGCCTCGTCTGCCATCGCCGATGCGCGGGCCAAGCACGCTTGGTTGATGGCCCGCTGGCTCTTCTTGGAGAGCTTCTTCCCGCGCACTTCGAAATCCGAGCCGCCAAACGACGAGAGGGGCTTTGCAATGAACTCGGCTTTGACAATGTTCTCCCAGCGCCCCGTGTCGGGCTTGGACATCTTGGTCTACGTGGGTAACGGTATACATACCAAGAGCATTTTACGTACTTGGCTGTTGCGACGCTTGGCCATATCGTACTCGCGCACGTCGAGCATGACCTTGAGAATGTCTTGGAGACCCGTCTCGACGTACCGCTTGGTGATCGGCGTGCTGTAGTCGCACGCAGGGCTGCTGTTGACCTCGATGAGCCATGGCTACGAGGTCGTTGGGCGAGACGCGCATATTGACCGCTTGGAGCACCTTGAACTGGTCGTCGATCATAAAGTCGTAGCCGTACAGCTCGCACGAGTTCTTGCGGTGGTGCACCGTGTCTTGCACGCACTGAAGCGACCACGACACGATCTGCTTCATGCGCGGCTGGATATGGGCGAGCCAAATGCTTTGGCCCGTCGCGGCGTCGAGGCCATACCGCTTGGTCAAGTACGCTTGCAAGTCGTCCGAGTGCCACATGTTGCTAGTCGACTCGTGAGCAAATACATACTTTTATCGGCAACGTACCCTTCGACCGTCATCGAGCCGTCTTCGGTCGAGTACGCCTTGTAAAAGTTGTCACCAAACTTTTGGATCGAGTTGTTGGTCAAATGCACATATTGGTCGCTCTACGCCGTTCGATCAGAACACAAGTGGGCGCCTTCGCCTGTACGAGGTCGTCGACTTGGTACTCTTCCGAGCTGAACCGGAGGTAGCAGTCCATGTAAAACCACACCGTGAGCGGGTTCCACGACGTGACAAAGACCCACTACCGAAGTGTGACGACCTCGACATGAACGGGAGAGACGGAACCTGGCGAATGTCAAATTTGCGGTTGCACACCAAGAGCGGATTCTCAATGTACTTTTGAACCTACTCGATCCGCTGAGACGAAGAAGACATACGCGCTTAGGTACGTACGATCCATTGACACTCCTTGTGGTTCTCGACGTCAGCGTATGCAAGCAGCTCGTGCAGTTGGTTGAAGACCCGAATGCCGCGGCCCCGCGACATTCCTATGCAACTATCGCATTTTGCTTCATACACGCGAGGAGCTAACCCGCAGGCTTGACGATCCAAACGTTCTTGCAGTCGGCGCCGTTCAAGTGAAATTGCGGGCAAAGCGATGCGAGTTCTACGCGCGCTCGTTGAAAAACCATGTCCAACGAATGAATCCTGCCGCACCATCGTAGAGGGACTGCACCACGGCGACGGTCTCGGGCGACAATACCTCCACTTGGCCCAAGAGCGCGTTGAGACGCACTTTCTCCTTGGCAAACGCCGCCTCTACATACCGCAAGGCATTCGCACCGACAGACGTGATGTCTGCGCCGTACCGAGGTACTTTTCTTGCTTCTTGACGAGCCGAGCATCCTCGCGCTGCTCGCTGGGGGTCATTTCGGTCGCGGGCGCGTTCGGGTCGAGTACAACAGCGGGCTTGACAAACTGGAACGACCCGCGGATCGCACTCGGCGACGTTGGCGAACAGCGCGTGAGCACCTCCCACTGCAGGTCCGTGACCACGGGCTCGATGCCTATGCGCCATTTGAGGTCATTATCTGGTGTAAAGATGACATGAGACCGCAGGCATCGGCATTATCCAAGACATCGTCGGGAAGGATCTCGGTGCGCTTTCGACAGACCGAGAGGAGCACGTCGAGCACGCCAAGGTTTACGGGCGCGGATGATGTTTTGTAGGCGGCGTGGAGGCGCTTGAGCATGCCTTCGGCGTGGATGTAGCGGTAGTCTTGTATGTACGCTTGCATGTCGGACGGTTCGTTGAGGTCATACGCACGCGGAAAGAACGAGTCGATGTCTTCGCTGAGAAACCATGTAATGCTACAATATGGAGTATGTGTCAATGTCGGAAACGAAGGCGGTGTCGTCCGACTTGCGAAGGTTGTGGAGCAGGCCCACTTTGGTTGTAATCGCCGTGTTTTGCATAAAATGGTTCACGAGCTAATGCATCCATACTCTGGTAAGATATGGACGGTTCGTCGAGAGGGTACCTGGTCCTCGTTGAGTTTGACGTTCTTGAGGTCATCCGACTTGAGCGCCCACTTGAGGTCGAAATATGGACTGTTGCGGTCCACGTTGTGGAACCACCCGCGGGTTTCAAGTGTCTCTTTGATGACGGGATACCACCCCGTGAGGCAAAACACCTAGGCGTCGTTCGAGTCGCTTGCGTCAACGTCGCATCCACTCACCTTGGTGTCGGGTGACACACCGTTGCGCTTCTTCCAGGATGCAAAGTCCTTGGCTTCCGGCACGAGCTGCGCCTCAGTGGGCTTGAGCTTGCTCAATCGCGACACCATCGCTACACACCCTGAGGTATCTTGCGTGCGAATACAAAGTCGTACCTTCGACGTTGACCTTGGGCTTCTCTTCGACTTCGGGCTCGGCTACGACCTGTGGTGCCGCCGCGGCTTTCTCAGCGGCCGCCAACTTGGCCGCTTCGTGTCGCTGCAGCGCTTCCTCGCGCACCTTTTGCCGCTTCTTCTCGAGGAGCTCCTTCTTTTCTTCGTCGTCAAGCTGCTTCTGCTTGCGCTCGTCCGCGAGCTTGCTCAAGTATTCGACTTGTTTCTTCTTGATCGCTTCCTGCTGCTGCAGACTAGCAGGCATGGGTCTGCTCGTGTCACTGAGCGAAGGCTACTGTACCGCCGCTCCATTTCTTCGGGTGTCAACACCTCTTTGGGTTCGTCGTCCTTGTCCTTCTTGAGCCGGACCGCGGCGACGGCACTGCCAGCGGCCGCCATCGCCACGGACGAGTTGAACTTCTCGAGCGCATCCTGCATGCGACTCGATACCTCCTATCGACATGATGCATACGAGTCATCTAAAGACCGTGTCGACCTGCGTGCCCAACGCGGCCTTGCGCGCCGCCTCCTTCTTCTTGGTCGACTTTTGGCGCTCGGCCTCTTCATCGACTTGCTCCTTTCGCTTCTTGGCTTGGAGCGCCTCCAAAACAGCCTAGAGCATAGTGTATGCAGCCCCTGGGTTGGAAGCAAGCAGAGGGCGTACTTGCTGCTTGAGCAAGAGCTTCTTCTGCGCTGCTGTCCGCGCCTTCTTCTCTTCTGGCGACTCTTCGCTACGCGTCGGCAGCATGAGCCACAGAGAGCGAAGCTTCTACGGACGTGAATGGCGCTGGCGTCTCTTCCGGTGTCTCTTCCTTAGGCGTCGGCTCGACGGCGCGCACCGCAGCGGCGCGCTGTAGAATGCTCTTGCGCAGCTTGAGCCGGAGCTTTCGCTGCCGGTCAGCCTCGGCCGCCTCGGCCTCCTTTTCCTTGCGCTTCTTCTCCTCCAGCTCTTTGATGAACGCTTGGTGCCGGTCGACCTTTCTTGGCCCATTGTTGTTGCCACCGTCACTGGGCTCGTCTGCGAGCTGCTCGTCCGCCTGGTTGTCGCTGGCCGCGAGCTGCTTGGCGGCCGCGATCGCTTCTTTGCGCCGAGGAATCTTGCTCGCAAAGCTCTTGCGCGCAGGCGAGAGGAGCCCCGCGCTCTCGCCGACGCTCTCGGAGCGCTGGAGCGGCGACGCCATGTCTTTTTACTGAAACCCCCGCGGTTTCAGTCGACGCAAATGCTGTCGCATTCGAAAGTATTGCGTCGACGCAAATATGGCCGACGACGCATTTTTTCGCTCGTCATGCGAGCCACGCACGCCTGGCATCCAGTCCTCGCCACCTCGCTCCACCGGTCGACAAGTACTGGGCAGGTCATATATCGTCGCACTACCGCAGCAGACGACGATGCGAGCGTGGTTTGTATGCGCTGTACTAGTACTAGTATTGCTTAAGTCTTAAGTCCAATTTTCAGCCAAACCCACGCGAAAAGACTCGGATTCGGGGCAGGCTTGAGCTTTGGCAATAACTCTTAATTATAGCAGAGATCGCCAGACGCCAGGACGTCGACCTCTCGTCCCAGACGCTGTCGCGTCGTGTCTAGCCCCTCGGCGTGAGGATGGGCAAGGGCGCCAAGGAAATTCTACCGACGTCGGGTTGGTTTATTTTATTCTTGGATCTTGATTTGGTCTTTGTATGGCTTGAACGCGGTTTGGACGCGACGTGTATTATTTAATTAGACTGCAAAGCAACGTCATTCATTTCGAGAAGTGCCAGCGAGTCCAATATGCAGGCGGGAGGAGTACGACGACGACAATGGCATGGAGAAGGGCTCATGCAACGACCTGCGTAGAAGTCCATGGAGCAGATGCAAGCGGAGCAGATGCGCAAGCAGTAGGTGCATGAGCTTCCTGCGCCATGCATGAACGTTCGTGGTGCGTAGGGAGAACGAAGAGATGAAGAAGCAGATTCTCACGAGCCTCATGACGCCCGCGGCCAAGGAGCGCCGTATGTACCTACGCAGCCGCAAGGTCCTGACTGAGTGGTCTTCTGGGTAGTGAACCGCATTGCTATCGTCAAGCCCGAGAAGGCGCACGCGCTGGAAGATTTGATCATCCAAATGGCGCAGCGCGGCCAGCTGCCGGGCCAAATTGACGAGCCCAAGTTCATTGAGCTCTTGAACCGCACGGGTGCTGCGGAAGAGCAGCAGCGCACCAAAGTCACGGTATGCTTCTGCTTCCGGTCGTCTCTCGTGCTCATGCTCCATCGTATAGATGAAGAGAAGGACGTATTTCTCGGACGAAGAAGACGATGACGACGACGACTTTTAAGCCCATTCGCATCCAATGGGCAAGGCTACCCGACGCGTTTGTAAATGTACACGGTTGACATGCCCCAGCTTTGCTGCATCTTGAATTTCTGGACGAGGCCGAGCACGGGGGCGTGGTCGTCGTCGAGGCAGAGTTGCTTGGTCGCAGTCATTATGACCCCGCCCTTCTTGAGGTACAAGAGCGCTTGCTTGGTGAGCAAGAGCATGAGACGCTCGTCAAAGCACGTGGCGTTGCAGAAGATGACGTCGGCGATTGGCCACTCGACCTGCGTCGCGTCCTCGTGGCCAATCACAAAGCGCGTCCGCTTCTTGAGCGCGTTGAGCGCCTTCTTCTCGTGCTGCCAGAGACCATGGATCGTCTGCGCCGTCGACGCGAGGGTGGCGAGGATCTCATACCCGACGACTGCGTCAAAGTCGTGCAGAAGGGCGGCTGCAAAGAGCGGTCGCCCCGTGCCGCAGCCCACATCGAGAAACGTGCCCCCGGGCTTGGTCAAGACGTCGTGGTTGGTCTAAGCACAGTGCATGCGAAGTGCAATGCGCGAAGAGCGTACCTTCAGCAGCTCCAACAGCGAGCGAAAGGGCTCGAAATCGATCTCACCGTACGTGAGCGTCGTTGACGGATACCCATTGGCCTCGCGTTCCGCCTGTGTCGACAGCTGACGGCCTACGCAGACTCGCGAGGCGTACCCGAGAGATGGCCTTGGCGATGGTACAGCCATGCTCGCGGTAGAGACTGGCAAAGATGGCAGCAGTATCCACGTCCACGCGCGCCGGCTCCTCGTCCGCCATGGGACTGCAGATGACAAGGCGATCATCACACGCTTCGTGCTGGCTCATGGGCAACGACGTTGGCAGTGGTGTATCTTTGATTATTCACGAGGCTGAACGTTACAAGGTATCCTCGTCGTTTTGCAAGATGGACCAGAGATCGCTGTCGAGCGGGTATAGCATCGCGTGGGGACTTGTGATAGCCTGCGAGAGCGACCGGTGCATGGGCGACAGCATGTAATAGCCGTGCCGGATCGGCGAGTAGAGCGGCACGGACGTGGTCTCAATCGTGCGCATCTCGGTCATCTTGATCGTTGCAAGGTCTTCGATGTCGATTTGCAGGCGGCGCTCGCAGTTTTCAATGCTATTTCGCCGGTTCCCGAGCGCTGGCGGCGAGCACACGAGGGGCACGACGCTCGCCTCGTCCGCGGGTGGTGTCATGTGCTGTGCCATGAGATAGTCGAGTGCTGCGTCATCGAGAACGCTGTCGTCTTCCTCGTCGTCGTCCTCGCTTTCCTCTTCTACGGTGGAGGCCAATGGCGGCGTCACTTGACCGGTCGCCACCAAGAAGCGGCGCTCGAGCACCGCGAGGTCGCGTCGCCTTTGCATGCGGTCGGCGTCCGACATGTTGTGGAGCGCGGCGGTATCACGAAGGTACGTTTGCTTGGACTTGGGCAAGACGCCGGCAAACTTTTTGGAAATCCGCATCGGGTCGCATTGCAGCGTCTTGGCGAGGAAGACGCGAAGCAAGATCCCGTCCGGTAGCGGCAGCACGCCATGGTCAAACTCGCGAATGAGATGGTTGGCGTACTCTTCCTCTTCTTTGGTCCAGCGCCCCGACCGCTTGTGCGGCGCTGGTGGCCCCGTCTCAATGGACAGTTTACTCACTTTGCCCTTGACAAGACCGTGGCGTGGGTCCGAGTCGCGGCGTCCGTTGGCGTCGGGGCTTGGGACGCTGCCCGATCGGTGCCGTCGCTCGCCAACGATGGGTTTCTTGGGCTATGCACAGCTCTCGCATTCGGCGACACTGAATCCTCATGCGTACCGTGACGGCGTCAAAATCGACGAGCAGTGCGTCACCGACGACGTTCCAGCGAGACTCTTTCAAAATCAAATCGTCAAAGTCGGCGTTGCTCTACGGCACGGAATTGCGTCGCAAGAGATTGGAGATCAAGTACCATGGCACTCGATTGCTGATCTTTCTCGAGCTTCTTAAAGAACTTTTGTGCATGCGTGCGAATCTGCATGAGCGTTCGCGTCGGTATCTACGTCATCTTGTGTGCCATGACCGCGCAGATGCGGCGCACGCACCAAGCCAGCGACCTTCTTCCAGTCTTTGCCGTACTGGTTGAGTCCTTGGACAAACGCATCTTGCTCGTCCTTGGTCCATCGCCCTGCAACGATTGCAGTGTAAACAGAGAGGCATGGAAAAATGACCTGTGGTCGTATCGCTGCTGACGCTGTCGCGAAGCGAAAGTTCGTCCGCGACGAGCTCCGTCTCCGACTTGGCACGGAAGCGGCGGCTCAAGCGCGGGGAGCACGGCCGGGGCGACACGGGGAGCGCCGTCTGATCCAAATGCAGATCGTGGATCACGTGTGTACTGAACTCCTCCTTGAAGACACTCGCGAGGGCGCCATAGCGTGTCGGCGACGTGGACGGCATGGACGAAAACCACGTCGGCCTATTTTCGGCGTCTCATGCTGGCCACGGTTTTGCCGCCCTTGATGGATTTGTGGCCTTAGAGCTCAAGACACCAAGGGCAGTTTCGTTGCGTCGGTTCCAATATCAGAGCAGAAGACATGTCCAATGTGATGGGGAATATCATTCGAGATCTTATCCCCGAAGCAGCAGCAACACGCAGACATCGAGGACATTCGCGCTACTAGTACTAGTATCGAACTAGCGCGTACTTTCACACATGCCAATCCATATATTCTACTTCTCGTCATCGTCATCTCCATCACCCCATGCTCAGAGCTTTGCTCTCGTGTTCGCTTCTTGCATTGCACACCTTACTTAGGTGCGGTAGACAGACTGTCTCGTTTGAGAGGGGCCATGCCCGCCGCATCTACACAAGTCGCTTCTTCTGGTCCTACTCGGTATGTAGTGTCGTAAAGCACTAGTGTGTCTGTTCTCTAAAGTCTACGTTGTGAGCATTCCTAGCGGCGTCGCTACACTTCTTGGCGCCAAATTGCACCACGTGGCGTTGACTTCTTGAATTTTCTATCCGGATCCCCGACGCGGGCGTTTCATCGTGTACTTGGGCTGTGTATGTGTGTCCGGATAAAGGTAAGTGTCTATGTGGGCGAAACAAAGGCAAAGTGGGTTTATTAAACGACTTTGCAGTTTGTATGAAATTAAAAAAGGTGGCGCGACGTCAGCAAACTGCGGCAACTTCACAAACCATATTCGAACCAATGGCTGACATCGAGCACGAAGCGCCCATCGCGGCCCCGAAGATCATCGTCCCCAAGCCGGACAAGGCGGTCTTGGATGCGGCCGTCGCGGCCCTCGAGGTCGAGAAGAAGACGAAGCTCGACCGCATGAAGGCGATCTCGCACGAGCTCGATGAGATCAAGGAAGGCCGCTCGGGCTTCTCGGAAAAGATGAAGGCCGCCAAGGTCATCTACAACGAGCTCAGCGAGAAGAAGAAGCAGCTCCACACGGAGCGCAACCAGCTCAAGATCGACTTTGAGAAGGCCAAGGGCGCCAAGGACAACTACCGCGAGTCGCAGAAGTCGCTCCAGAGCCAGCTGCCGTACAAGACGGTCAAGGAGATTGAGGACCGCATTCGCCAGCTCGAGACGGACCAGCACACCAAGTCCATGTCGCTCACGGCCGAGAAGAACCTCATCAAGGAGATTGAGAGCCTCCAGCTCGCCAAGAAGAGCGTGGCCAAGTTTGCCGCGCAGCAGGGCAAGGACGCCGACTTCAACGCGTCGATGGATGACATCCGCGCCGCCATGAAGGCCAAGTCCGCCGAGATCGAGGCTGTCACAGAAGACTTCAACAAGCAGAAGGCGGTTATGGACGCGATCCGCGCCGACAGCGACGTTGGCGGCCGCGACCTCTTCCCGACGCTCCTCGAGGAGAAGAAGGGCTTGAAGTCCCGCGTCGACGAGGTCTTTTCCGAGATCCGCGCGCTCCGTGACCAGTTCAAGAAGGACAACGACTTGTACTACGAGGGTGTCCGCGCTGCGCGTGAGGCCAAGAAGGCTGCGCGTGAGGCCGAGGATGCGGCCCGCAAGGCCGAGTACGACGCCAAGGTCGCCGAGTACGAGGCCGAGATGGCCAAGATCCACCCGTACCAGGACGAGGTGGACATGGCGCAGGCGCTCGTTGTCTTTCTCGAAAAGACGTTTGCGAAGGAACTCGCGGCCGCGGTCGCTGCCAAGCCCACCGCAACGACGGCCGCTGTCGAGCTCGATGGCATGAAGCCGCTCAAGCGTGACGACGAAGAGTTCTTCTCGGTCAAGAAGTCGACCAAGAAGGGCGGTGCCGGCAAGAAGGCCAAGAAGGAGACGAAGCTCGTCTTGCCGATTGCCCAGATCCAGTCGTTCGCCTCGCTCGGCTTGACGCCGCCGGCGCTCGTCTCGAACGTCGAAGAGTCGATCACGGCCATCAAGGCCAAGAACGAGTGGTTCAAGGTCCAGACGGTGCGCGCGGATGCGCCTGCGGTTGCCCCGTCGTCGCCCAAGAAGAAGGCCAACAAGAAGGGCAACGGTGCGTTTGACCAGGGTGCGTTCCCGTCGCTCTCGGGCGCCGCGACGTTCGAGTCGTCGGACAGCGCGTGGGGCCCTGGCATTGGCGCGCCGGTCGCCGCCGAGTTCGAGTCGGAGATCGTCGACGACGAAGCCCAGTACGCCGACGAAGAGTAAACGCTCGGCGCGATCGTTTGCACGATGTGAGTTGCGCAAACTAGTTTAGGAGCTTAGATACTTATATGTCGCATTGCCCCGTGAGTTTTAACTGCAGAAAGTCATGTGGCGTTGTCAAGTCGGTCGCTTGTCTCTTTCTGATCGACGTGGTGAAACAGCGTGTGCAATAGCGCCGACTTGTCGCTCTCGTTGCGCCGCAGCACCGACCAAAACTGCTCGACGAGCTTGGTCTTGTACAAGGCGCGCTCGTCGACGTCGAGCTGCGCCCAGCGCAGTGCGTCACTGGCGACCGCCCACGCGGCTTTGGCATGGGCGAGATCACGGCCAAGGCTCTCGAGCTTGGTGCGAAAATACGTCCGGTCGAGTGCCTCGTTGGTGCTCGTTTCGTCATCTTCGTTCAGGAGTACATGCGGGTGCTCAAAACACCCGAGCATGCGAAGGTACCAGCCGGGCGATGCCGCCGTCGTACGGTACACGCCAGGGTACAGCGTCCGCACTTGGTGCTCGAGCCGGTCGTGCCATTCGCTGAGCTCGTCGACGCGGTACGCTGCGTCCATAAAGGAGCGCGTCGCACGTACGAGCGTCTGCGTGGCCTTCTCGAGCGCCTTCTGAAGCTGCTCAATCTTGAGCCGAAACACCGCAATGTCGTTGGCGACGATATGCTCGTAGCTTGCGACTTGCCGCCGAATCGGCTCCAAGACCGACGGCGGGTCCTCGGGGCGCCCGTCGAGCTCGGGGTAAAAGATGTCAGCGTCGAGCGACGACCCATGACTGCGCATGAGGCGATGATGCAGAAACGACAGCTTGCGCTGGGTCTCAATCTCGTCGAGGCCGCGACGCGTCACCTTGTAGCGCACTGTGCGCTCAAGAAGCGACGCACCGTCGAGCGCCCCGACTCGTGCTTTGGGGTGCCGCACAAAGTAGGTACTCGCGCCTTCCATGTCCTACGTACACCAGTGTTGTGGTCATGGACTGTGCGATGGAATGCATGTACGAGGGAGAGAAGGTCGACTTGCATTTCCGCCAGCGCGACAAGCGCGATGCGGAAGAGGAGCTTGGCGCCGTCGACGAGGAAGCGGTTCCAGACGCACGCAAACGCGTCGAGCGAGACAAGGCGCGCAAAGAGCGTAGCAAACCACTAGCAGCATCGTACAAGTGGATACCCTAGCGCTGCGGACCCCGTCGTACCTGCGTTGCAAAGTACCCGGCGTGCATGCCAATCGCACGCAAGTGCAAGAAGAGCTGTGGGAGTTGGCGCTCCAGGAGCGTCTGTAGCGCATAGATATGGCGGCGCAGCCTAATGCAGAACGTTCGATGATGATACGACATGCGTACGTTTATCGCGTACCCTGGCATGGATGGAGCCCAAAGCGACTGCAAATCGTGCTGCTCGATGGCCCCGGCGACGGTCCAAAACACGACTGCTTCGTCGTCGCGCGTGAGGTCGCCTTCCGTGGCACGGTCATTACGCAAGACGAGCAGGAGCTTCCCCACGACATAGTTCATGCCTTGGCAGTACCCGATGGACGGAAAGCGAAGCGCGAGCGCCTTGAGGATGTTGGCCAAGTGCACATGCCCTGGGCGGACTGTCTCCGAGGTCGTCTCAAAGTACGGCTCCTGGGGAAACGTCCGCGGAATGTCCCGTCGGATCTCGCCGTCTTGACCCGTGTGCGCCAGCGTCAAGAGAACATTCGCATTGCCATGCAATAGCTCGTGCGCGTACACGCTTTTGTCTTGCGGCAACAGCGCACGCTGACGCCGTGCGTGGTATAGCCACCACGAGGCCCGAAGCGACGGGTCAATGCCACCTAGCCACTGTCGAGCTCATTGTGGTACGTGCTTCGTCTACCTTGGAGGCGATGGTATTGCCGCGGGCTGGCCAAAAGGACGCTGTAGAGCATATCGTCCGGCGACACCCACCCATGCTCCAAGAGCAGCATGAGCACGCGGGGCAGCCGCTTCGAGGCCGTCCGGCGCTCGGACGGTGGACGACCTTGGCGAGGCTCTGTGCTCGGCAGACTCTTGGGCTGCTGGGTCGCTGCGTCGTCCGCTGGTCGTCGATGACGTGGCGAGCGCGGGGTCTCGGCGACCTCCAAGGCTCGCATGCGAGGATCGGAATTGCAACTGAAAAAGACACGACCGCTTCGAAAAAGAACGCCGCGCCAAGTAAAAGAACGATTAAAAGAACCGGACGCGTCCGTATACCGGTACCACAGACTTGGCATAATCGTAATCGTGCCATGCGACTGGAGGTCAAGCTGCAGGGCGACCGCGTCCGCCTCGTCCCGTACTCGGCCTGGCATGTGGTCAAGTACCACGAGTGGATGAAGGATCCGTGGCTGCTAGAGATGACCGCGTCCGAGCCGCTGTCGCTGCCGGAAGAGCAAGAGATGCAGGTGACGTGGCGCGAGGACCCGACGAAGGCGACCTTTATCGTCCACGACCATGGCAATGACGACGTCCGCGACGAAGACGAAGCCTCGATGGCAGGCGACGTCAACCTCTTCTTCAACGACGATGAAGATCCGGCCAACTGCGAGATTGACATCATGATCGCCGAAGCCTCCAAGCGCGGGCTCGGTCTTGGGAAGGAAGCCGTGCTCTTGATGATGGCGTACGCCGTCGAGAAGATGAACGTTCATCGTTTCTACTCCAAGATCAACGAGACGAACGAAGCGTCCTTGGGCCTCTTCCGCAAGTACGTATTTGGCCCATGACCATGCAACCTAGTCTCACGATGGACGCTGTAGGCTCGGCTACAACGAGTGCAACTACGTCAAGGCCTTTCACGAGTATGAGTTTGAGTTTCACGTGCAAGACGAGCAGCGCGTGATGCTTGCTGATATCCTATGTCGCACAAGTCTGTTGCCAATGGCCAAGAAGGACTACTAATCTAAATGCAGGCTTCTCATCTCCCGGCGTCCAAGCTGTTGAAGCACCGACACCACCGCAGCCGACCCTTGGAACAGTGTATGATGGAACAGCAGTGAGAGATACAGAGTCTTGCTCGATCACTGTTGCTCGTCGCCACACGGGGCTCCGTGACGTATGCGTCCTTGCCGATTCCTGGGCAAAATTCCTATATGTGGCACATTCATGCCGAATTGTGAAACCGGATGCCGATTTCAAGGCAGCTGTAACCGGACGAAACGAGCGCAAGCAGTCGCATTGCAACGGTCGGTGCGATGGCCAAGAAGGACGAGGTAGACGCTTCATGCTCCTCGAGCGCTCATGACCATCATGCGCAGGAGAAGACCGATGTTGATGTCGACGAAGAGGCCAAGGAAGAGCTGGCCAAAGCCGAAGCGATCGACGACGACGACGACGATGAGAGCGAGACGATGGAGGAAGACACGGTACCTCCGCCGCAGCTTCCTTCTGCCCTATGAACATGGTCGTAGGGTCTCACGGAGAACCAAAACCGTCTCTTGTACATGATCTCGCTCTACAGCAAGCCGGCAGTTCTCGCGACGGACAAGGAAGAGTGGATCCGCAAGCCCGCGCTTCTCGTGCTGTTGTACGAAGCCATTGTCTCCAAGGCGCTCGACTACGACTACGCGCCAGCGTCCGAGCTCGTCGAGAGCAAGCGCAAGTACTTCAACATCTCCCAAGAAGGTCCATCGCACCATCCTTCCTATGCATATGACATGATCATCATGCTGCATCCCTCCATGTAGGCAAGTCGGACATTGATTTTCTGCGCGAAGAAGAGCTCTTGAATGGTCTCAAGCTCTCGTCCAAGACGTACCAGCCCGTGACGTGCTACCAAATCTCGGAAAAAGGCCTCGAGCTCATCGCCAAGCTCGGCCGCGCAGACAAATCGCCCGTCCACGAGATGGCATATGCCCCCGGCACTCGCAACCTCCTGCGCGTCGAGTGGGACGGGGACGAGTACTGGCTCAACGACGACGTCAGCGGATACCGACGCGTCTCGTCGGTGACGGAAACCGAGGACGTCTCGTACGTCTCCTCGGCGTATGTGCCCCAGTGCTTGCGCCGCGGCGGCCGCCCCACGCTCAGTAACGCCCATCGCGCGCACGAGTGTGGCTTGAGCGACTCGAGCATTCGCGACCAACTGGACGAGATCATCACGTTAAACTCGGTTTCGCTCATTGTCGCAGAGTTTATCCCATTTGGCGCCAACCAAGTCGTGCAGCTCAACTGCAATCTCGGGTCGACCGAGCGCGTTCAGGTACAAATCATGCTCTCACTACACATAGTTACACGAAACAATCGGTGCACAGGGGGGCTTCTTTACCGCCGTCGTCGACACCGAGTCGACCGGCACGCAAATCAGCGTCGACCCGGGCTTGACGTCCGTCAATGTGCTCGACTACTCGCTGACAAACCACGTCAACTTTGAAGCCGACATTCATTTCCCCGAGCCACCGGGCATTGTACAAGTCGAGACGTTTGGGTGCTCGCTCACCGCGTCGGGCTCGTGCTTTTACGGCATGCAGGTACTTCCTTCTAATCGCTTCTCGTGCAAGTCTCTGTATGCATGGCGCTAGGTTGAAGCTATCATGGATCGCATCAAAGACAACATTTCGCTGGACCATCTCTCGCGCTTGCTCGTCGACGTGCAGCAAGATTCGTCCAAGATCGTCGACTCGGTTCTCTCGGCGTACCAGCGCAGCCTCCTCGAGCTCATCTTTATGAACGAAGCGGCGCACCGTGACAAGATCAACCTCATTATCGCGAATGAGATCACACCGCATTTGACGGCGGAAGAGTACATGGACAAGGGCGAGTACGAAAATGAGCTCAAGCAGGTAGACACGTTCGGAATTTTCCTCGCACTGTAAGAATCGGGAATAGGTCATTGGGGACACCCGCGCAGCCTATGACATTAGCGAACACGACACGCTCATCTTTGGTGCGTACGGGCTCCTCATTGCAGGTCCCAACTCGCGCCATCACGAGCCGCTTCTGTGCTCGTTCCTCGAGTACGAGAGCATGAACCTCTTTACGCAAAACTTTTTTGCGCGCATGTTTATCGTCGTCGACGACATGAAGACAGTCCGTGGAATGCTCGAAGTCGCAGACCGCGACCCGAATCGGCTCACCGAGATTCGCAACCGGCTCGCGGTTCTCTCGAAACAAGTGATTTTGCTGGAAGAAACCCTTGGCTTTTTGCGCGAGTCGCTCGACGAAGCTGAGATTCCATCCGAGCCGCCCGAGCAGGCCGGCCGGAGCTTGTACGAGCGCCTCCAACTGGGCAGTCTCTCAGCCCAGCTCAAGCGCCGCGTCAAGGACCTCGAGAAAAACATGCTTGGCGCGCGCCATGAGCTCGACGTGCTCAATGAAATGAGCGCCATTTGCAGCGAGGAGAAAATATTCAAGCAGCACGAAGCCATTCGATATCACATGCGGTCGCTGTGCGAGCTCCAGGCCATCAACGAGCGGTCCGCGACGACGCTGCAGCTCATTCAAGTGATCCTCTCGGGCACGCTTGCGTTCGATATTTTAGATCGACTCACGGGCGACTGGACGCTCCAAGGCCAAGCGTGGGCGCTCTCGTTTCTCAATCCGCTCGTGTTTCAGTCGCCCGGTCTCTGGTACATGGACCTTGATCGACTTTGGCACCTCAATGTATATATGCTTGGCTTAGGTTTGTGCTCAGTCTTCTCTTTTGGGCGGGCGTTGCCGGCCTCTTGCTTTATGCGCTCAAGGCGTTCACGTACCGGTCCCAAGGCGTCGTCTCGATCCGCATGACGCGCCAAGTGCCCATCGACATGAAGAACCTTGCGACGTTCCTTCGCACCAAAAACATCTCGGTGCGCGGCACGTGTCCAATTCCTAACCTCATCTATCGCATTAGGACGAATCGCACAACTATGACGGCAACATCCGCATTGCCAAGGTGGTGTGGAATGAAAAGTTCAAAAAGGAGTGGGGCGGATCCGTGCCTACCGTGCAGGTGCACTTTGTGGCTGCGATCAAGATCGTTGAACCGACTCGTAGCTCGAGTACGACGAGCAGAATGCGTTCATGCTCCAAATCTCAATATCGTACCGCCGCCGACAAGCCAACAAGCAACTGGCGTTCAACGCCGACGAACTGTACACACGACTCATGCAGGTAGCGCATTCGATACTTTGGTTCAAACTGCGAGCATGGACACGGTCGTGTAGGAGCTCGATACGGCCAAGATCTTTGTGCGACTCGAGAGCGAGGCCGCGCTGCCATCCGCGAAAACAGCAGCATAGATAGCCTCCATGGACTCTATTTATCGAGCTTGTAATGACGCTACCCGAGCCCGCAATGCGTGCGCCGCCACCGCACTGTAGTCTTGGCACGTCTCTACCTGCGGCTACGCAGTCGTCATTTTCAGCGCCGGGCAAGAATCAATGTTGGAGTAGTACCATGCTGCCGGGCCGAAACCGAACACTCATGATGCCTTCGAGTGATTGCAGTCGCAGCTGCATGTTCTGGACCCACGCAGCGCCCTTTGGCAAGTCGACGGTCATGGCGTGCTTGAACTCAGCGCACGACACCCCCATGAGCTGCTCGACAAACTAGCGCTCCACCCTCAACACGTGCCATCCAGACGCGATCGACAGACATACCGCGGGGGCCACCGCCACGAGAAGCGTACGCGTGCCGTCTTCAACGTAGACCTTGAGGTCGTAGCCGCTCGCGTACGCAAAGGCTGCCACTGACTTGACGAATGCTCTCAGATAAAACGTGACGGGGGAAGTCGCCGCCGCGATCTGCGCTTCAATGCTCGAGAGGTACGTGAACGGAAGGTATGGGTCGGACCGCGCCGGAACGGGCGGCGCGAGGACATGAGGCCCAACGGGAGGGCGTTGGCGGGGCGGCATGCTGGTCGACGGTCCGTAAAAGAGGTGTCGAATTGCCGGGTCCGTCGTTCGCTCTTCGTCCGAGAGATCGACGTCAATGGGCTCTGGCGACGGCGCGCGGACCGGTGGCACGACGTGCGTTCCTGGCGCAGGGATCGATGTCGCCGGAGCTCGGGTGGGTGGTGGTGCGTGGAGCGCAGGGGCAGGAGGTTGCATACGGGCAGGAGGCTGCATAGGGGCAGGTGGTTGCATGGGGGCAGAAGAGAAGTTTGCTCTCGTTGGTGCTGGCGCACGTGGGGCCGCGGCGGGCGGGCGAGAGTGGTTCGATGGCGATACCGCGGGGACGATAGCAGCGCTTGTTGGATCTGCACCTTCAAGTGGCTGCTCTCTAGTCGCAAGGCGTGAGACAAAGGGACGGAGCTGCTGTGGGGACGCACAACGTCGGGTTGAAGCTCTGCCCAAGGACGTCAATCGACCGCAGCATGAGCAGACCATGGCGCACGTCTGCGTTCTGGACGATCACCTACGCGCGAGTGATTGCATCGCTTGCGTCATTGCTCGTGTACCTTGGTGCCGGAGGGTGTTTTCGTGCTCAAGCTCCGCAATGGCGCATGTCTACCATACAAGGCAGCGTCGCATGTTGCATCAGAGTCGTCGTTCGTACTCGATGCCATAGATCATTTGGGCGCCATCGGTCAAGCACATCTTGAGAAGCCGATTGGGTGTGTCTTCAAGGCGCTGCTCCTGTCCAGCGCCAACGTTGGCCACGTCGACGACCTGTCTTTCGCATGAGCCCATATCGCCCAAAGCGTTCTTTTACCTGCAAGAAGAATCGACCCGCGAGTGAGACGCCATTGAGGGCGCAGACGTTCGGCGGCAGGCACGGCTCGCATGAGAGGCGCACGTCTGCATAGAGGAACTGGTCGACGACAAACTCGTCCTGCTCCGCCGCCGAGAGGCGTCTACGCAAGCACTGGGACCGGAAGCATGTGCGTCCTCTCTACCTGCCGCACTGTGCCATGTACGCAGAGAGGAGGCCCTCGCACTCGGCGGCCCACTCGGGTCGGACGCGCGCGATCTGCCGGCAAGCCTCCATCGGCTCGAGGTTCTAGTCGAAAATTATACGGCACCGGATTGGTCAAAATAGCAAGAGCCATATAATTGCCGGAAATGGCCGAGGTCCTTTCAAGACGGGTCTCCACCTCCACGGCGCCTTGCGTCGAGAATCCACAGACCGATACTTGCGTGCTTTGTCTAGTGTAAAGCGCGCTGCACTCAACGTCGCGACGACTTCTGTCGGCACCGACAAGAACCAGCAATCATCTGATATTTCCATGCTCGTGCCAATCATATCGCTGTACATCGGCTATTTCAGCCAATGAACGCCCGCGATGGTTGGAATCTCCATGTGAGCAAGATATTTCGCGGCAGAATGGGCTCCGACCTCACGCTTCTAGTCTCTAGTTGAAGAAGCTCGCCGAAGAGGAGATGCGACAAGGCCCTGGGCATGGAACCTTGATCCAGCACTCGACGCTCTGTGTATGTAAACGTATAGAACTCGACCCTTTGTATTTAGCAACATATTATTACACTCGTGTTGCCCGCGACGTTGTCTCGTACGTGGCGACGGGCTGTGCAAACGGAATGCGCTCGTCGTCCGCAAAGAGCATATCAGCTGCAAACTAGGCAGCTAGCATGAGGCCTTGGTAAACGCTGGATCGAATTCTTACCTCGGGGCGCTGGTAGAGCACGAGCACTTGCGGCAGCTCGATCAAGTGCAGCTTGGCCAGTCGGTACAACACACACACCGACGCGACAGCGAGCACGTAGAGAAGAAGCACTTGCGTGTACGCATTTTCATCGCACACGGCCAAGAGAATCTAGACGCGAGCCGTGACCAGCCCAGAAATCGGCATCATGGACGTACGGCAAAGATGCCATAGGCCGTCGCAAAGAGGAGCGAGAGCACGACGCCGCGAAGGTGGTAGTATCGCCGCATTTGCGCTTCCGAGGTCGCATCGCGCGGAAAGCGGCCGAGATGGCGGTCGATCTTGCGGTGGTAGTAGCCCAAGATCTTGAGGCGGTACGTTGCCATGGACAGTTCAATCTACTTGGAATGGAACCGCGAGGCCGCTGCCATTGGACACACCTCGTGCCAATAGCTCCAGCGCATGCGGAGGCCTTCGGGCCATTCGTGCGTATATCGGTACTACAGATAAGGGCATGAAAGGCAGCGGCTGGTCGATGCGACGTACAATGGCCCGCGCCACGACAAAGAGCACCATAAGCACCGTAAAGTAGAAGAGAGGCTCCTGTAGAAAGTAGTCGCACGTGAGCGCCCCAAGTACCGTCACTGCGAAAATGAGGAGCGCCCAGATGAAGACGATGAGCAGGCGGAGACGCTCGTGGCGTAGGATCATGTCGTCATCCACGAAGGGCGGGAAGCGCCGGATGATGTAGCGCTGGTGCTTCTGGTGGGCGCTGCTCATGCTGCTGTAGCGTTCCTGCCCGTCACCTCGGCTGGATAAAAGATGCGCCCGACTTCAACGCCAGGTTTGGCGAGCTACCTCTTGCACCGTATATTCTATCGAGTTTGGAGAGGATTGAGAATGCGGTACGTGCCGAATCCGAGCGATGCAACGCCGCGTCCATCTTGCGTACCGAGCAACGCTGTCGGGCACGGGAGGTTGGCAGCATGCACATATTCTTTGCTACACTAGGAAGCGCTTTGGGTAGATAAACGTGCCAACGGTGTCGTGGCTATGCAAATACTTGTATGTAGTACAGGGTACGATGGTGATTTCGGCATATGCCATGTTTAGAAATGTTGCTAAAGGCAATATCAAGTGTGAGAGGTGCAATTCCAGCCGCGACGATGAGCGCACCGCCGCCGCCGATGACGCCCGAGGACGTGGGCACGCTGCTCAACCCGCAGCAGCGCAATGCTGTCCAGGACCGTGTCAACGCGCTCTTGGGCTGGAACTCGAAGGAGATCGCGCCTATGGCCATCGCGATCCCGATGCTTCGATCGACGCGCAAGCAGATCATGGAGCTCGGCTACTTGGTCGGGTCGCAATGGACGGGCATCCGGTATCGCCACCATGCTAATAATACGTCATGGCTCACACACGTGTCCGTAGGTACCTGGCGCTCTTGGTTGCAGGGCGCTGCTACCTCATTTCGCACAACTACGAGATCCGCGAGGCCTGGCTCTTTGCGCCACTTCGCCAGCAAGATCGCCCAGCCGCCGCCGAGAACGAGACCAACCAGCACATGTGGACGGTGCTGGACGGGACGCTGGTGATGCACCAAGTACGCTCTCGCATCATCCTTCTCAATCACTCACACTGCCGTCGTAGGACAAGCTCACGTACGTGATCACGGACATTCTGGCGATGAACGGGACCGCGGTCATGACGCACAAGCTCGAGGAGCGCCTCAAGGTTCTTGCCGATTGCAATGATTCATTGAGCCTTATTTGTCTACCGCGTAGACGATCCAAAACTCGGTGATTGGGCCCTTGACCAAAATCCCGATACCGAAAGGTCATCCGCCGTCGCAGTTTGGCCTCATCTTTCCGCCCAACCGGCCGCTGGTAAAAATGACGAGCTCGATTCGGCATTTGACGCCGACACCCACCAACACGGCCGTGCAGCACGCCGGCCTCGTCTTCCTCCCGCAAGCGCTACCGTACACGCCCGGGTACGGCAAAGGACTCTTCTCCTGGACGTATCCGGTGCTCGTGACGGCCTACTTTCAGCTCGGCGTCGAGTGGCGCGGCATGTACGCTTTGTCATTTCGCGCTGTTTGTATCAAGTTGATACTAGGCCCAAGAAGCCCGTCTTCAAGCTCAACGTATGGGACAAGGGCATGTCGGTGTTTTACGACTGGATCACGTTTCCAGGAGGTATTTTGTCGTCGATTCCAATCTTTTCCCGTGGCCAACACGAAATATGACACACAATAGACTGCTACGACCACTTTTGCAACGATAAGAAGGCGTCCCAGCGCATCATCGAGTGCATGTACGACAGCGAGAATTGGACATTCATTCCGTCGGAGGACAAGAGCAGCGACACGGGCCACGCCGGCTTCCAGTCGGTCGAGCGCGGCGTCGGGTGGCGCAAAGGTGTGTCCGTGCAGCCGGTTGTAGCATTGTCCATAGCGCTATGTAGGGGGGTGGAAGCTCCTCCGCGTCCGGAAGGACGTTGGTCGGCCGTACGACCGCGCGCACTTGACGCAGTTGGAGAAATGTCTGAGCGACAACATTCGCGGCGAAGAAATCGAAGCGTTCTTCACGGCCAACGCCGCCAACCCGCTCGCGTCGCCCGAAGACGACAAGTGGAAGAAGACTCGTACGGCGCGGGAGAATCGGACATGTCATGCTGACATACTGACTAGTCGCGCCGAGCCAAGGCGTCTGCTACGACTTTCAGAACAAGGGCATTTGTCAGCGCGGCACCAAGTGCCACTTCTCCCACTGCGCGTGCCACAACGTGTGCTCGTGCACAGCGGCCTCGCACACGTACGGTACGCTTAGTCGAAACGAGTTAGTACATCGACGACTCATCGCGGCGTAGGCCAGCGCCCGGACTTTCGGCGCAACGACTTTGACGCGCCGCCCGAGGCCAACGCGGACGGCAGTGTCAAGCTTGAAGAGGCGCCGATCGCGCTCGAGAGTCTGCCAGCAGGTACGCGCGGTACCGCCACCACATGCGCTTAGAGCATGGATGACTCTAGTCGTCAAGGTCGAGCCAGAAGGCAGCGTCGACGTCCCACTGGCCGTACCGGCCGCGACGGTCAGTGCTGCGGCTGCACCCGTCGTTGCTGCCGTCGCACCGGTGCCGGTGCCGGAGAAGAAGCCGGTGGTCACCCAACCGCTCGTGCGTGGCAAGGTCAACGCGTCGAGCGTCTATGCGCCGCTGGCCAACTTTGACAAGGAAACGCTGGCGGCCAAGCGCGCGATGCTCAGTGCGACGGGCAACCGCCGCATTTGGTCGAGTCTCGGCCTCGAGGACTCGACCGGCAAGAAGGCGACCAAGAAGAAGCAAAAGGTGGGCTGGATCGTCTCGAGCGCCGGCGATGTCTCGTACGTGCGAGACAAGTAGTAGTGACCATAAGACGACGACGCATGGAAGAGTGCTGTGTGTATATTGAAGAGGACGAGAGGACGTCGTCGCGCTCTAGCCGCTCCGGAACGAGCGCGACCACTGCTCCCGCACCGTCATGAAGGCCTGGCCGATCGTAAGCTCGGTGAGGGGCACCTCGTTGTCGATACCCTACGCAATTTGGTTACGTGTGGTATACATGCATGCAGGACGTACGCGCATGAGCACGCGGTTCGTGATGGATTGTGTGTCGGTCTCAAAGATGACGCCGCCGTCGAGGACTTCATCGAACGTCAAGAGCACGAGCTCGAGGTTGTCGAGCACCGAATGCCGATCCATGTGGCCCTTGAGCATGTTGCTCACGGCTTCAAAGGCGCCGTCGAGCACATGCAGCAAAATGAGTTCGTTCTACCGCATGCCATCATTAGCGTCTGCACGATCCGCATGTCGATCGATGCGCATTACCTCGTGGGCGCCGCCGACAACAAACATCGTGCTTTCGTTCTGGCTACGGAACACGGCGACGATGTTGTCGATGAGGATGATCTCGGCCTCCATGCGCGCGTTCATGTTCTTGGTCTTGGCCCAGATCTTCTTCTCGAGCGCGGTCTGGTCCTTCAACGTCGGGTACCCGACGCGGTCGTAGTACTTGGCACAGAGGCGGTTGCCCTCGGCGTCGAGGACGAAGATGGCCTTCACGCTAGGGCTCGACTACATGCAGGAGCGCCATGAGGCCACGCTCGGTCTCCTGCTGCCACGTACCATCCGCGGTGTGTGGCGGCGAGGCAAAGGGCTGAACTGACGTGGCTACGCTCGTTTTATTGCAGTGGCCATGCACTTGAAATTTGACTCTATTTTTTTACTTTTGATCCTCTCGATTAAGTTGCGACTACCCGCTTAAGTTGTCGCCCAATGGCGCACTGCCACCTCAGGCGCTTATTTTCGGCATGCCCATTCGAACCCTGCGCGCCAATCGCATTGCTCCACGGAATCCATTTACACCAATCTGTGACAAGCGTCGTGATCCGTGATGACCGAGTACACCGAGGTAGACTGCACGCACGCCTGCCGACCTCATGGGCGACGTAGCACTACCTTGCGACGGGCGCGCTACCGCAGAGCAAGGTGCTCTCGACGCCACTCGCCCATGTGGCTCCGCAGCGGCGGGAGCTCCTCGCACGCAAAGCAGCGCAGCTCCAAGCGCAGGCCACGGCACCGCACCGCGTCCACTTTGCACCAGGCATGGAGCTGACGGAGCTTGGCATGCAATTCGATGCCATCGTCGTCGACCCGCCGTGGGCCGAGGTCGCCTCGGGCGGCGAGGCGGTATGGACAGCGCAGGACCTGGCGCGACTCGACGTGAACGGGATTGGAGCCTATCCGTACGGTCTGCCTGGTATAACACTATGCGATGGTCCCCTAGCGGCGTGCTCTTGCTATGGTGCGGATCCGGTGGCACGTACGACGGCGTCCACTCGCACTTTGACGAAGCGTGCGACTTGCTCGCTACTTGGTACGCTCGCATCGCTCCCCACGTGACGCTGCCTCCGACGCGGATGTAGGAATTACCGTCTCTGCGAAGTCCTTACGTACATCAACAGCCGAGATCGAAGTCGGTGCACTTGAGACTTAGGTGGGCCAAGGTCCAGGACGTTAGTGAGCGCTCGAGCCACGGCCTCGTGCGTCGATCGAAAGAGCTCTGTCTCGTCGCGCTTCGCGACCACGTCTGGCGCGACACGTCCGGGCATTTCGTCCACGCCAATGTTGACACCGACGTCATCGTCGCCCCGTCGACGAGAGGTCGAGTTAAACCTACTGCGTTTTACGAGGTATAATCGTCGATCTGGCAGTGGCAATCATTATGTCATGCAGGTCGTCGAGCGCTTCTGCCTCGGGCGGCGTCGACTAGACGTATTTGGCTCCACCACTCGGGACGGGTGGGTGACGCTCGATCGCTTGGCGGATGCGTCGTGCGTCTTTGATGCGCCATCGTACGAGGCAGAGCTCGTCAAAACAGCGGCCAACCCCGTAGGCGCAGCGCCTCGCCGTCTCGTCCGACTGACCCACTCTTGTAGACGACACCTTGTGTGCTCGGCGTCGACAACGGTACGAGATACTTCAACGTTCACTCTTGACGTGGCGTAGACATTGAGATGCTACGGCCCAAAGCCCCGCAGCGATTTGCCAAAGGCGCCAAGGCCAAGCCAAAGAAGACCCCTATTGCGTAACCTGCATAATCAGTTGGGCGGAAGGATTGATCTCTGCAACGCCATCCCAAAAGCAGTAGCGACGTGATGATAAATATAGCCAATGCTAACATTGTTGCCGACGTCGAGCACTCGCCAAGCACTCATGTGTTGCGCACAAGCACTCGCGTGGCGTCCTCTGTTGTTGCTGCTCGTCCTTGGCGTCGCCGCACACGCCGGCGACAGCTGCTCGCTGGCGTGTCCTGTCGCGCCGCCGCCATCACCATCTGCACCGTCGTCCAATGCGGCGCTCCTACTCAACGCCTCTGCGTTCTACGCTCCGTCGGTCGTCCATAAAATGTGGTCGACGGCCGCTTTTGTCGGCAACGCGACCTTGAGCTACCTCAATGGCACACGGGGCGCGGGGGACACGTGGTACGCCAACTCGCTCGCGAATTTTCTCGTGTTTCTCTGCGTCGAGATGCACGACGCGTCCGACTTGGACCGGTGCGTACCGTCGACAAGCGCCTACGCTGCAAAAAACGCCTCGTCCGGCATCTGCCTTGCCCTGCACGACGAGGGCAACTGCTTTGCTCAAAACCTCTGCGAGCGGCGCGAGAGCTGCAAGTGGCCGCTGCTCACGGACGAAATCTCGGTGCGAGTGCCGCTGTTTACCGACGCCGACGCGGTTGTCGCGACCCAATGGGTCCGAAAGAGCTACCCGAAGACGCTGTATCTCTACACGGTGCCAGGTCTCTTGGTGGCCGCCGTTCTGGTCCTTTCGACGTGGACTTTTTGCGTCATGCGCTTTGGGTGCAACCGCTGCTGGGGGGCGACGCCGAGCCGTCACGGCTACACGTGGCTCGAGCGCTGGGGGCCCATCGTCGTCTTTCTCTGGACCACGTGCTTTCTCATCGCCTGCGCGGCGATCGCGCTGGCCCAAGGCGTGGCATTCCAAGACGCCGCGCAATCGATTGCAGGTAGCACGAACGCCACCATGACGCAGCTCGCCACCGTGCGCACCGACGCATTCGTGCCATTTGAGGCGCTCCAAACAGCACTGCCAAACGTGTCGAGGAGCGACGTGGCGATGGCCCTCGCCCCGGCTGCGCGCCCCGGGAACTGGACCAACGTCGTCGCTAGCATGGAATCATTTACCGATGCGTACCGCGATGCTGGCGAGTACCCCCTTTACGCGTGCTCGCGGTCCCCCGACGCACATTTGGTGCCGACAACGACCTCGTGCACGGCGTGCCCCGAGGTGGTGTGCGGTGACATCAACGGAAGTCTCCAGCGTATCCTGGACGATACGGCGCCGATCGCATTGACGCCGCCCCTCACCACACTTCTCGAGCCGTCGGTCAATGCGTCGTCAACGTTGGATCTCGGCCGCTTGCGGGCGCCGTTGGACTCGATCCGCAGTCTTGCAGCAGCGTACTATACCTCGACGTACCCACGCCTTCTTCACGGCTTTGACGTGCTCGAGTCCCTTAGCGTTCGCGCGCTGCAGGCCACGCTCGGACTCGGGCTCGTCTCGAGCGCGCTCGGTCTGGTTGGTATTTTTGCCGGCCTTGTGTCGGGCTCGTCACGCCTCGTGCATCTTTTGCACGGCAGTTGGATGACCGGTGTCGTCTTCTCGTTCCTTGGCCTTGTGCTCGGCACCTATTGCCTCGTGCTCGCCGTCGTCGGCCTCGACCTCTGCACGTACTTTTCGCTCATGAAATCCGAGCCCAATCGGTACCTCCCGTCGGCCGGCGCGACGATCGTGGCGCAGTGCCTCGGGGAGCGCACTTACGAGACAGCGTTCCCAGAGCTGCGTCCGCTAGCCCAGTGGACGTGCGAGGGCCACGCGATCCTCGAGTCCTTTGCGCTTATCAACTTGAGCCAACCCCTTGAAGCTGCCGAGGCGTACAGCGCCCGCCTCCAATCGTTTCGACCGAGTACGACGTTCGGGTACACGATGTCGGAGCTCCTGCGGCGGATCGCGGCGCTCGCGGTGGCGACGACCAAGGCAACGTGGACGCCGACGCGGCTCCTCTCGCCGTGGCAAGTCTACGGCAGCGCGTTGGACCCGACGCCCTGCACCCAACTGCAGCCGCCCGATGTGAGTCCGCTTTGCTTTATGGCGCTCCAATGCCACGGTACCCTCCTTCTGCGTTCCCTTTGGTGTCGATGTGTCCTATATGACCTCGTAGGCACCAACACGACGTGCTACACGAGCTTTGAGCGGGCGTACAGTCTCAAGCGGCTCGATGTGGACGCCACCGCGCTGCTCGCCAGCATGACGTCAACCTACGTCAGTGGCCCCAAAGCGCTGTATGCGGCATATGCCACAACCACGGCGAGCAGTCGCACGGCTTATGTGCACGCGATTGCGACCAACTCGTCGCTGGGGGCGTCTTTGGCCGCGGGGCAAGCGCTCGCCTGTGCACCGAGTCTGCGCTGCGCCACGTTTCAAGCCCAAGCCGCGACGCTCGAGGCCGGGCTGTGCCACAGTACACTCGAGTTTCTCGCACTCTGCAGCGCACTCTTGTTTGCGGCGACTGTGTGCCATTTGGCGCAGGTCCTTGCCGCGATTTTGCTTCAGAAACGCTTGCGCGGCCAAGATCTCCACGAGATGGCGCGGCGAAAGCAGCAGGCTGCCGTGGCGACATGCACGGATACTTGTAGTACCATCCGCAAGCAGTAATCTCACACGTACACACATTACGGGTCGTACAGTGTACTACTGGGTCGGTTAGCGCGCCATGCGAGGGTCATGGACGTTCGTGTCGTCTTGCGAGAGCGTCGCCACTTGGCGCCGCAGCTCCTCGATGAGCGCGTCCTAGTGCATGGTTGCAGACTGGGCCAACATGATGCGATTCGCTTCGTACCTGCTCCTTGAGCTTGGCTTCGTTCTCGTGCAACTGCTGGCGCAACTCGAGGACTTCCCGCGCTTTCTCGAGATGCACTTGGGGAAACGTCGTGCACAGGTAGTCGTGTGCTTGCTCCACGGTCCAGCGCGTGCACGTCGGTGCGACAAGATGCGAGATCAACGCCGCGATTTCAGGGTACGACGTCGCGAGCTCGTCGGGGACATGCTGCGGGTTTGCACGTACGTCTACACAAGGAGTGCAAGCTCCATGAGGGATTGCATCGACAAGTATGAGTACCTTTGAGAGCCCGAGCGCGCTCCATCTTGGTGTCAAAGACGCAAAAGAGCTCGAGAAGAATGATGCCCAAGCTACACAACGCATTGGCACCTCCGTGTCGACGATTTATGTAGTATGTACCTGAACGAGTCGACTTTGTGGTCGTAGTCGGTGCCTGCGACTTGCTCGGGGCTGGCGTACGACATGGTGCCGACACCTTGTGTGTGCCCGTGGCCGCTGGCTGGCGGCATGAAGCCGCGGTTGTTGATCGGGTCGTCGGCCATGACTTCGGCGAGGAGCTTCGAGAGACCGAAATCGCCAATCTTGAGCGCACCGTCGCGGGTCATAAACACATTGCTCGGCTTCAAGTCGCTACGCGCCGTCATGAGGCGTCATTTGTCGTCACCAGTGTACCGATGGATGATGCCATTCTCGTGGACGTGCTTGATGCCATTGACGAGCTGGCGAAAGAGGCGCAAGCTTGCTTGAAAGTCGACATGGCCCACGTTGCGGTTGCGCTCGTCGAGCCAGTCCTACGCAGCCTCTTTGAGTCAATGCACTCGACACTTGCCAACCAACTTGGAGCGTCGACTGCTCGCACAGGAACATTTGAATGTAAAGGGTAATTTGGTACGTGAACGCGGGGGCAATCTCGGACGACGGCGGCGCGTCGCCTTCAATCGCCAAGAACGAGCCCGCGCGGTGGTTGCGGAACGGTGTGTCGGCGCACCACGACTGTTGTCGCTTGCGCTGGAGCTGGAGCGTCCGCGCGTCCAATGAGTTGACACTGTTCCAGTCGCTCACGATGGTGTGCGTCGCTTGGTACGTCGCGAGCTGCAGTTGTGAGGCATGGGTCGAGCTTTCAAACGACTGGGACCGCCGCCGGTGCACGGTCGACGACGAAGTGACCGAAACGTTGCTCTTGCTACTGGCGGACTTGGGGTCGTACGCCGGGAGGTCGCTGAAGCTTGTGCTATCGTTGCGGTGGATTCGACTATCATACAAAAGTGACACACGTACCACGAAAAGTTGGACTGGGAGACGTCGCGATCAAACTCAAACTCGACGACCGAGCCGTTCGAGCTCTCGTACGAGTCTCTCGACACCGAGTACGAGCTAGTATAGTGGTCCTCGCTCAACTCGAGGTTGGAGGTCGTGTGGCCATCCACGTCGCTGCTGTCGCTTTTGGCGTCGACAAAGCGGTAAATGTCTTCGAGAAGGTGCGGGTTCTTGGTTTGCAGCTCGACGGGGTTGATGATGGGCGCGGACGTCGGCGGCGCCGTATACGACGTCGTATGCAGATTCATCGGCACCCATGTGGGCTCTAGCCACGCGCTATAGTAGCGGTTCACGTTCGGGTGGTCGCAGCGCGCGAGGCAGTGCACTTCTCGCAGCACATTTTGCACGAGCGGCGATTGAAACCCTTTGTTGAAGAAGCGGACTTGCTTGATCGCGTAGCAAATGCCATCCTACGCCACACGTGCATGAGCTTGGTCGATCTACCACCAGAAACGACGGCGTACGAGCTTGTGGCGCGCCATGTACACTTGGCCAAACCCGCCTTGCCCAATGAGTCGGACTTCGTCAAAGTCGCGGGCGTAGCGAGAGACGTTGAGCGACTGCGGGAAGCCCAGCATGCCACCGCCGACACCACCCTTGTCGACATCCCACTGCTCGATCGCATCCATCTTGCGCGGCGACGTGGACGACGCTAGCAAGCCCAGGTCCGAAAGAAACGCAATCGACTCGAGCACGCCCATGCGATGGAGACGCAGCACGTTGGCGACGAAGGTCTTGGGCGTTGCGTCGTAGACCGAGCAAACGCGCGCGAGGAGCACGATGATAGTGACCTGCCGCTCGTCCAGCACGGGCATCTCGTCGGCCTTCTTTTCCTTCGGGCCAAAAGGCTCGGGCGCATATGCAGACGGCGACGAGAAGTCTTCGGCCTCGAGCGTTGACGCGCTAGTATCGTGGCGCCGGGGCAGATGGAGGTGCTCCATGTCCTGCGCGAACGACGGGAGGTTGACCTCGATGGGGCTCGACCCTGCATGCCCATGGTGTTCCTTCCCCATCGACATGGACGGCTCGAACGAGTTGCGGAAGACGGGCGATCGCCGCAGGTTCTCCATGTAGTCCATCCCGCCCGCTTCTCGCTCTTGATATAGTCGGGGAAAGCTCCCGCGTGAGGTTGATTGAGAAAATGTATACTACTTGGATAGACGAATTCTAATTTCGTGGCACGCGTATCCGGATACCATGCCGCATCGAAGCTTGGAAGCACCGCCAATATCGACACAATTGCCGTGAGTGAGCGCACCTTGACTTGCCGTTCGCCCCGCGATCAGGCTGCACGGATACCGTCGTGCTGTCGACAGATGGTCTGCGTACGTGGCAGTCGTAGCGACGCCGTGATGCGGTGGCCGCGTTGGCATCGACGTGCTTCGAGACTTTTCTAGCTCCGACGGTCCGGCGAGTCCGGGGAAGTGTCGAGCCCGACGGCGGCAGCTCCATTGTTGAAGTCGATGTGCGTACCGTAGCAAAGCCCGCCATCTCATCGCGGCCGCTAGCGTTGCTTCGACATGTCTTGGCACGGCGCAGGCGCATCAACCCTGCGCTGCGGCCGTCGCTTTCATGTAGCATTACGCGTATGCCCACCCGTGACTGGTCTTGCATTGGTCACACGAGCCATTGTTACAGGCAGTCTCGGCGAGCTATTCGTCCCAACGAGCTCGCAACCGAGCCTAGTCGGTGCCGATCGATCGCACGTCTGCGGCTCCTCTGCATGAGGCCGATCGGGTTGAAGGCCAAAGTAGCTTTGCCTTGCGTGTCCATGCTTCTCTCCGCGACACGGCTGTGCAGAGGAGCAAAGAGTGTCGTGCGCGCCGACGTGAGTGGCTGGCGCGCGACTCCCTACAGTGTACTACGTGGCACACACGCCTTGTCTTTCAACTTGCGTAACGCTGCCGTGGCGCTTCTCCGAGCAAGTCCGTGGTCAATTGCATTTAAATATCGGCCGTGTCCACGTCCTTGTACTTGCTATTTGTATGCAAAGGTGGGAATATTGTCCTTGGCCGCGACACCTTGGTGCATAAAAAAGATCGAACAAGCTGCGGGCATACAAATTGCAAGTGGTGGCGCGAACAAGCCCTAACCCGCCTTTCTTTTACCTACGCTCGGCCAGTGGTCTTTGTCGCGAGGGAATCTAGCGCATTTCAACATAAAAGTATGGCGAAAGGTTCGTAAGCCAAGGTGACTAACGAGGGGCTGGCGACAGCAATTTGCAACGCAGCATGAATGCAGGTCCTACGTGGGTTCGTATTCAAAGGGAAAAGCGTGGAAACTTAGCTTGTTTTTGAATCGGATGGTTCTTGAAACGAGGTCCTGCACACATTGCAGCCATGGAAAGGGAATTCCATTTCCCAATTTCAGTCGTAGCCCGCAAGCTTCCTACTGTTCAAGATGGCTGACGATGATGTCCAAGCTCTCGTTGTCGACAACGGCTCCGGCATGTGCAAGGCCGGTTTCGCCGGTGATGACGCCCCGCGCGCCGTCTTCCCGTCGATCGTCGGTCGCCCGAAGCACCCCGGTATCATGGTCGGCATGGACCAGAAGGATGCCTATGTCGGTGACGAGGCCCAGTCCAAGCGTGGTGTCCTCACGCTGAAGTACCCGATCGAGCACGGTATCGTCACCAACTGGGACGACATGGAGAAGATCTGGCACCACACCTTCTACAACGAGCTCCGCGTCGCCCCGGAGGAGCACCCGGTCCTCCTCACGGAAGCGCCGTTGAACCCCAAGGCCAACCGTGAGCGCATGACGCAGATCATGTTCGAGACGTTCAACGTCCCGGCCATGTACGTCAACATCCAGGCCGTGCTCTCGCTGTACGCCTCGGGCCGCACGACGGGCTGCGTGCTCGACTCGGGTGACGGTGTCTCGCACACGGTCCCGATCTACGAAGGTTACGCCCTTCCCCACGCCATTGTCCGCCTCGACTTGGCTGGCCGCGACTTGACGGACTACATGATGAAGATCCTTACCGAGCGTGGTTACTCGTTCACGACGACGGCCGAGCGCGAAATCGTGCGTGACATCAAGGAGAAGCTCACGTACATTGCCCTCGACTTCGACCAGGAGATGAAGACGGCCGCCGAGTCGTCGGGCCTCGAGAAGTCGTACGAGCTTCCCGATGGTAACGTCATTGTCATTGGCAACGAACGCTTCCGCACGCCCGAAGTGCTCTTCCAGCCTGCCCTCATCGGTAAGGAAGCGTCGGGTATCCACGACTGCACGTTCCAGACGATCATGAAGTGCGACGTCGATATCCGCAAGGACTTGTACTGCAACATTGTCCTCTCGGGCGGTACCACCATGTACCCGGGTATCTCGGAGCGCATGACCAAGGAGCTCACGGCCCTTGCGCCCTCGACCATGAAGATCAAGGTCGTCGCCCCCCCGGAGCGCAAGTACTCGGTCTGGATCGGTGGTTCGATCCTCTCGTCGCTCTCGACGTTCCAGCAGATGTGGATCTCGAAGGCCGAATACGACGAAAGTGGTCCCTCGATCGTCCACCGCAAGTGCTTCTAAGCGCTTTCTGTGGTCGTGCCCGCGCCAGCAGTTTTGTATTCCGATGAATGAAAGGTAGATGGGCTTCGAGGCTTCAGTGCTTCGGTCCTTTTTTATTGATTGGACTGCGTACTCTATGGCGTATTGCGCAGTAGGAAGAATTAACCTTTTTTAAATCTAGTTATTGAACTCAATCTCTCTGTCCTTCAGCGGTACGTTGGCGTCAAGGCCGCGAGGTAGACCCACACGGCCAATACGAAGTTGGGGTAGACATGAACATGCACCGCAAGGCCAAACTCGACGCCGCTCGTGGTCGTCGCATGAATGTGCGTCTGCGTCATCTCGTCGACAATTCCCTGGACGTCCGTGAACGGAAAGCTGAACGGCCCACCATGAAAGTCGTAGCGCGGGTACTTGGCGAGCAAGGATGGCACGTGGTCGTCGCCAACGTCGTTGGCAATGTACTTGGCCTCCAACGTCGTCAGTAGCTCGTGCAGATGATGCGACACGTCGCTGTTGAAGATCGTCGTCGAGTGGCTGCTCCGGAGCTTGCGAATCGCAACCTTGATGCTTTCGAGCAGCTCGACTTGGACCTACGCATCTTCGCTAAGAACTCGGATGCTACGAGAAGGATGCGGACGCACGTCGTGCACAAAGGACGGTGGCGTGGCCAGATACTGGGGGGTGGCGGCTTGCACGGACGGCAAGATGGCCTCGAGCGACTCCTTGGTGGTCATGGCCGTGAAGAAGGGCTTCCACGCGCGTGCGTCCGACTCTAAGGAAGATCAGAATTCGCGTGCACCTCGCTCGTCGTACCGATGGCATCCCATGCGAGTTGACAGGGTGTGCCAGTCGGGTGCAGATTGGCCCAGACATTATCACTTGACGCGACAAGCAGCACGGACCGCAGTGGGCACTTGAGGTCGCGCACGTCGTACGCGACGCCCGAGCACGCATTCCAAAAGGTACAGTGTTGCGCGGTGCAGCGCACAACGTACACGCCGCTGCCTTCGGGCAACGCGGTCCCCACGACCAAATAGGACTTGACCGTGCTGCCTCGTCGCTGGCCGTCGTCCGCCCAGTTGAAGTAGTTGGCGAGCAACACTGCGTGCTCTTCCCAGTCGCCGACCTGCGTGTCCAAGAAGTCTTGTGTCGCTGCCCAAACATCTACGCAAGTGATCTCTCGACCAACGCTAGCTTCGGAGGCGTTCGCACCAATGGCACCGCTGTACGTGTGCCAATCCTCAAGAAAGGGCACCAGCGACACAAAGCGCGCGAGGGCGCGTAGCGGCTGGCCCTGCAGGTCCGCCGGTGGTGCTTGCGCCCGCAAATACCGTGTGACGAACGTCGGCTCGCCCGAGACCGCCGGCACAAACAGGTGCTGCAGCGTCAAGCCAGGAACGGACGCCACGTACTTTTCAGCGTACCGGATGAACGCTGGCGGCTCGCTCTGCATTGTGATTGGCGTCGATGACGGCGTCGGGGCCGCCTACGATGCGCTATAGAACTATGTCATGCGCCACGACTACCAGTATTGGGTCGGTCTTGATCATGACGCTGAGAAAGGTCGCGGCATCTGACGACGACATCCCGTTGCTCTCGTCGACGGCGGCTCTGGATCGCGACGCTTTGCCAACGCGGCGCATGTAGCCGAGATGCGCGTACGGCACAACGCAACGCAGTGGTGCGATGATCTCGCCGGCGTTGTGGTACAAGGTCGAGAACGGGACGCGCACGCTCCCAAGGAACCGCCGCTGCAAGTCCTTGTGCTGGGTCACGGGGTCCTACCACATATCGTGGAATCTGGCCTCTCCATGGCCGTGAGGGTACCTCAACAAGCACCTGGTCAAAGATGGTCAGCGTAATCGTGTCGCGAATGCGTGTGAGCGCTGGTGGAGACCAGTCGTGCAGCGGCGGCGAGAAGGGCAACACGACCGTCTCCATCCACATTGGATGCAGGCCTGACGATGGCGACGTGGCTCGCGTGTGGCCTTGAAAGCTCACTTCGACAAGCACGTGATTGGCGCTTCCGTCTGACGCTGCAGGCTGGTCGTCGTCGTCGTCTTCAGCGCTGTTGTCGCCGTCCGAGTGGCGATCATCCGCCCTCCGTCGTGCAGGCTTTGGTGGTGCCTCGACCGGTTGACCCCGGCGTGCAAAGGCATTGGTGAGGCGCTGGACTTGTATGTACACTTGGCACTCGTCAGGGCGGTCGACCGCCAAGTCGGAGCGGGGACCTTCGACCCGTCTTGTCGGACGCAGTCGGCGCTTGCGGGCAAAGAGCGTACTCCAGCCGGAAAAGTCGGGTGTCCAGCCTTTGAAGAGCAGCGGTTGGGGGTACTCTTGCACGATCGTGCTCAAGTGGGCGTACGCAGAGACCTTGTCGTCCCGGGCCCGCGTCGCATGGTTGCTTCGGACGCGCTCCATGAAATCGTGGCGGCGAAGCTCGAGGCGCCGCTTGGTATACTCGAGTCCATCTCTACACACGCCACACCATCATCATACCCGAACCTGGAACAGAGCGAGAAGTACATACTTGGTTTCAGCAAGCATGGCTTCGTTGGCCAACGACCGCTCGAACGCAACGACCTCGGGGCGAACGAGATCCAAGTACGCGGGTTGTTGAGCGATCACGTGCTCTGAGAGCGGGATCGGCGTCGCAAAGATGGCGTGTCGGTGCGGGTCGTCGTCCCGTAGCGACAGAAGCGTATGGCGCTTGAGCTGACTCTTCCCTGTGTACGACGACAGCACAAATGACGATGGCAACGCAGTGCGAAAGAGGTCGAGCGGCTCTGTCGTCGACCGACTCGCGTGGTATGCCTTGAGCTGCACCGCTGCTTGGTCCGACGGCGCGTTTGGGTCGAGGGTTGGTAGCGTCCCGAGAGCGTGCTGAAAGGCGGCTTCATGGCTAAAATGGGTGGCATCGTCGACCGGTTCCGGGCGATGGCCAATCCAGCGCTCAGCGTCTGTGCGATCGTTGTCATATCCCACCTCGAAACGCAGCAACGTACCGGACGCGGGGCGAATCGTCCGTGCGTGCTTGACGGGAATCTTGTGCACATCCGACGTCGTCTTCCAGCTCAAGTGCACGTGAACTGCGCCTTTGGTGTGCCGCTGGGCGTTGGCATAGTACGCCGACGAGAGGAAGCTTTGGCTCCACGCCTCGCGCGGAATGCTGGCGTCGTGACAGAATTGGTACCACTCGTCCGTGGGCGCAGCGCCCGCCGCACAAATCTCGGTCGCAAACGCATGTCCTAACAAACATAGCATCCGATATGCCATCAGCTCGAGGTGGTACCGGGCATGACGAGCGGGATCGGCCGGCTCGTCCAGCACGTGGTGGTGTAAAAGATACCACCCGTGGCGGGCACGCGCTCGTAGACCCTGAGGCTCATGGACGTTGGCTTGGCTGTGACGCGGAGTGCGACGAACTCGTTCAAATCGACACTCAAGCTCGGCCACGAGAGGGCGTGTGCCTTGGTCTCCATGACGGTGTTGCCGTTGACGAGCAGCTCGCAATGGATGCGGACGCGCCGAATGTGCTGGCGTCGCAGCGCCTCGGCTTCGGACGGCTGGCCCAGAATCGAGAGGTCGCTCGAGAGCCGTACCACGTAGTCCAAGCACATTGGCGCGTCTAGCACCTCTTGTAGCGCACCTACTGCTGTTGCCAGCTGCGGGTCCTCGTGCATGCTTTCGCGGCTTTCAAGTTGCGTCGCAAAGTCCTGGATCACCTTCAGTGTCGCACTGCTGTCGACAGGCCGAAGCAGCAAAAGCACGGGTGTCAGCGTCGCCTGCTGCTTCTGTCGCAGCTCCTTGAGCTCGCTCCACTTGAGATACACTTCTTGGAAGGCGTCCCGTATGCAGGTTACAATGGCGACAAAGGCATCGACTTCCGCGTGCACGTCATGGGTCGAGGCCGTTGGCGCAAGCGACAAAAGCCGCGCGAGTCGGTGCTCCAAGCTCGCAATCGCAGCGTACTTGGCTGTGTAATCGTGGAAGAGGAAGCGCATCTGAAGGCTGACGCTGTCCTCAAGCGTCATGAGGCGGTGGTCCGAGAGATGGAGCTTGGGAATGCGCACGAGAAGCTCCGAGTAGACCGGCAGCGTCTTTGCGGGGTCGCTCCATTGTGTGCGAAGGGGTGTCGAAGGAGCGTACGTGAGGGACGGGCGCACCGCGCTGGCCGCGAACGGGTCGGCCATCGCGCTCCACGTGACGCCCTCGCGCTCGACGCGCTCCAGCGCGCGGACCACGACATGGGGCGGGAGATGCGTGTCCATGGTGCGCGCTCGGTAGATGCCATCTTCCATGTCCTCGTCAACCTTGCAGGTTTGTGTCAATGGCCTGGCGCTCGGCACCACGATGACCTTGGGGTCCATGCTCGTCTTGATCTGCACGCGATACCCATGCTCCGTGAGCGCCTGTAGCGGCGATATCCCCGCGCGCTGGTTGCCATCGACGTCATCATCATCACTATCGCCTTCGCTCCTCTCGGGCGCATCCTGCTGGAAGCGCGAAACCTTGGGTGGCTGGGGGACCGGCGCTTCGGTGGGCGTCGCGGTCATCGCTCGTTACGCGACCTTGGGTAACGGCGCGATCCACGGACTAGTGCTTGCTCGTCGTCTACCTCGCATTCCATGTCCCATGCTTCTGCCTACTTTGTCCATGGCATGCGACTCAATTTGCTTGACTCTACTCTCGTCGCTTCCCCCTCTCGGTCCCGTCCGACCGCCTGGATCTTCTGCGTTGGGCTTGCGTCGTTGGGATTGGTTCAAAATCATACTCTCGTGTGTGGATTGGCTAAAAAGGCCCGCGAAAGTACACATTTGGCCAATTGGAGGCCTCTATTTTTATGTTTCTCACCCCAGTGCTCCATTGGAGCTTTTTGCCGCCAAGGAAAAACAGAGGTGGGCAAGCGGCCGCGCCCGCCCTCGGCCTCATGCGTCCTCTCTAGGAAGCGAGAAGCGATGCAGTGGGAGAACAACGACGGCGGCTACATGGAAGGGGGCTACATGGAGTCCCAAGCGGCGACGTCGTCGCAGAAGCAAGGCAACACGTCGCGCGACAACCAGTCGCTGACGCCCGTGACCGTGCGCCAGGTGCTTGCGGCGCTCCAGGCCGAGGGCGGCGACGACGCCGTGCACGTCGATGGCAAGGAGCTCCACAACATCCGCGTGGTGGGCATCTTGACGGACATGAGCCCCAACTCGACCAACATCACGTTCACGCTCAACGACGGCACAGGCCTCCTCGCGTCGCGCCTTTTTCTGCAGGTCGACGACGATCACTACCAGCAGCAGCTTGTCGAGTCGCTTCGCGAAGGTATCTACATCTCGGCCGTTGGCAATTTGCGCACGTTCAGCGGAAAGACGACCATGACATGCTACACGGCGACGCCGGTCGAGGACTTCAACGAGCTCACGCACCACTTTCTCGACTGCATTTACAGCCACTTGCGTAACCTCCACGTTCGAAATAGCCTTGGCTGGATCTCGGTATGCTGATGTTTGCGTGTTCTTAGGGTGTCATTGGCGGCGCGCCGCCTGTCGCCAAGCAAGACCCGGGGTTTGGCAGCCCGACCGCCGGCTACAATTCGTTTGGCGCCAGCTCCACGGGTGGCTACGGGCAGCAGAGCACGTACCAGAACTTTGCGGCCACCGACTCGGGCTTCTCGGACCCGGGTCAGCAAGCGATCCTCGACATCTTGGGCGCGACCGCGCTCGAGATGGGTCTCTCGGTCGACCAAATCAAGCAGCAGCTCAACGGCCGTCTCAGCGAGGCGCAACTGAGGTACGCTCATCGTCGTTACTCAAAGAATGCGCAAATGTACACGTAGAGAGGCGCTCGGGTACCTGACGAACGAGGGTCATATTTACTCGACGATCGACGAAAACCACTTCAAGCGGACGGCCTAGGCGATGCACGCGCTCTGTATGTCTCTGCATAATGCTGCTACAAGCTTCTGTATACCGTGCTTTGTCGCGTGTTAGCATCGCATGTCTAGTTAGTCGCTATGAGCAGCATACCTAGGACTATCTATCTACCAATCTAGTATTTCAGATACAAGCCGATCCCACCGACACAGCCCCAGGCAGCTCCATTGGCGTTCGAGAGACCGAACCAAGAGTACATGCATTCAATTGAGTTGATATATGCTACGACTGAACCATGTCCATGCTGGTGGTTGCCATCAACCAAAGCTCGTGGGGAATACAT